TGTCTTGTTTTAGTCATTAATTTAGCAATTCAGCAGGACATTTTATTCAACAATTTTTTTCCTTCTAATATTTATTTAGATAATTCAGAATTCGGACTGACGGTGTACTTAAAAAATAGAATAATCTTTACGAACATGCAACAGTTTATATTAGCCTAGGAACAGTCCTTCTAGCTATCATTAAAGGCATTTTCGGGTAGTGAGAATCAGTTTCCATCAAGTGATTTCTGCACGCACCGTATATGGAAGGCACCCATTTGCGTTTTAGAATATATACATAGAAATAAGGCTTACTGTATTATGGACTGCCGTCAAGACGCCAGTTTGATTTTTAATAGTATTATAAGTGTCTCTAATGTTCGAATCTAACTTTCTTCTCCCTTTTTTACAATAATTTCCCCTGCTATGGACTAGTCCAGATGGGGGTAAACGAATAAACAGACCAGTCTATATGAATAAAAGGATATACGGACTAGTCAGAACATAATGTTCTGGAATATCTTGGACCGGCCACCGGGTAAAAGGACATACGGACTAGTCAGAGCGATGCTCTGGAATATCTTGGACCAGTCCAGACGGGGGAAAGGACATACGGACTAGTCACAATAGATATGGAAGACATATTAGACTAGACTTGACGGGTATAGCAGACTTTTCTGACTAGTCATGTCGCCCGTCCTCCCTATTTTTTGCTCACTTTGGCTGTTGCATGAAAGCGATCTAATGTTGCAGGAGGGTCAACATGACACAGTAGAAGTGATACCACCAACACAGATACATGGTGAAGAATCAACAGATATTGACAATAAAAAGCCTAGATGTCATGGAAATAAGAAATTACAACGCTTCAAACGAAAATGGAGAACACGTGACTTGAATGAAGAAGAAATTGCGACATTGATTAATATAAGAAGCCATGATACATTTGAGCAATCATTAAACGAGTCAATGATGAATGATGAAATTGCAGCGTTCAACAAACGAAAAAGAAGCTCATCAAAACAAAAACTATCGAACAAATCTTTAATATCAATGAACCAGTCATCCATATCACAAGGAGTTTAAAAAAAAATGAAGAATGCTCAGACTGAAACGAAATCACCTATTGATAATAATAGCGATCGCTTGAATGAAAATGATGATATTTCTTTTTATAAGCCATCGCGGTACTTGAAGATGCCACGAAAGTTTCTTTTGAATTCATCAAGTCTTCAATTAAATTGCTCTATAAAAAGAAAAAAAGAACAGCGATTTACACTTTCACGACTTGAACTATTTGACAAACAATTTTGTATTCATCAGATTCATCATTTATATGAAAAGTATTTGGATTTTGGTCTACAGTATCAGATCTGGCCGGTCAGTTGAATCTACTTTGTTTCAGCTCATACAATAGTATTACTTTCATTTACGGGATGATATAGTTCAAATAATGGAATCAAATGAAAGTGATAAGATCCAGAAATCACTAGAAGAATATTTGATACTGTTGAAAAACAGAATCAATCAGCATGAAAACGAATTAATGATACAGTTATCGTCTTGTCCGACTACATTACATNTATCTAAACATATATCGAATACGAAAAGAATTCAAACTAATGAAATCGATTCAACATAGACTAAAGAAAGGAAACTATATTCTTCGCGAGACAGATAAAAGTGGAATTTTTCATATTGGCAATTCAGTTGATTATGAAAAGAAAGCAGAAGCTTATCGACAAAAAACTGGCGCTTATACTGCATTAGATTCTAATCCGTTATGGAGTGTATTTGATAAAGTTATTCTTTTACTCAATGATCTTCGTTCAAAACAAATATATTCTATCGTGGCAACTAGATAAAATGATGCCGAAGCGAGAAAAAATTCAGTTAGCTTATTTAAATTTCATTCCTAAGCCTCACAAGGTAATTCATTTCTAATTTTCCTTACTTATCTTTCTTACACGCATTTTACTAGACAGGAACACCATTGAGGCCTATTGTATCATCAATGAATATGCCAACGACAGGAATCTCAAAGTTTTTGGATAAAATAATACGACCGATATTTGATAAACACGCGCGTTCAATCACAATTATTGACGGAGTTGATTTGATTCATCGTTTAGAAGCATACATAACAAATGGGCATCTCATACCAAAAACTTATTTGTGTACGTTTGATATTACAGATTTATATACGATGTTACCACAAGAAGAATCACTTGATATTCTAATTGTATTTCTCCTTCAACATGGCTATCAAAAGCTTCAAAATATTCCAATTGATATTATTCGAAAGTTAGCTCTTATCGTCATTAAAGAAAACATTTTTGTTTATGAGAAGAAATTCTATCGGCAAGTCATTGGTGGTGCGATGGGCTCAGCATTTACTTTAACACTAGCTAATATTTTCATGTGGAAATGGCACAAACAACTTGTTCATCGACTAAAAGTATCCGATGAAACCTATGGACGGTATTTAACATGGTTCATAAAAGAATATTTTGTGCATATAATGTCTCATTTTTAGATATGTTGATGATATTTTCTTTACGTCAAACGACTCACTAGAATATATCGACCAAATGTTAGATGAAGCTAATAACTTTCATCCAAACATTAAACTGATGCGACAAATTGGTAGAAGTGTTCCATTTCTTGATGTACTCATTGAGAACAGAAAGCGCACTTTAACAACTTCAGTGTATCATAAAGAAGCAGCTGACTCGTATGTCGTACCATTTGGATCAGATCACCCTGATCATGTTTTCCGAAACACTGCTGACACTGCTATTACGAGAGCAGTTCGTTATTCAACAATCTTATCTCAATTCGAAGAAGAAATACGACAAATGAAACTCATGTTTCTCTATAATGGGTGAGTTTCCTGTATTCATTCATGTTTTTAATTCTTTGTATGTGACTTGTAGGTACCCGCCAAAACATATCGATTGGCGACTTACTACATTATTCAGCAAATACTTATCCAAGAATTTCATTTTGCCGATGCTCCATGACTCTAATGAGTTCGGTTATTTACGTCATGAGCTATTGACAACATCAACAGATAAAATATATAATAGAACAGCCAAAAGCTCAACTGCCGATCAAACCAGTGACAAAAATATGCAAAATCAATTTGTGCAACCTACAGACAACAAAGAAATAACAAAAAGAAAAAGTCTCATCATTCATAAAAGACATGAGCAAAGACTCACCCAAAATCAACATCATATTCAAGAATTGTGGATGCGTACTTTTCATGGAACCGACGTCACCAATACTGCTCTAATTGTCGGTACCTGTTTGAATCGCAACTTGAAACAAGAACTGATGCCCAAGATGATCAAATCTAATCGACGAGCGGCAATCAGCCAAGAGACCACAACGCAACATGAGACTGGTAAACAAACATAAAACCTTCAAGCAAAACTAACCAGCCAATAACTTAAGTCATTCGGAATTTTACGCTGTGATTTAAAAATAAACAAAACATATCTCAATTGAAAATAACGCATGAAATGTAACAGTACATCATAAAAATAAACAAATATGCAACTAACGCACAAAATACCATCGCCCAAATAGCTCCTTCTACAGAAGCATCCTCACGAATGTGCATATGATTCCACTCAAACAACATTCTCTTAAAATGATCTCATCATTCACATTTCCGAAAAACCATAAGATCATACCATTACAGAAACCTAAATTAACAGCTTCCGTATCCCATACAGCTACCTATAAGGCACAAGCAATCACACACCACCTTCAACGAAGTCGAGAAAAGAAATATATGCTATACGGAGATCAATCCCTCCTAACGAAACAGATTCTCAAATACTTTCCCCATGCTAATCAAACACACTCTTTCACAACGGCATCTACTTTTGTCTTGAATTTTCTTGAAATATTCGGGATAGAAATACAGATTAAGTATCTAATTTGTGATTTTCGAATCATCTGAATAGTTATAAAGATGAAACTACCTGATGAGACCCTTAAGCAAGATCGAAAAGCGTCGTAGTATGCTAAAAACCACACCCACACTCCACACCCTCGCAAACATTTGAAACGTTTACTAGAATTCTAAGCTCGATTTGTATATTTTGATTTCTTACATTATTCTTGTCTTTGCCTATTATTTCATTATGTTTTACATTTATCTTTTATTTACTCATTTTTACCTTTTAGTTTTTATTGTAAATGCAGTGCCCTGAAGAGTGTTTCAAATTTTAAAATAGAAATAAACATGAAGCGCGTCGACGAAAATAATTTTATTCTGGATTTACTCAATTAATTTAGAATTAAAATAATTATTAGATTTAACTCTAAAAGTTTAAAAATTCGACTATAAAATCGGTTACTGAAAAGTAAAAGCTGAGATTAGCAGATTGATTTGTGTTTTCGTTAAAGCATAGATTGATCTGTTTCCGTATTGAGTATCTAAATAACTCGTAATTATAAAAGATAGCGAGACTATCAGAACTTTTTACAACTGAAGAGAATAGTCGATCTAACCTTTCTTGAATCTGAATTGGAATAAGAAGATCAAAAAGAAAAAAAGAAAAAATCGCATTAAGATTTATTCCATTTCTAATCCCAATTTTTTCATATATGCTATTGTTCTCTCATCTGGCTCCAAGTTTGTACCGTTGAATAGATTGGTAATCGTATCTGCAAATACAATAAAGTTCCAATTATGATCATTGTTCATGTGATGATGTATGAAATGCTTTTTGACGACTTGATCCCCGGCATTTGACAATAACCACCGAAAGTACCAAGGAATTTTTTTTCGTCGAGAAACATCAGACATATGCAGATACTTATGATAAATAGTGGAAAGAGGTAATAGTAATGAAGGAAGTAGATAAGTAAGGAGAGACCATGGTTGGTCATGCCAGAATACCAGTCCACAATATGGCAGAGGGGTGAAAATAAGCAGTGCATATTGAGAAATGAGTCCATAAATATTTGCGCCCATGCCCATGGAAGAATTCAGTAAGGACGCTGTGTTTTTGGGATACTGTTGTAGTGTTTTAAGTCGGAGATGCTCTGAACATTCTCCATGCTCACCAATATGTTTCGTGTCGATGATAACATGTTTGTGATGAGCTAACCAATGTTGAGCATAGAAGGGATGGAATATGGAGTTGAAAAACTTCATGACTTGGTTGTGAAGCAGGATGAATGGATTTCGAGTTGTGACATCCGGTATGTGTGTCTCCTTTGATACTTTCCAGTGTCCATGAAATATGTATTTATGTATGACCAGTTCCCCGATTGCTATGTTGACGAATCCCAACAAGAAAGCAGCAACGGACCCTCTGAATGATATGGCGACAATCAAAAGCAAGAGATGTGTTAAGCTTAGATTCATTGTAGTTACTCCAGTGGGTTTAGTCCAATACACATACTGTAGGTAATCACGAACAGCAAAGAGATCAACTATATTAAAGAAAAATCTGCTGTTATCTTGTACTACGCAAGAAAAGAAAAAACACGAGCGAGTTTCTTTGACATTGCAATAAAAGCAGCAACGTTGTGATGCGCAAGAGAATTTTACTTATTCCACCATCATCATCACACAGATAACAGAAGTTAACAACACGAGAATGACAAAAGCACATAGAGAGAAAAAAGAGAAAGTCGCTTCTTTTCGGGGTGAGTCAAGCATACTACGGCGCGTTTCAACCTTACTTAAGGGTCTCATCAGGTAGCTATGAGGGTGTGGGGTGTGGGTGTAGAGTAGGGGAGATAAGACACCCACACCCACACCCTCAAGAAGAACTTGCAACCAACATAAAGATCATATTGAATTCAGATGATGAGAACTCACCTGAAGACGACGAGGAAGAAGATCTACCATCTATTTCAGCAAGTGAAAAATATCGATTTGATGGAATGAGAGTAATTAATTCAGTTTCTCCTGCATTATCTGACTCCTATTTTTCTGTTGATATCGATGGAGAAAAAAAATATATTCACAAGCAAACCGCTTGCTGACTTTTAACTGATAGTAAGGATAATTTATCAGCTGATCGCTTAAAGAGAGTTCAACAGTCCGGTTGATAAATAAACGAAAAAAGTTCATACACTAGACTGGACTAGCTCATTATAATTGTTTCTTATTTCATTACACTTTGTCAAGCAGATATATTTTTTCTCATTTCATTTCTTTATTGTTTATTGTTTATTGTTAGTTTTTCTTTTTTTTAAATAAAACGAACATAAATTAAATTACTCTATTATTCCAGTTGACTTGATATCCATCTTATTTGGTGACGTGTCTAGACTTCTGGCGATGATAAATTTTCTTCTATCTACTGTATTTTGCATGTACATTAAACTGAGATGATGAAAAACCTAATTTGGTAAAGTATCCTTCGTTGGTATCAATTTATTGATATGTAATATATTATTAGAAGTTTATAAATACTAAAAGAATCCTGAAAATCGAATGGAAATCAAGAAATCCCAACAGGAATCCATTCGGAATCCCATTGGAATCCGGGAATCCTGAATCTGCCTTTCCCCCCTTGACATAAAGTCAATTTACGTGTTCTTCTTAAACCACTTGTAGTCTGTAGCGGCAAGTGTATATTTATTAATATTCTACCTGAAAATATTACAAGTTGGTTTTCCAGTTATGAACAAGTCATTTATAATCTATCGATTATGGCAGAAGAGCTTCAAATTGATGCATTATCTGTTGGATTAGAATTAATTAAAATTTCCAACCAAGACTATACACCGTATTGGACATCATTAATTCGAAATATTCGTGCAGGAGGCTACTCAGGATTATTAACTTATTGCTCAATATTCTATCCAATTGAAACCCAACATATTGGCTTTTGGGATGAACTTGGCTTTATTGGTATGGATTTTTATCTACCTCTTCTTAACATAACAAATGATAGTAGCGTACCTTCGTATCAAGATATGGTTAGAAGATTTTCTCATTATTTTCAATATTTTAAATCATGGCTAAGTGATCAATCAGTCAATGTCACATCGAAACCGGTCGTTTTTACTGAAGTTGGATATCCAAGCTCATTGTCTGGACTTGCTATTCCATCTGGAGATCCATCCGCTCAATGCGTTGGTAATTACAGCACTAATTTTACATTACAAGATATGGCATTTAAAGCACCTTTTCAAGCTCTTAACGAAAATAAAAATATCTATGATGGAACAATTATATTTTGGTGGGATAATCCTTCTTCAACGGATTTCTATGATGAAAAAGATTCCAATAATTGGGGATGTTCATGGACAGTTTGCGGTAAACCGGCTGAATGTACAATAGCAGAAGCTTTTGGTGGAACATGTTCAATGAATCAAAGTAATTCGACCAACATTAACAGTCTTATTAGAAAACTATTCATGATTCTTATATTACTTTATTCAATGTAAAAGACTTATCTGAAGTTTTCTGTGACAATTTTTCCTATATAGGTAGATTCGGTTTAAACTACTGTGGTCGATTGCAAAAATATTATGCGAGTGATATTATTCCACATCTCATTGACAGAATACTCACATTTCTTTCGATTTATGTGTACGGTGAATGTAGAACGTGATAAGCATGAAGAATATCAAGAGGATCTTTTCATATCATATAATCCGCTTTATGGTTTCTCTGGGAAAATTCGACCTAAAAATAGAAGATTTTTTCTGAAGGACATACAAAGTACGACTAAATCTCAGATGAACTAGTACTCCAGTGCTGAGATGGTTTTCTCAGTATTTTTAAATCATCACGTCTAAATCTGACACATTACCCATATGATTCATTACGATGAAACTGCGGCGTAGTTACGCGTAATTATGATGAAAAAATCATAGTTACGCGTAACTGAGTCGCATTTTTTTGCAATTACGGATCAGAGTGCGATCATTTTTTCGTCAGCACTGCACTGCAACTGCTACAGGTAGAGACCTGCGGGTCCGGGTATAAAAATTAAGCTTTAGCCGGGTCCGGGTTCGGATCTCTTTCTAAATTTGACTTCAGATCCGGTTTGCATTAAATTGTGAATATGAATATCGATTTCTTTCTTATTTTTCAAGATTTCTTCTTTCCTTTTTATTTCTAAAATAGAAAAATGTCATTTCAAATGCATAAACTAAATATATTTGAAAAAACAAATAGACAATTAAATGCGAATAAATCACACGTCAATAACATCTGTTCGTTACTCTAACATATTAGTATGTTTTTATACAAAAAATTGAACTTTTCTTATTATTCCTGTTCGTCGATGACTTCCTCATCACAAAATTCATTGCCATCAAAAGTTCGAGCTTTTTTCGTTGTTGATGAGGAACAAAATATTTCTTCTTCATCATCATCGTTGCCACCAACACTGCTCGAGTTTGTCGAAGATGAAGGTCGTGCCATGTAATCTAGTTTTCGTTTTTCGTGTATGTGTAACGATTGTTGAAGATCAAGTTCTTTTAATGTTAATAGATTTTTATTAAGAAAAAGTAATTTGTTCACCTTTTCGGCATCTAAGTTTATTCGTCGATCAGAAATAGTATTACTAGATGTCGAAAACAAACATTCGACTGTAGTATTAGAAGCTGGAATACTGTAAATATTCTTTACTATCGCAACAAGAGTTGGAAATGTACTCTGATACTTTTTCCAGAATAATAAAACATCCCCATCAGATTCAAGTGTATCATTTGAAGACAAATACTGTGTTAATTCTTTATCTGGCGATTGAACTAATACTGGATCTTCATCGTCAGCAGGAAGGTCAAAGCATTCTAAAAAAAACATTATGTGTTGTTGGTGTAAGTTGTTGTGATTTTGATGTTGTTGAGGACGTTGTCGAAGAAGAAGGAGTTGTATTGATAATTGATGACCCAGAAGATGTAGATGATTGACGTTTTAACAATTCAGCTTTAACTAAATCCACAGGCTTTGGATTTTTCATGAGGAGCAATTTGAAAATGTTTTAAGGGCGGATGAAGTAAGCATGACATATAATGAACGTCCTGCAAAGTCCATGCAGATTTAAGACGTCGAGCTGCAATAAAAAAGAATGAAACAATATATTATATAACTGATTATATGTCAGTAGTGTAAGTGTAATAAAAGCTTTATCAGCATTTTCTCCTTGTCCTTGCTCCTTCATATAAAATAATAGCTGAGAATTAGAAAATAAAACAGTATTGCTTACATAAGAAAACCTTGATTTCTTTTAAACCATCGTAATCGTTCGATTTTATTTCACATTCGTTGAGTAATCGTTGACGCAGTGGAAAAACTTTATAAATGGTTGGTCGTTTATCATCACTAAGTTGCTCGATTACGTCATCGAACACTTTCAGAAATGAACATACTTGTTCTAAAAATTCTTTATCCAACAACAGATATTCATTTAAATTTATACTATCAAGAACAAGACCTAGCTCATCAAAAATGTTCAAAAATACTTGTAACATATGATAAGCACCATTAAATCTCGTTTCTGAGTACGTTTGTGCTCTTTTCGACATCTTGGTCTGCTTATGAGACCGTCTCACATGAGACACTATTTTCTTTACACGTTCGAATAATACTTGAGCAAGATCACAGTTTACAGGTGATTTATCAATTTTTGTTTTATTAAACGTATGTTCGAGCTGCTTGTTGATGAAATGGCACGAACAACCAATACGTTGACAGTTTAATTTGAATGTTGCAAGCATCTTTGGTTCATTATCGGAAACAATATAAACATTCTTATTTAACTCTAATCTATAGTCAGATAGTTTTGATTCAACAAATCTCCTTGTGTTAATTGCACTACTTGATTCAAGATCATAATCGTAGCATCCCAACACAAAACAATGTAGTTTCCAGTCATCACTTATGTGATGTAACGAAATACCACAATATTGAATACCTTAAAGGTCAAAAGAACTAGTAGCAGAGGTGTGTGAATGTGAAGCGTTATTTTAACGAACCCGTATGGGTATTCTTCCAAAAATCAACAACAACAGTATAAACAAGCATTTTTTCACAAATCGAGATTACTAATTGCTGATGCTTTTGGTTATACAGTTTGCCAACATGCCGGCTGACCTATGAAAGAGAAGAAAATCATCTTGATACGGTAAAAATAGATTTAAAAAAGTTTCTCTTACTGTTATTGGATGTGGAAGTAGTGTTTCAACGTTAATATCTTTAGATATAGGTAAGTATTTCCCGGTATCGAAAATTTTTTGTGCAAGATTTTTGAACCCTATTCCGTGAATTGTTTGAAATGATCGAGAATCAAGTGCTGCAAACTCAACACATGCAACTTTTATTTGCTGCTTTATTCGATCTGGAATATCAGGTTCACTTTTTGATGATGCATAAAATTGATTCATATTTGTCTGACTATGAGGAACTATAGTTTTGATCTTTTGACAACTACGAATATGTTTGGATAATGAATTAGTACCAGAGCAATGTTTATAAATAAGTAAATCTTCACATTGATTGCAAAAAACATATTCCTGTTTAATATCGTTAACATAAATACAACTAAAACTATTCCATACAGCTGAAGATCTTGGAGTTACTGTTGGTTTGACAATTCTCAATGATGAAATTTTTTGACTAAATAATTGTTCAATTTCTTTTTTCGTTAACACAGTGTACTTTTCAACAATCGACATGTTTCAATTTAACGAACATTTATTAGAGAGAAAGTGAGCAACAACAACAAGAAATAGTTGTACAGTGACTTTTTAAAGGGGTCAATAAAGAGCTAAAACCTTGTACCTTTATCTGTTCATGGACGTTGTGCACAGAGGGTGCCAGATATTGGTACGAAAAAATCGGGTTCGGGTCCAAAAAAACATGAACCCGCAGGTCTCTACTTAACTTGCTCTACTAGTGTATAGATTTTCCCTGGCCTCCCACCGAGAGTTTTTGAAAAAAAAGGAATAAAGAGGATTTTTAATAGAAAAGAGGAGAAGTAGGAGGATGTTTTTTGCATCCTTGAAAAGCATAAGTAGCACTAAAACTCCAACGTCGGGAAACGGATCCCTTTTTTATGTCTGTTTGATAGCTGTTATAAGTATAAGCTAAGAAAAACGTTGGCTATTCAGGTGCATTTTTATTCAATGTCTAATGCACACAGTACAAAGCTATAATATCAGAAGAATAATACCTAAAAAGTTTCAATCTCTACAAAATACAATACAGTTGAAGCTTAAGTAGTGCAAAAACTTACAATCAATCACGAAACGAAGTGCAAAATTTTACAAACAGTATCAATATGATCCTCACGGAAACTCAATCCATTTTGAACAGACTTGAACGCGCAAAGTATCTGAGATTATATTACTAGCTCATCGATAGACAAGAATTTATTAGCATTGATTAGTTCAAAAATATTTGTAGATGTTGATGTTGTCGTAACAAATTTTAAGTTATTATTCACGACATTCAAATTCGTTTTGTTTTTCGTTTAATATGTGCTGTGCAATAGTCTTTCAACTCTTATTTGAACAATCTAGATCACTAGTGCGATATATTGCGCAAATAAATGTTGTTTCCGATGATCCTTTCTGTAGCTATGCTTTAATTGACTTTCCGCTATCATCAGATTTATTCAATGAAGATTGATTAAATTTTGTCTTGTGATCGGTCATTGAATGAAAAAATGGATATACTTCCCAGTGAAAAAAGATTAAATTATGCGAGATTTCAGTAGATTATAATCGGATTTTTCTGCACCGAAACCCAAATTATAGTTGACTGAAATCTTGGAAATCAACGATAATTTGATTTTTAATCAAACAATAATCTTAAAAATTAGGTAAAATTTTGATTAAAATCGTATTAAATCCATATTATATGACTTTAAGCAAACATAAATGATGTTTATCGAAATTGTACAGGATTTTGAAGGCTACTGTTTAATGAAAAATCAAATTATCGCTGATTTCAAAGGTTTCAGTCAACTATAATTTGGAATTCGGTGCAGAAAATCCGATTATAATCGACTAAAATCTCCCATAATTTGATTTTTTTTCACCGGTTTATACGGAAATATTATACTGTTTTTGTGAAACACGACCTGAAAGGAGTGTTGAAGTGTTTAGGGTAGAAATTTTGCACCCCCNACATTTTAATTAATTAGCTAATTTCAGTCTAATTGATGAATTAATCTTCACATACCTTGAGAGAAAAGCTTTGGATCCATCACAAACGGTATTAGAAATGCAGGGAGCATAGAGAGGTGGAGCAATGACTATGATACACCTCAACAGTTACGTCGTGTTTCACATTTAAATCCCAAAGGGGTTGCGCTAACAGCCTTTTTTTATATTACAGTAAAATAATAATGTAAGATGATTGCACACGATTAATTACTATCGCAACCCAGAAACCCGAAGAAATTCAAATAGAAAAAGATAAGGGGTTTATGTCATACAGCAGTGTCTCATTAATAAAAGATAACTAGTGTCGCTTCAATTAAGGGAAATGCGCTAAGTTATATTCAGAGATGCCAGATGTGAAAGTCGAAAATCCGGAATTTTTTTATCAAAATCTGGAAAATTCCGGCAAGGTTTTCAAGGATCAATTTTAGTCACGTAAAGGGCACCGTTCTCAGTTAAATTATAAATAAATTTGTATATTTTCGCAAAATAAAACATACTGTAATCACACAAAAAAAAACAGCTAAATGTTGTTAACTTATAGAAAATAACTTAGAAATTATACAATTTGAAGTTAATTAACACGTGGTTTTTTGGCACAATATTTTTCATTAGAATGAATAAGTTTCAGCAGTTCTGGTTTTGATAAAAAAAAATTATAAATTTATGTACATGATAAAGATGAGTTAAAACGAATTTTTAATTCAGCTGCAACAAGTTTCATTGACATACGATTTCGTTTATCATCGTATAGATGCTTCATGGCTGAAAAAACACTTTCACCAAATGCATTGCTACATGGAATAGAGATAAGGTCACCAATAGAAGAAAATCTTAAACCTCTACTGAATTATTCACAAGTTAGAATGCTAAAACAAATGAAATACAACCGAAATAAAAAAAATCGCTAAAATCCGGAACATCTGGCATCTCTGGTTATATTACAATTTAATTAGGGATAATTCACGCAATCTATGAATGCTCATTTTATCTTTATTACTTCTCTTTTCTTTTGTAGAAATCGACTGAATTCATCGATTACTTTTCATTCAATGCTCTAGTGTTCAACTATCTTGATGGGACTAAATTCCATATTAGCTTTTTGTTCCAGCTCCTATAGTTGCATGTACTATATGTTAATAGATCTACCACTATGTCGTTGTGAAAAAGTCACGAAAGAAATAAGTATTTACAGGCACACACCAGCTTCTTATTCTAGGGGGGAACGGCAGACTTGAAGTAGAAAAGTACGTCAAAGTACATCAAAGTAGACTGCTTGAAGTAGTTCAAAGTAGGACCAGGTAGCTGAAGTAACTCGAAGTAATCTCAAGTACTTCAGGTAAATCTGAAATTGAAGAGTACTTCAAAGTAAACTACTTGAAGTAGCTGAAAGTAGCTGAATGTAACTTGAAGTCCAAAAGTCTGCTGTTTTCCCCAGAGCTCGGCGAAATACTCGAAGTACTCGTACTCGAGTACCATTTTGGTCGTACTCGAGGGTGAAGTACTCGAAGTCCTACACCAACATTAATTATATCAAAATGATGCTTGATAAAATCATAATGTAGATTTTTTTCAAGAAAGAACAGTTGATTTCTTTCTTTCCTTTTATATTTATATATATATATGTATTCTGAATGAATCATTCAGATAAATATTTATCCTTCTTTATATGAACTCGATCTGAAATACTTATCAGTGCCGGCTACATCAGCTCCTATTGAAAGAATATTTTCTCAAAGTGGACTTGTAATACGCCCACATCGCGCATCGTTAACTTCAAAAATGTATGCTTGATTACATTTCTTAAATGTAATCAAGTTTTGTTGTAGTTTTTTTTTGGAACTTGATAATAAACGTAATTTAAAAATATTGATTCATGACTAAGACTATTTCTTGATCTCACAATTGATACGTAATCTCTAACACTACCAATTAAATTTTCTCTAATAAGTTCGCGACAAACACATTCCCATATCATGTACGCGTACTCGCACTCGAAAAAATCCTTACTTGCCCAGCTTTGGTTTCCCCCTAGTTCTTATTGCTAAAAAATCTATTTGTGCTAACAGTTTCTAAACTCACTCTAAATTTTTATTAAAAAAAAGGGAAAAGAGGCGGAGTGGGTACCTAGATTTTCCACATGATTAAACCGGTACATAAAAACTCAACCTGGCGGTTTAGTTTTAATACTGGTGTCTTAATTTTCAATTCTTATTTTAATTCTATGTCTTTTTCTCAGTTATTTCTCTTTTCTTAATTTACTTACTTGTCACGTTTCAGTTTAAGGTTTCTTCTATTGCTTATAATTGCAAATGCAGAGTACTGATGAACGTTTTAATATTTGAATAAATAACACGAAATTTGCCGGCGAAATTCACTCTACATTTCTTTTTAGTTTTGTTTAATATTCTTTAATTTTCGACTAAGCCAATTGCCGAAAAGCAAGAGTTGCGAGCAGTACGTTGATTTGTATTAAATCGACATAGATCGGTCTTTTTTCTAGTCGAGTTTCCATGCGATGGAACTGCGACTTAGTTACGCGTAGCTGCGTCGCAGTTGCAAAACGAGTCAACATGAGTTAGGTTTTTATTTTATTCGTATGTTTATTACGGATTGCAAAAAAATTATTAGAATAGAAAAGTTAAACAAAAACTGCATAACCAAAATTTTGAAAAGAAATCGAAAAATTATAGCGGGAACACATATTCTATTTGTTTTAATGGAATGGAATATGAGCCGGAGGCTCGCAGAAATTCACTTTTATACAGTCTCGACGTGACTAAACTTTTACGCCATAGTAAGGCCAATTAGAACAAGAAGGAGGGGGCACTTGTAATTGAGTGTTATCAGTTAGAATGGGTCGTAGGAAACGAGAGAAATGCGACGCAATTGATAAAACGGAGGTGATACGAATCAGGGGTCGCAACGGGCTGCCCGATCCGGTGAACCGACCCGGACCGGGCTGGTCACATATTTCTTCGGTCCACCCGGACCGGCTTGTTTTATTTTTTTTTCTTATGAATCGAACATAACTGGTGCGTCAGCATAAAGGGTGTGGGTAGCTATTTCTTTATTCCTTTCAGCTTTCATAGTATCGGACTGACTTTTTTACCCAAAGATTCAGCCTTGAATGCTCTACAAAACCATAAAAAAAGAATCACATGGGGATAGAAACAAAGCAATTATTGTAGTAATACTTCTAACAAGCATCGATATCAACTTTAAATAACTTGTATTCAAATTAATTTGCGTTTTTTCTTGCTAGTGAAACACTTTTAGAAAGCTTCAAAGGTAATATTTCTGATGCGATGATGAGCGTACTATATAATGAAACATACGAAAGAATATTTCAACGAAAAACTATTGACAAAGCATCCTGTTTTTGGTCATCTAGTCTGCCTCTGGCATATTTTGGCATTTTATTTGAATCTAGTCGATAGGAAGTGATGTTTCTGCAGAATTAATGTATAATTCCATGATATTCCACAGTGCCAGTCTGTACCTTTAAAAAAAGACAGAAAATTTTCACCGAAAAATAGTACTTGGTCGACTAATATGAATTTTTCAAGAAAACGAAAAATTATTGATAAAAACGCGTTTTTTAGAAAATTTAAAGAAAAAGTAATACTTATTTTATCCAGCATGTTTTGATCATAGAATTATTTCAGTATATTCATAAGATAGACCTTTTGAAGCTCTACACAATCGGCAGTTCAATTTGCCTCTATAGCCCGATATGAGAACACATAAATACAAGAAGTTGTAGTTCATGCTCGAAAGTTGTTGATGTTAATTGTTTTGAGTATTACTGCAATAACTTTTTTGTTTCTATCTCCATACGATTCATTTTTTATGGTTTTGTAGAGCATTCAAGACTGAATCTTTGGGTAAAAAAGTCAGTCCGAAACTATGAAAGCTGAAAGGAATATTGAAGAAATACTGAGACCGCCATTTTTGCCGATGCACCCGTTACTTATGATATTTTTTGTTATCATATGAACTATGTGATCTTATGAAATTTATTAAGAAATCAAAGTCATACTGTGTACATGTAGGTAACTTTTTCTAAATACTGCATTAAGTTTCAATCTTATTAATCTCAGATATGATTAAAAGATAGTTCATCGGATTATGTCGGTCCAGACAAATTGACGGGTCGGGTCGGTCCATGAAAAATTGGACCGTTGCGACTCCTGGTATGAATTACCTTCACATCTAAGGGTGTGCAGTGCGATGAACGGTGAAGTCGGTAAACACATGAAGAGCCTTTGGTCTCGATCGGTTACTTAACATCACTAGTCTCTTTTTAAAGAAAGGTACTTAACTAATAAAAAATACCGGTTGTCGCCGACACTTCTTCATGTACTTACCGATATTACCGATTTTTACAATTATACTTCACTGCACATTCCTATTCACAGCCTCTCATGTAGCAGCAAACGAGAATGAATTGAAGACGTAATTGCCCATGAGAAATATTTTTCTTTCTCCAAAGTAAAAAATTTAATAAAAAGAAATAAAAAGTAATCATCAGCACTTTTAAGAATTCTTTACGAAAAAAAAGAATGTACTAAGAGTCGAAAACAAGGTACCCGTTTGAACTGAATTTGTATAACATTAAAGTTTCAATTAACAAACTGGTTGCTTTCTAAAATTAGCAACTAAATATTAGTTTTACAGGAAGCTGTTGGCCAAACAGCAAAAAAAATTCGTGCGTCGCCCACTCATTTGATCCGTTGAAGAGAAATATTGATTTAGCTAACGCAAATTTGGATAAAAAATCATCGGAAGCTTTCTTCTTTCTGTTATTTTTCATATAAAAAAAATAAACAAATTTTCAGTATAAAATGAATAGGTGATGAAATATTCAACATAGAAGAATTCATTTGTGAATAATCGACTATTCTTTATCGGATAATTCATAAATATTATCAATTTATCCTTTGATTCAAATCTACTAGAATAAATATGAAATTAATATTATTTGTAATAACTATTTTATTAATTCTAAATAAATTTTTATTAATAAATGGATTACCAGCAACAATATGTACACCACCAATAGCACTTTATGATACATCAAATGCAACAACAGTTGTTGGGAATGGAGCATCATCATCATGTAATGAAACGGCTTTAGCAATTGCACTAAGTCTTGGTGGAATAATAACATTTAATTGCAGTTTAACTGGCCAACCAGTAACAATTGATATTCATAATCAATTAAATGTTTCAAGAGCGACCGATACAATTATTGATGGTGGTGGTATAATTACATTAAACGGATTAGGTTTAACAAGAATTTTAAACTTTAATCTCAACAATTTTCTTTACGACACGCCAGTATTAACAGTTCAACGTTTAACATTTGTAAATGGTCACTGTCAAGATAGTAATGGTGGTTGCGCAATATTTCAAGCAAATGGAGGAACAACAGTTGTTATTAATTCCATATTTGAAAATAATGTCGGGCCTGTTGTTGGACAAGATACGGCTGGTGGTGCTATTTGGACCATCGGTGGAGGAACGACAACTATTATTGGAAGTATGTTTCTAGAAAATCAATGTTCAAATGGAGGTGGACTTGGAATTCTTGGAAGTGGTTTAATTATGGTTAATTCGTATTTTCAAGGAAATCAAGCAACTGGAAATGGAGGAAATCCAGGAAATGGTGGAAACGGCGGGGCTATTAGTTTTGATGGTCTAGGAAGAAATAATTCGATTTGTGGAACAAGATTTACAGGAAACCAAGGAAATAAATTTGGTGGAGCCTTTTTTCGGGTTGCTTATAATGGAAGCGAAAGAAATGATTTTAACCAAGTTATTGTTGATAATAATTGGATACCAGCAGCTTCAAATGGGCTGGCTGGTGGTTTATATATTCAAGGTAGTATGGCAACAATCACATATTCATCTATTGTTGGTAATGCAGCAAGCGGTGCTGGTGGAATCTTTTTTGCTAATCAAGGATTAGTCATATTAAATTCAGTTAGTTTAATTGGCAATCAAGCTTATACTGGATTAGGTGCTGCTCTTTCTTGTACGAATCCTGTTTCTGGAACATTTACAAATCTTATTGTTGCTAATAATTATGCCGGAGCTTTTGCTGCTGCATTTGCTGGCTGTTCAACAACAATAACACTGTCAAATACAGTTATTGCAAATAATACTGTTGGAAATCCATGGCCAGCTAATGCTTGTTCTACTCCTATGAGTGATGGTTCAGGTGTTGTTCAATCACCTATTGGTAAACAAGCACCAGCTTCAGGTCAAGATGCTCTTTGTACAAATGGATCTGTCATTGGGCTTAATAATGTTACTGTTATCTTAAATGAAACAAATTGGCAAATTCAAGTTATTGGTGCGCAATCATCATATATGGGTCCATCATCGAATTTATCTGTAACTACTTATTCTCAAATATCAACTGCATCATCAACTCCATCCTCAACTCCATCCTCAAATCAATCCTCAAATCAATCATCAACCCATTCATCAGCTATTACTACATTTAATTCTTCATTTTTTATTCATGTCATTTCTATTCTTTTTATTTTTTTTTTAATTGTGAGAGACGTTCAATGACTGAATGTTAAAAATTCTCCCACAGTTGCTCTTTCTCTCCATTTCCATCAATGCTTAAACAAAAAGACTATGACATCCATGATATTTTCTCTCGCGGGTGCGTGTGCATAATAGCAGTATCGACCGGTGTATGACGCAGTAGGTGTTATGTTTGTTTTGCAGTCGACTGATCAGGGGTTCAAATCTTAGTCCAAGCTATCACTGAAACCATTTCCACTCTGTTGCTCGGTATTCGAGTGTTATACAATAGTTTGCTATGATATGTTGGTTCGATTCCAAAAGACGGCGATGACTATTTTCTCTAGTTTTTCGGATAGAAGTCGAAGCATTTGAACGCGTCAAATTATATTCCTCGTAAGCACTCGGAGACGCGTTCACAATTGAAAAAATCGGTACATGTAGGTTGGGTGTTCATGCAAATCGACTTGTTTCACCTACATTCTCAAGATTGAGTGACGTGAGCAAAACAGGTTAAAAAACTATGGCTACCAGAATCTTTAATCCGCAAGATCTAGTGTCTCAGGAGAGGGTCAGAAAAATAAGCGGCTTTTTGTTTCGATATAAAAAAGCTTATTAGCGCAGCCGCTTTGGGGCTAAAATGTGGAACTCACACATATCCCTCCGGCTTACTAAAACAATTCAAAATAGTTCGTCTGAAAAATCTATCCTGATTTCCAAACGTATCATTCGGTCATTGCCTATTTTCTTATGTCTGTAATCGAGTATTAATTGTTAGCTAGTATAATTAACAATCACAGATACTAGTTACTAGGATCTGTAATGGTACCCTAAACTAGTTACTATGGCCTGTAATGGGTAACTACTGCGTTTTTCGTGTAGTCTGTAATTAAAAAAGGAAGAAAATAGCAACCTAATTAGTCAAGCTTCTAATCAGCGCAATTTTAAACTAATTAATGTCTGCAATGGGGAGGGGGGGTGGGGAGCCGCAAAAATCTCGCTTATAAACTTACACTCACCATTTTCTTCGGAAATATATGTGAGTTCCACAAAAAGCATCGAACTATTAACTAGGATTCTCACCTTTCTGATGGTGAAAGCCACAGATCTCTTTTATTTCGAAATGAATAATTGATTTACGTTTGATTTCTTTTTATTTGAAAATTAAAAGCTGCTTCCCCATCTGTTGTACCATTAAGCTTGATAGGTTATTAAAATTGAGAAATGATATCTTTTTCCATCGCATTGTAACGAACAATTTCAACATTGTTCTTCAATTCTTCCAAACAAAGGCAACATTGAATAGACATCTTATATTTAATTTTCATCACTTTTTCAAAACAAAACTATGTTCCTCTAACTAGAAAAAGAAGTGCGCGTATGTTATTTATTGTAATGTCACTTGAAAAGTTTTAATTTCCATAAGATTGAGTGTAACGACTGTACTCGTGAAGAAATTTTACTCTAAAATATGACAATCAAATGTATCGATTTAAATATATGCACTTCTTTTTCATACCTGTTGGTTGCCAATAAGATGATTCATTATTATTTGTTGTCCAAACAAGTCGTTTCATTTCACTTAATGGTAAATTGTCTCCAAGTGTCAATTCAAGTAATTCCGAGATTTTACCTAATCTATTGAATAATATTTGTAAATCAAATTGAACTGGTTTTGAAAAAATCTCATCCTCATTTAATTCAAAATAATGTTCAACTCGTATAAGAAATATTTTTGCTGGCAGCTGATCAAAGGTTAATAAATAAACATTATATGGTAATGGTTCCGTAAAAGCGGACCATATTTGACGATAACTATTTGTATAATCATCATAAAATACGTTTGGTAATGCATAAGTACCCAGAGGACTCATGAAAATACGTTGAGCAATATTACGATGATAAAAAGCGCTTGATTCTGGTGGTTCGAGAAGAAGAAAATGTTTGCTACATACTACAAGACCTTTCCCATAGGCAGTTTCGTTTATCGGTTCACCAACACCAAGAGAAAATCATCATGAAGTGTTCGACGATGAACCATAAGTTCAATAGAACCATCATGCATACTTGAACCGTCTTCGGATCTATCTAAAACGCATTTATTGGAAGTTTCAGAACAAAAAATTGATTCTCCTATATACCTGTAGGTATTGTCAATTGTCTTTGATTATCTTTAATCCAAATACGACTTGGAATTGGATAATAATTTCCGCTCACATTTTCATATACAATATAGTTCCAAGACGGTCGATAATCTCTTTTGTGTTCAAGCACTTCACGTCCATTAGAATCGCTATAAAAAGTTGCATCGCTTTGAATATCTGTATCATAACGCACAATGATTTCTTTACCAAGATTATCTTCAATTGGTATTGGACCAACAATCCATTCGATTTCAGTGATTCGTGATCCATCATAGATTCTAATCTCTTGAGAAGCTCATTCATTATAAACAATTAATGCTGTTTGTACTTGATTCATGTATGTACATGTTTTAATTAGTATTAAAATGTTCTCATGAAGAATCGTATTTTATACTTACATATTACGTACACTGCTCACGGGCAATGGGTTAGATTTGAGTGGTCGAAAGTAATAAGCACCTGATGATTGAAATTCCGGACGAGAATTGTTACCCTGAAAACCTAGGGTGTGGGTATGCGGGTGTGGTTGTGTGGTAGGGGTATGGGGTGGATGCGTGTCGATGAGGCTGTGGGTGCGGGTACTCCTCTTAAATAGAGCCACATACACCCACACCCACATCCATCCTTCGTTTTCAAGCTATATCTCGACCGGGAAAAGATATTCTCTCGGGAGTCGATCGTTTGATTAACGATGGTATTGCTGATCCAAATAGACTTGCCATTGGTGGTTACAGTTATGGTGGTTATCTAACAAACTGGCTGATTACACAAACCACACGCTTCAATGCGGCTCTTTCTGGTGCCGGCGGATTGGAACACGTCTCTGACTGGGGCACCGCCGATTTACCTGTGGATGTTACCGATATATTCGGAGGTCTTCCGTGGGAGGTACCACACATTTATCAAAGTGAAGGAGCTATTTATCAGTAAGATAAGGTCCGTACACTTACATATATTGTAACAGGAGAAAATGACGTTCGAGTCTCTTCATCTCAAAGTTATATTTTGGAACGCGGACTCCATTACCTTGGAATACCTGTGCAACTATTAATTTTTCCGGGTGAAGGACACTTGCTAAGCAATAATCCTTGGCACCGAAAGATCAAAGCTCGAGAAGAACTCAAATGGTTACAGAAATATGGTTCTATATCTTCGATTGAGACACTTTGATTTTCACTTTGTATTTATCTATGACTCTTACAATATGAAATAATACATGAATTTATTGATCATAGCTAGATGAGGATCCGTTTCAAAAAGAAGTCGAGTGATTGAGGGTTGAATCGTTCGAGAAGGTCAAAGACTATTGAAGCATCATGTACCCAAACATTGAAGTATATAACCATAAATAAAATTCAAAAAGTGTAAATGGTTTTGTGATGTGGTTTCTAGCGAGATCTATGGAAGCACTCTTTTCCTATTAAGGAATAATGAATCGAATTTCGATTCCAACGTGTGAATATGAAACACGATGGAGATTGATTACGATCAGCCAGGCGAATTAGAAGACGAAAACAGGTGAATGAAGAATTCCAATTGAATATAATTCTTGCTGTTTTGTTGTTTCAATCGTTCAAACGATTCATTAACCGATGATGAAAAAAAATGATTATTGGCAAAGAAATGAACTATTTGATTTAGCTCATTTTCGCTTCCCAGGTGACCGGATCGGATACCAGATCGGATCTTCTCAGCACCGATCGTCCAGCCGAAACCCAATGCAATTCTGAGACAACAAAAATTGTAATTCAATGGATGGGCCTACCATACATTTTGCGATGAAAATCCATACATTTGGATTAAAAATAACGCTCTTTTGCCTTCTGGACAAAAGGTTTTGAAAGACCTTTGCCATAGGAATCTCTATTTTACCATATATTAACTAAGCCGACTGCAGTTTTGACCCGGTGGAAGGTCTGCGAACATGTTTAAGTGGCAATTAATCAAGTTTGAGATCATTATTGACTATTTTGCCCATTAAAAACAATGAATATATTTTTCAACTAAGAACGGATCTTTTGTGATAGCAGGATCGCGATTTGTTTCAAAATAAAAATTTGTCTGTCAAAACAGTCAGAAAATAAACTGTATTCAATTATAAGCGTTTCATTGTTTCAGCACTATTTTTAATCATATATTGACCACTCCTCAGATCAGAAATTAATTAATTTTAAGATTACACTTGTCTTTTTCAATTTTAATGATTATTCAATATTAGCACTACAAAATTTATTATTATTGACGTGGTTGAGCTATATATGATGATACCTGAAGAGGTGCATTATAAAAATTAGCTCGATTTTGAATTAAAAATTTTAAACATATCAGGATTGCTACATAAAACATTGATCATATCATGAAATGACTCTTTCAATATTGGATATGAATTCATTTGTTGATAATCATAAGTATTGCAAACAGATTCATGATGGAGCGATGGGCTCAGAGTTCATGCAACTATTAGCGAATACATCTGACAGGCGAGTTTGTAATTCAGTTGAGGTTGGAATAAGGCTTTTTGATAAGAACTACTATTCACATCGAAAATTACATAATTTGTTTTTTTCTTCAGAATACAAATTTTCTCTATATTTTGTAAATGATGGGGACATGGGGACTCAAAATCATTGGTTAAATTTTTGTTTTAATCTATTACTAAAAGTATGCATAAGCACGTAAATGGGATGGGCACATCGCGATTTTAAAAGTCATTTATAAACGAAAATTTCATAGAACACAAAAGTTGCATATTCATGACATATTTGGATTGTCTATTTTGTTAAAATTCAAAATATTTAAATACCTATTATTTTTGATCTTATGCTGCGCAGGTATTTTTCAAAATCGAGTTGAATGATACATAATTCATGTTATTGCATTAAAAATATTGATTTTAACAAATTGTCTCAAGCGAAAAAATACGGTCTGCTTGTCTTGTATCATGCCTAGAAAGCGGGCACCGATGATTTTCGCAATCGTTTTGAAAACAACACTCCAAATACTTTCATTGCCCTTCGCGAAAAGTTTGAATACGTTGAAAGTAATGATTGAACTGGGAATGGACTGCATTAGCTCTTACAGAATCAGCTGCTCAACGCGGAAATACAAGATGGAAAATAAGACATACTAAATATACGAAGCGAATTTTTTTTTTGACTATGTGATATCCATTCAAGAATTCGATATTAACTCACACTGTACATGTATTGCTAGTTCAAAATGTGGACGTAAATACTCAAGTGTTGATATGATATTGCGGTAATTTTTTAAATGAATCTAAGTTTGTAATTCAGACTCCACTAAAGTAAACCTTAGAATTAGATGTGAAGCATTTTCTCAGAAAAATGCCTAAGTCAAAGAGACACTCGCTACAGAAACTGGTCATAATTAAAGTAGAGGTGTATTGCGAAGGCAGAAGAACATCAATAATTTTTTTCTGTTACTTAAACTCCTAATGCTATCTCATAAATGATCCAATAACGTGATTGTTTGGTTTAGTTAAGTCTTGAAGGAATCTGCTTAGGAAAGTCGATAACCCATTTCCAAATTATATTGACTCATTTGTAAATGATTTTATAGTTACTTGTGATATCAATCTTGGCTCCGATGAGCCTCAAAAGTGTTCAGTCATTGATATAGAAACAAATACTAGTCACATAGAGTAAGTATTCTTTTATTTTTTTTATAATATTATTCGAAACACGTAGCTTTTTATGAAGAGATATACATCCCAGACACCACGCCTTGTACATATGCAATATTAGAAGTATCTATCACCTTTGGTAATTATTAGCGTCGAAACTGATCAATCACTCATGATGAAATTGCCTGATGAATGGTACATCGGTCAACATGAGTAAGTTTGACTAAATTATTGTTACAATTCTGTATAGTTGTTTTTCTATTCAGATACAAAGTTCTTAATGAAACGAGTGTAAAAGCAAAAAATATCATCACTATCGTATTTCTTTAATTTCAGAATTGATTAAGCTGTAGGGGAAACCTGAAGGAATTCGTAATCTTCAGTATTTGGACACTCACCGTAATAATGGCACACCTAATATTGTGGTAAATGGTAACACACCCACACCTTAACGCATAGAAGCTAATGCGCTTCAACAACTTCTTTAGATGGTGGTCTAAGTTGAAATAAAGGGATATATATGAAAAAATTATCCATTTAAAACCAAGCAAAAAGCAGCGGAGTTGAGGTAGCTCAAAGTATGTAAAAGTACATTACTTGAAGTAGCTAAAATTCGCTCAAAATAAGAACAAGTAGCTTAGTGAGTTTGAAAGTTGAAAAGCAGCTCAAATTAAGTAACTTGAAATTCTACAAACACTTTCTTCGTGTTTGAGACGCAGTTTTGATAAATGTCCCGTACTTCATGGAAGAATTTATGATAGCTTGAGCATAACTTGTCAATAAAAGATTATTTTTCACTGCGGTCCATCGCTTTCATTTTTTCGTGGTGCTTTTTGTTGTTTTCTCTCCTCGAGAATTTTTCGTTCCTGTTTCTTCATCGAATATGTAGCCGTGATGATAACCACCACCCAGAATACAAATAGATAGATAATTAACACTGCAATATTGATACCAAATCGCGAATGTGAGCCAAACAAGAGATGCCGACCACCATTCAAAATATTGTAAAGTGGTAGTCCATAGCCATAGCAAAAACAACGTGGCGAGAGTTCAAGGGAGAGTTGAATAGTGGCACCAGCTAGCAGAAAAGCAGCGAATATGGTGAGAAAAAAGTTGAAATAGAGTCTAAAAATAAAAACAAACATCACGACCATGATACCGAGCCAGCAAAGTGAGAGCCAATTGAACATCCAATACCTCATGAATTGTTGACCAGAAGTAATACCATAGAACCAAAGAACAATAAGAGAATATATGAGAGATATTATGAATGATTGAAATATTGCATTGAACGTTCGAAATGCAATCAAATCGAAGATTTTGATTGTGCCGACTAAAACAGAGAAATTTCGAAAACATTAAAATAGAGATAAGTCGCTACTTTTGAACTGAGGAATAAAAAATTTCAGAGAATACAAATCTATCGCATTACAGGGTGTCTCAAATAAAACTTAGTCCCCACGCAATTTTTATAATACAATAAATGGATGGGGTACGATTCATTTTAATGATATGTATCAGACAGTTGACACCTATGTGTTGCCTTCACACTTTTTCTGAAAGATATTATAGGGAATTTCACGGAGTATCTGTTGGTAAAAAGATAAAGTTCAAGACATTAAAAATAAAAATTGAGTAATAAGTAAAATGCAAAGTATCCGATTATGCTAGACCATTGATACAGTCAAAGAGACCTGGTTGAAATCCCCATTTTAATAGAAATCCTTTTACTATTGTAAAACTGCTCTGAAATCGAGCCAACAGTAATCAATGAGGTAGAAAGTAACATAACCATTTTGTAGTCGTGAACAAAATTTTCCAAGCAACCAATATCCACTGATAAGAGAAAAAAAATGTCTTTAGAACAAAACAAATTATTACTTAGCGGTGTGATACTGCCAACGCTGAGCGCAACAACCACACATGCAACTAAGCAGAGATAGATGTAACCAAGTGTTGTTGCCAGTTGACCTACAAAGATAATTTAAAATATTCGTATCTAAAGCAATTTGCTCAAGGGTCGCCAATGATATGTGGTAGTTTACGATTTCACTGAAAAGTTGGAACTGTTCAAAATCATTTGAGCTAGACCTGCCCACTATGCTTCAGTTCATATGAATAGAAGCTCATTTCGAATTCTGTTTGATCGTCTTTATTCCATCAAATTCTGACGAGGTGCTATCTATTTTCGTCAGATTCCAACAAAATCCGATAAGATGCGGATAGGAATCATGACTACTGGATTTTTTGATCTCATTAGTCCCCAATCGTTGTATAGAAGAGAAAAGGCTGAAAACGAACAATTTTCAAACTATAGACTTAGGTTAGGATTTCTACAGCTTCAATAGTTTCTCATTAGATTCGGTTATTCTGAAAGATGAGAACGTTTGAAATGCATCATTAGGAGTTATTATCAGACACATTCTCAAAGTCGGCAGGTAATACTAGCATATACCAATTTTTTCACTAGATACTTTTTTCTGGTGATATGCAAATTCAATAATTTAACTTTTTAAAGTATTGAAAACTTTTTTGAAGTTTTCAGAAATTCCAGGAAGTTTGGTAATAGCAAGCATCAACAGACCAACATAAGGATAAGCAGGATGGAGATTGTTGTACTGTGCGTTGAGTGGATTGGCGATGACAGAGCTGAGAGCTAATGCGTTCAGACGCTGCTAAGTTCGATTGGCTGTATTCGGTGATGAAGAGAGATTGTTGATGAGTACTGTGCTAAGTGCCTGGAAATATGCGGTAGTAGCAGTAGCTATGGCTGATTCAATAGCTGGCAAAACATAGTAGTCCATGGTATGAGTTCCGTCCTTCTTCATAAACGACTAGCACGGGAGGTGAAAGCACAACTGGTGAGATGAGTAATGAAGCGCCATTGATGAGAGCCAGTAGCGAAGCATTGATGGAAGATGAAGTATTAGCTTGAAGTGATACGACAGCCCAGACGTGTCCACCTGTCACATCGACTTGTGCATCATTTATATTATTGCTGTAGTCACTCGGATCCTTGTATCGCCAATGCAGTGTTCTGTTTCCAGGAGGTGTATTTCGAAAGGCATCGAGAAAGAAGCTTCCGGCTTGATCACCATCGAAATCGACAATAGCAACATCGAGATTGATTGTGTAACGATTTGGGTTATGCCCAGAACCCAAATAAAGTGTGCACAAAAGAAAAATAAGTATATAGAGCTGAATAGAGGCAATGAACCACTGAAGAAAGAAGGTGGAACGTATTTTTCTGACTTCTTTGTGTGACGAGAAAAAGAAGTGAACAGGTTCGACACTTGAAGCTGAATGTCCCGCTAGTATTCTACCGTTGTTAAGCTTTGACAGCATATTAGTGTACAGGTGTAAACGAATGACAACAAAATAAAAACTAAGTGGTACGCTTCACTACCCTTAATCTATCTGATATACTATTAGTGCGTTACCTACGAACGGTCTTATTCGAACTCTAGCATATAAAGCATTTTATTTTGGACATAACACCCCGAAATGCTTTCTATGGACAAACTTCAAGAACACGCGTCCGTGAATAAGCACTTGTTGACATCGTCAGTCTCACCAAAACACTTCTGGGATAATGATGAGGCTGTATCGAAAGCTCGTCGATTACTCTTGTTCGCATGGGTTCGATCTTCTATTCTGTTCTAGTTGCTCGTTCTTCTCGTTGCACTGATCTATTTGGGAAGTGGCACGGTAAGTTTTTTTTCACCAGTATTACTGTTCTGGTGCGCAAAACAAATTAACATTAATTTGCAGCTAGATTCAGACATGTTTCAGCTTCAGAATTTCTAACTTCGTGTAAAGTTTCGGATTCTAGAATTTTAAGAAAATTGTATTTTATAGTGTTCTCTCGGAATTGCCGATACACCATGTGATAATTGAAGTATAATCGTAAATCCGTCACTACAATTTTTCTTTACTGATGACTGAAACATATATGAATATGTGAGAATTTGCAAGAGCCAATAACTGGAACTTCATTCACATATCACTTTTTTTATTCCTGTAGATGAATGCAATTAAGATTTTGTTGCAGCTCCATTCAATGTCTCATTCATTATACTTGTAGATATCTGAGTGAGAATCGTTCTTCATTTGCTTATTTTTATATGTTGTTGTCGTTTTACCACAGAGAATATTGGTATACAAGGTTTTGCTCTTATGTTTCTCTTCTACCTCCTGTATTCATTGAATGTGTAAGCATAAGTGCGCCATTTCTCTTCTATTCTCTTATCCTTCGTGTAACACGACTGACAATGAACATTGCTAGTCCGTAAGCAGAGGAGCTCTTTCTCTCTCTCTCTCCCTCTCTCTCTCTCTTTATTTTCGATTCATAAACCAGAGCTCAGACGAAAGTATTTTTACTTGTACTTAGGGAAAAGTACTTCGTACTCATATGTTCCACTCATTGAGACTCACCCAGTATAAGTATAAGCACCAAATACTTTACTTGAAACACAAGTAGAAGTACCAAGTATTTTTTTCCAAGTACAAGTACAGGCGCAAGTATACTTGTGAAACAACAAGTAAAAGTAAAATACTTTTACTTGTTGTACTTGTACTCGTCCTAGCTCTGTCATAAACACACATACACGTGCTCAGGCTGACAAACAAGAACGGACAAACATGATACTTTTCTACTTTAAAATACTTCATGTACCGTAAAGAACGGTGAAATCATCGATGTGAAGCAGCTATGACACAATCTATCCGCACGACATTTTTTCTAATTGTATTGGTAGTCTTATGAGAATCAATGAAGCAGTACTATAAAGGGTGCACGCTCATGGAGAGAGCAATTTCGTAAACTATTCTTTCTTGACATTCCGAGGTACAACAGCTCCTATCACCAATATCATTTGATACACACTTAAAAGTTGACAGATGCCACAAGCAGAATTCGTTTTTAATAAGGCACACAATTAGAGAAAATTATGGATTTTATTTATAAATGATTTTTTATTATCATTTACGTTCACAAAAATCGATAAAAGTTTAATTTCTATAGAATAACAGATGAATAGCTTTTGTGCTGATTATTAAATAGGATGAAAATTCTACATTAAATGAAAAGAAAAAATCCTAATAAAATTATGCAAAAAGTTTTTTTTTTGATCGGACATTAGATGAACTATTGTTCTAGTATTAAAATCACAGTCGTACTCAACATTCTACACGCAGTGGTTATTAGCTGATATTATATAGTATAACTTTTTACTGATTATCTTTTGTTGGCTTTTAATAAAAAATATCATCTAGCTGACTATTTGCGAGGTTTTGAATAAAAATAAACAAATAAATCGATTTTTATTAATTTATTTAAAAAGAATGAGTAGATGTAATTTAGTTTCGTATAAATATTGTCTTGAGTTATCAATTTCAGATTGATAAGATATCAAAGAAGTGTCAGGTGTCCTTTTTTTTATCATATTCACACATAGTTTAATTCTTATTTTGACACATTCGACATAAGAATCATCTACTAGAATATTTTTGTTATGAATCCTCGATGAATTACTTAGACTATGTTTTCTTTCGTAGCTACGCTGTCACTTTTGATTGCATCTATGTAAAAAGGTTCGTTTAAGATGTGGAAAAAGATCATTTTTATTCTAGCTCTATTTATTCTTTCTGTCACCGCCTTCGATCCTCCTGTAGAAAACGTAATCAAAGCCCTACGTTCTATTTGCACTGAGAAGTTCCTTGATGATCAGTGCCCATATGCCATAGCGTACGATATAGCTACACAATTGACCAGCCAATGGTATGATCATGATGGAAGATATGGTTTATGGTCGAATATATTAGCAAAAATCTGGTGGCAAAGCGGAGTAGGACTGTGGGCTTTAGCTGAATTTTTTAATACAATGGAAGGCAGAGGTATACATCTATAGATTAAGTCACTGAAACCGACGATCCATGAATGTCATTTTAGCAACGGATAAACTCTACTTGGCTACACGTTGGGCAGCTATTGAAACAGCTAAGAATCGAAATAATTATGTGTTTACTGAATATACTGACGACCAGGCATGGTGGGCCAATGGAGCTCTACGTCTTGAGCAGTACATTCGATCAACAGGTGATGCCACTGTTGAGTTACTAAAAGCAGCTCAAATAGTCATCAACGACAACCTGAAACATGAAACAGAAACATGTGGTGGTGGGTGAGTAAATTATCACTGTATTTTTCTATAGTATCTCTTTGATTATTATATCCTATTTGCATCAGCATTTATTGGTATCATGGTTTTTTGCGACCATTTCGAACAGCTAAGACAACTATTTCGAATGTTTTAACTATGTTCACAATGGCTACAATGTTCTCCTTTACACATGATGCAACTCTACTTCATGGAGGCATACACGGTGGTGCCATTGATATTTATAATTGGTTGCTCACATCCGGATTACTCAATGCGCAAACAGGCGATCAAAAAGATACATTGGATACCGCTCACGATAATTGTACACTTGTAGGAGGTGTGAGTAAGATTTTTCTTCAAAATACGACAACTATCTATTGATTTAAAACTAATTTCAGTAATACTGTCTCTTTATTTCTATTTAGTCATTGACCTATGAGTATGGTGTACTTGTACAAGCACTTATAGCTCTTGAAAATGCAACAGGGCATGCACAGTATATTTCTGATGCAATGATCTTCATTCAAAACGCAATTAAAAAATTTACACAAAATAATATTATCTACGAAAAATGTGACCAAACAAATACTTGTCAAGGTGATCAACTTGCATTTCGAGGTATGCTAATGATTCATTGATTATCTGTAATGTTTATGTAAATGAAAAACTAGTGCACTATAGCATATATTGAAACAGGTCAAAACGAAGCGAAAAGTCAGAGCATAACACCTGTAAGAGATACAGAAGAATTCAATGGTATATCATTATCAAGTTCAAAATTTCCGCAAATGAGGCATAAATAACCATGTTTCATATTACACTCTCTTGGAGATTGAACTTAAAACGGCAAAACAATTCTTGGATTTGAATAGCATCAACAATAAAACTAGTAATGATCTTAATTGATAATCATTTTCTCTGAAATCTTATGTAGTATATGAGTGAAGAGCGCCCCCATTGTACCGTTTGAGAAAAAAATCGAAAAAAATGAATTTCACGATAGGAACAAATTAAGTGTTGCATTTAATAGAGTGATGTCGAATGTGTATAAGAATGATATTTTCCCTATACTTCCCCGTCGCACAAGGGAGCAGAGATGGGCAAGTCAAATCATTTTTGACTTGACTTGAAACTTTTAAGAAATGACGCAACTTGACTTGTGACCTGAATCAAAGCGACTATGATTTGGCTTGACTTGTGACTTGACCATACACAGAAAAGTCGAGTCAAAACAAAGAATGTATATACAGGTCCGGCAAAAAGTTCTGGGGCATTGAAAAATGGGATCTCAGTTTTCAGTATCCTATCGACATAAAGTTTACACATATAAAAAACATCATTATTGATTAACTTCTAAATTACCAGTCACAGTTGTGAAAGTTTTGTTCTTGATATAAAAAACAAAAAGAACAGAAGTTACTCAGCATTAACTTGTAATTTGAGCTTAACCATCGAAACCTTTGCATCACAGGACTCAATTGAACTATGATATTCGAAGTTGGTTTTTCCTTTTATGAACTATTTTCTTCTTGCAAACTGGAAGAAAGGCTACTCTGGTGTTACCCTATATTCTGTGAGAATTTCACGTTAGTTTGTTGTAATCTCTTTCGTATTTGTCTCGAAAGCTTGTTTCATTCAAAATCGTTTATAAAAAAAAGTATAATCGCATTTTGTAAATTTTTCAATCACCCTTTATAACATTTCTTTCGTGGATGGGTACATATTAGGGCTACATAACGGTTGGTTTTCCGGCTCTTAATAATCTCCGGTTCTGAAGTTATAAGAGGTGCAATAATATAAGCTACTATTCATTATAACTCCTGGCCAACTAAATATCTATACTGCGGATTAGTATTAATGATTCATGCCGATCATGCGATATATGTTCACAAATTTTCAGTCTCATATGTCTTAAAATGACTGAGATATCAGACCAACATTTGTAGCTAACGACACGCCCCAGGACTTTTTGCCGCTGGACAATTTTTGTTTTATTTGCTTTTTCCTATTCGAAACAAAGTTTCAAGACTATGTCTTATAGCCTGAAAGCTCAACGAATAATATTTTCGTTATACGCACCGAAATTTTATTCGAATGAGATTTTGAATAATGAGACTAAATTCTTCAATGTCCCAGAATTTTTTGCTCCACCTGTACATGAAGGGGTTTTATTCACTTCAATTTCGGGTTTCTAGCTTGAAGTGTAGTGAAAAAATAGAAATGAAGATCAGTAGATATGTCTATAGAATTAATTCGCGTGAAATAAGATGATGGCTCCTGAAATATGTATGAAATTTTCCTCAATTTTTATTGGACATTTCATTTTCCAAAAATCTGTTTAGCGGAAATACGTTGTTTTCTGTTTTTATACTAATTACATTAATAAATAGTGTAGCAAACGATGGTAAAAATCTGATATGAATCAAAGAAAGAATGCTTTAGACAATTTGCCTTCAATTAAAGAAAACATGGAAAAAAATCGGATTGAACTTCAACTTGACTTGACTTGAGTCAAAAAATCGCTGACTTGTCCATGTCTGCAAGGGAGATTAACGATATGAATTAAGTTAGCATGGTGGTAATGGGTTTTTGCTTTCAAATAATAATTTTCTAACAAAAAATTCAAAAAATATTTATTGAACGTGTACAACTAAAAGGATCTCGGCAAGATCCAGCGTGCTAAGTATAGGGACAGAAGGATGACCTTCTTTTTTTCTTGAATCTTTCGTCACTGATGATGGTGACGATCATCTTGTTGTTTCTTCGTTCAATTTTTATTTTCTTATTACGTCGATAAGTAGCTTGGGTAATCGCTTTTTTTCCTATATTCTTTATCGAAAGTTTTTCAAATTAAACATTTCATTTTTATTCGAAATTTTTTTTTTTGATCATATGTAAAGGCATGTTTTCCTTTCATTTTTAACTGCTAAATTAAAATGGAGGACTGTTAGAATCAGAGTAATTAGCACATTCGACATCTGTATTGATATGTATATCACATCCTTTAATGAAATTTATCAGACACTTGTGTCATAATCAATGATAATGACTCTAAAATACATCGTTTTATTGAAAGTCTTGTCAAATTAGCACTAGATACATGTTTTCGGATGCGGCCGACGCACAGAAATGATAATTTTGTCGAACAAGTATCGATACACATGCTATTTGTGCTTTAGTTACCTATATTGATCAATCTTAGTGCATAATTCCTTAGAAAAATCTCGCTCTACACTTTCTTACTAAAATTGATTATCCAACTCTTTGAGCTGAAAAAAGAGTCAAATTTTTTATAGTAAAGAGTCCATTTGTCATTGAATTACAGCAGTGCCAAAATTTAAAAACTCGCTCTACATTTTGTGTGAACATCATTTTGTTTTGCTTATTTCAAATTTTTCTACTAATGAATTTTATTAAACGAACTTCGTTTTTTCGCCAAACTATTTCCCCCTCCTCTCTCTCTTTCATATTCGATCAAATTTTTTCCAATCGAATTACTTGAAATTGAAAGACAATGATTTTAATCTCGCTCTACACAAAAATGAAAAGTGTCTTAACGATTATATTTATTGCTTTTTGTTCCTAAAAAATTGTCAAGAGCTAAAATTTATGAGATATTCTGAAAGCTCGTGACGAGCTCTACAAATATAGCTAAAAATTCACGGAAACTGAAATAGCTAGAAACTTCATTTTTTTAGAAGTGAATGACCACCTTTAGAGCAGTAAAAGAAAATATCAAAATCGGTTGAGTACAACTCGACTTATAAACATTTTTATTACCGAAACAGAACGGTACAATGGGCGCGCTCTTCATTCATACATTTTTCTTTTTGTGCAGGTGTCTTCTATCAAGGACTCGGTCGACTTTACGAACGAACGAAGGACGATCGAATAGCCAATGTTATTGAAGCATCGTATCTTGCTATGCTTTCACGCGTAATATGATCATCATCACATAATAAAGTATCTATTATTAATATTTTCTATTTGTATAGAAAATCGGCAATCATTATCCACTTTCATTAATCAATGACAATAATAATTTTACAGGTTACGATCAAATTATTGTTACTTTCGGCGATCTTAATCTTGCTTCAGCAATGATTAAAGTATATAAAAATAAATATGTGACATCTGAAAGTAAACCCAATATCGATCTGGCCATTCATGGATTATTACCCTTCGATACAACGCAGCAGGGTCTCACTGGATGTGTTTGTGTTGGTAAGGTGTGATGCTATCTGATTTGTATTTCATGAATCGAATGCTCAAAAAGAGTACAGTATAGATATTTGTAGAACAACTAGCGTAAGAGCATAAGCTTGAGTCATGAGACTTTTTGTTTTATTAACAAAAGAAAAATATTGCAATTCGCTGATTTAGACGACGGTTGTCCAAGAGAACATGAAGCGCAATGTTTCAATAATTCAGGTCACAAAGAGCCGACCAATCGAGATAACTGGAAGAGCAAGGTACAGAATCATTAGTCAATATTTTCTTTATGCACATGATATTCGTTGTTCATGACTTAGATCTCTGCGATTCTGGTCGCACCTGGACATCAAATGATGTTATTTAAATCGAAAGGTGCAGGTAGAAGTGATTGGCTGCAAAACAGTCTCTGGTACGTTGGTGATGATTTCAACAAAAATATCGATGCGATAGATATCGATTATTGAAAGACATAAAAGAGTTGATTGTAATTTTGCTTGTTGACCTATATTCATGAAGTTATAAGTAACCGATAGATGAGAATTTCTGTAATTTTCTTCTTATGCATTTACATCTGTGCTCATTCAAATCATTAATTTTTTGTATTCAGTCATTAAAATAATTGATGCCTATCATATATTAATCCATATGTCAACAGTTTCAGTTCAGTGAAAAAAAGAGTTTTAGAGTACTGATGGTGCGTGGGTGGGTGTTGGTGTAGGTGCACTAAAAACAAAAAGGGTACCGTACCGAAGTTAAAAAGGTTTTGAATTTTGAAACGAATTCTAAACCTTTTCAAGTATCGTACGACACTGGTTTAGTATGAAACTTATTCCAATAGACAAACTTAAAATTAGGTTTCACAGATTAAATTCCGCAATACCAATTTAATCGTAGAGCTGTCATCAAGCCGGCGTACTAAGTCACCGGAAATATGGAATTCAAATCTGTTTTGCCTTTTACATTATACTAAAGTAGAATAGGAGTTTGGTTGAGAGCAGCACTATTGACCCAAGTTATCCTTTTCTTGCGTCAGAAATCTTTACGTCAATCATCAAACTCCAAAAGCCCATATTATCAAATATATTCCTGACACAGAAAAGGAATAAACGGGGTCAATAATGCTGTTCTCAATTAGTTTATCACTCTACTTCAAGATAATATAAACAGATCAACTCATCTTGAATTTCATATTTTCCGATAACCAAACAGGCCGTTATAATGGCAGTTCTGCTTTACAGAACTCGATACGTAAAGTTAAAACGTCAGATGTGCATGAGTATCATCGCAAACTCTTTCTATTATTTCAAATTCACCCAAATTAAGGTCGATTCTCCCAGAATTGCCGTTCGGAACGGGTTCAAAATGCTCTTTCTAGTTGCCTAATATTAGCTTTAGAGATTAAGACTCTAGGGAATGCACGATGAGACGTTCAAAATGTAGCAAGAGAATACCAAGCGAACAACCTTACTTCATTGGCTTTACATAAGACACAAATAGAAAATATTTCGATGAATTAGCCAGACTTGCCAACTATTAAAAGCACTAGACCATAACCAGACTATTGACTTGAATAATCCGAACCGAGCCAAAGTTTAAATATGACATCCGTATCGATATCGATACTTCGGTTTAATAATCATGCAATAGAAAAAAAATGATCGTAGTGTTTGCGTTGAAATTATTTTCAACTTGTTTAGTTGGGCAATCTGAATGAAAGAAACATATGTGGAGGCTAGCTATAAGTAAATATTTCCAAATAATAATCTACAACAATGAAAAAGCGCCTATACTGTTCAATGTAGAATGACTTGAAATACCGCTCGGTTGCATAGTGATTTGTGCAAAGAAAAGAATTTTCGAAGTTAAATTTAGCTTGAAGTGAAAGTTTATATATAACACGCTACAACAAAGAAAAGAAGAAAGTTATTATGTAAAAATGTTGAGTTACCTGAAATATTGTTAAGGTGAACGACTTGGACGAAAGAAGCTTTTTGAAAATTGAATGAAACCTAAAGAGAGTATTTTGATCTAATAATATAAGATAAAGATATAGTTATAGGGTGAATGTAGAATTACCTGAAATAATGTTGAATGGAATGACTTGAAAGAAATTTAACCCTTTCAATATAAAATATAACTTCAAATATAAATTCTAGTAATCTATGGCAGAAGAAGAAGAAACAAATATAATTGTTGCAAGTAAAATTGTCTTATTTGTTCACCTCAAATATTTGAAGAGCAATGTGATTATTGAATGTAACTTGAGATAAATGTTTGAATTGGGTAATCTAAAACAGAAAAACAAAAATTGCCATTCAAAAGATGGAATTACCTGGCAAATAGTTCCGTTGGACAATGTGTAAAAAGCCAATGATGTTGGCTCTAAATATACATTCATGTAAACGTTGAATTTGAAAAGTCTATAATGGATAGCTGAGATCGATAGTTTTAAGGATAAGCGTACATCAGGGAGGGTTGTGATGGCGAACTTAAAAGAAAAGTACTTCAATTTTTCAGTTGGAGGAACCTATTAGAGGTATATTACGCGAAACGTGCAAGGGTTTCATACAAAACTTGACTCAACTTTGACTTTCACAAAAGTATGGTACGAAACCTCTGTCACTCCAGAACCTTATAAAACGATCGCACCGAACTTTTTCTAGTACTAAACCTACAAAACGTTTCGCAGGTCCATACCATAGCTCTAAGGGTTTAATAAGGTACCACCAAACCTTAAAATTTCCGTACAGCACCTTTATTTTTTTCAGTGCAGGGAGTCCCCTGACGAATCCCCGGGTAGTTATCTGGCCAAAATGGATGAAATATCTAATTACTAATAAATTTTTCTTAATCTTTTAAAATTTAAAAGAATTAAAAAGTGTTTTTTTATTTAAAAAAATCTCATCAATTCTCCCCAGGGAGTCGTCAGGGGAGAGTGAATTAGGGTTAAGAAGACACTTAATATATTATTCTTTTGTACAGGATCAAATCAAGGTGAGACAATGTGAGCTAAAAACTATAGATAATTATCATATTGCCGTTAGTCATCATTAAAACATGGCTAAACAATTTTTCAATAATTTTAGAAAAAACAATTGACATGTGCAAATCATTTTAAGCAACATCTCTCTTTTAGAATGTATATCAAAGTTGTAAGGTCACTCGTTTTCTTCAGTTTTGTTCATCGTAATCTCCCAAATTCGTGTAGAAAAAATATTACCCTGATGGTACTTTGATGCATGACTTTTTGCAGCCTTGTGACTAACGTAAAAGAATTTCTATTATATATATCAGATGTTCTGTAAACTTGACTAAAGCTAAGAGATATAATGTAAGACATAGAACTAAGTCACCAGTTGTAAAAATTCATCGAGAATTACCATAATTTAATACAATGCGAAAGGAATTTATATAAACATGAATCAAGTGAAGAAAAATTTAATTCAATAGAACGAAGGTAACTGTTACAAAAGTATATTTTCTTCATTTTAATCATGTAAATCGTTCGATTTTACTGATATTATTTATTCATTCAATTGAATACACCCAGGTCGTGGACGTACGGCGGGAAACGGCCGGAAAGCACAGGAAAGCGCTGGAAAGTGGAAGCAGTATTCCAGTTGGAAGTTACCGGATTTTCTTCCTGTAGGTTCCGATCAACTTCCAGATGTAAAACACAGAAAACTGACCGGAAAACACAGGAAACTGACCGGAATCCACAGGAAAAAAATCCGGTAACTTCCAACTGGAATACTGCTTCCAGTTTCCAGTGTTTTCCCGTGCTTTCCGGCCAGATACGGTAATTTTTCCGCATCTTTCCGGCCGGTTCCTACAGTATCCGTCCTCCGGAATCATTGACCTGGGCATCAATCGATCTCATTTAGCAAAAGAAAGCGTTTTTTTTCTACAGTGAAAACAAGGCTGTTGCATCGATTAGACAACTTTTGAACACTAGACTTAAAGAGTTAATATCAAAGCTGACATTTCAAACTGGTAAATTCATACAGCTTGCATCAGTTTCTCTATAAGACAGGATATTCAAATAAAAAATGTTGCGAAGAATGATTCAAATCAACAGTACTTTAACTCATCTGAGTCACTCCATATTCGTCGTTGCTATACAGATGAGTCAAGGGAGGATTCACACATACCATTTCTATATGATGAATGCTAATAAAAGTGAGTTAGGATTGTTGTCAATATTTCTGTTTCAGGGATGTTTTTCTCTCGACTGACACATCGCATTCCCCATAAGCTTTTATTCTGTGTTCGCATTAGTCAATTTTTACTCGAAGACTATTTTTTATACACAGATTACGTATATAAAATTTGTGCTATGTTGATTTTACCGGCTTACCGGGATGCCAAAGATCTACTTATATCCCTTACTAGCAGTTTAATGTTCTCATCGGCATCTGAAAACTTCAGTGTAAGTTTATAGAACTCAGTCATGTTCATAAAATGATCGTGTCTGATGATGAAGTCAGTTGAGAAATTAAGTATTGCGTTAACACTTAATATTAAGTAATTAAGTGACTAACGCAAACATTTTTTATTAATATTAAGTGTTAAGTAAAATCACTTAATTAAATCTCTTAATTAACTCCAATTAACATTAACGGTTCACCCCTACTTAGTACACATGATAATATTTGTTGACGCATAATTGAAGTGAAATTTTCATCATGAAATATGATAAATGGATATGAATAAATACCATTAATTCGATGAAAATAGAGAAAAGAGTGCATCATATTGATTGTGAGAGAGATGGAATGATTAGTATTGCGAATCAATGCTACAACGACACCTCGAACAGAGGATCTGAGTAGACAATAGCCAAGCCATTTTGGGATTTTGAAAAAGACAAAGTCATTAAAATTTGAAATAATATACCCGATATAACAATAATTAAAACCAACCGCAAATATCGATGCATTCGAACGGTCATAAATGTTTTTCCCTAAAGGATTAAATATGCCTCTTCTATATGTTGCTGAAGTGGTTTGAATGCGATTAAAGGAATAAATTCGACTGTCACATGGAAGCTGAAAAGATGAATTTTTTTTGCCCGCGTTGCATGTAAGTTAATTAAGGAGTAGATAGAAATTTTGTTCAAATGGTGGATGAAAGAAAACACGTTAGGGAAGTTAGCACAAGATTCGAGTTTTTCCAGCCCGGATTCGCCTATATGGTTGTGTTGAATTTCATTTTCGTTGTGTTGGATGCAGAATTTTGCGCTGAATCGAATGGCGTAATTTTTAAAGGTGGTTGCCGATCAAAATCTGGCACTTTACCTGGAAATACTGCTTTTTCTGAAAATCTTGTAGAAGTAATTCCAGCCCGGATTCGCTGCTTTAGCTGTGTTGAATCTGAAAATGGTTGTGTTGAATTCAGAATGAAATTCTGCATCGAATAATGTTAAATTTGTATGGGGTCATCGACCAAAATTCTTCGACTTGGATGGGGTTGGAATATAGATTTAGAGGGATGACTTGGGTGAGACCAGAAATTTTTCGATCGATGACCCCATACAAGTTTAGCATCATTCGATGTAGAATTTCATTCTGAATTCAACACAATCATTTTCAGAACCAACACAGCTACAGCAGCGAATCCGGGCTGGAATTACTTCTACAAGATTTTCAGAAAAAGCAGTATTTCCAGGTAAAGCGCCAGATTTTGATCGGCAACCCCCTTTAAAAATTACATCATTCGATTCAGCACAAAATTCTGCATCCAACACAACGAAAATGAAATTCAACACAATCATATAGGCGAATCCGGGCTGGAAAAGCTCGAATCTTGTGCTAACTTCCCCAACGTAAGAAAACGGAGTAAGATTTAATTTTAGATGTCGCACATGAATGACTAGAAGATGTTCTTTACTAACTATTGCAAGAGCGAGGATACTACGAATTATGTAACAAAAGCTTGATATGAGAGAGAGTGTGAGCTACAATGTTCTTTTATCGAAGAATATTTAATCAACTACTCATGAGTATAGTTGTTATGGATAACACATTTTTTTTGTGCATGATTCAGAAATATTTTATCGATATTAGATGTCGAAATATATATTTCAGTGATAAGAAAAACTATAAGACCAGTGATGTGGTTTTGTTAGGATAAATTTATTCGTATTAATTCGTGTCGGCTACCCCTAATAACTGTCAATTGTTCACACGATTTACTTAACTCTTGATTGAATCCTTTCACCACATGAAATTGATAGTGCAATTGCCCTGATGGCATCAAATGCAGATTATGGCCATATGGAATATTCGTGACGTGTTCTACTTTAGCTTGACTATCAATTTGAAGCATAGCTGAATGAGCACATCCATCGCCAACATATTCTCGAAGCATTAGATCATCATACATTAGTTCACGAACAAAATTTTGAACTGGTTTCGATTCATAGAACCATTTCAAACGAATCACAAAGAAATTATTATAAATACAATCACGTCGAAGTATTGCTGTGTTCAAGAAACGTCGTAGGATAGGCTCTATTTCTTTGATTGGTTCATTATATGTAGATCGATACATATAATCTAATTTTCGACTATACATATATAGAAACGGATCTTTTTTGATAGTATCTGAAAAGTACGAATCGTCGTCCATTCTCATTAGATAATCATATTTTCCTTGAATGATTGCAGGATGATAGAATACATCATAAGTCCAAAATCGACACATTAAACGATATCCGATTGATTTATCGGATCTTGATTTTTGATTTGGTTTTACTGTTGTTTGAAAATCAGCAAGAACAAAAGAAATTTCTATTGGCTTTTTAGTTTGCAATATGCATGATAATATTTGCTGACGCATAACCGGCGTTAAATTTTCATCATGAAATATGAGAAATGGATATGGAAAACTATCATTGTTTGGAAAAAAATAAATAACAGAATTGACCATGTTTATTGTGAGAGAAATTGATCGATTGGTACTACGAATCAAACTTACTATAACTCCTCGAGATGCAGGATTTGAGGAGTTAGTAGTAGGGTCTCGTTTGTGTATTGCATGCCGATAAACATCATAAGATAGAAAAACACTGACCAAAATAAGAACAATCAAAACCATTCTCAAGACTGATGATATTGGACTAGTCATGAATACTTCTTCTTAATGATCATTAAAAAAATTCAATTATTTATTCTCGTTTTTATTATGTCGTTGATGTGGAATGATTTTATTTTACTTTTTAATTTATGTGTGGATTTATTGTTCTGTTTACTGCGACAAAATAGATGGCAACGTATAATTGGCGAAATAATGTTACGCAAAATTTGAAAACAAGTTGTTTAATTTATCATTATTCTAAAGATTCAAAAGAAAATTTGATTTTCTTCATCGTATATAAATTCTCAAAGAACATACGTGCTATCACTGATAACATACGATAGATGAAAACGAGTAAATTGTCAACGTCTGGCCTAGAGCTCTATAAATATGTGATAACAAGAATATTTTTATTAACTTGATTCAAGTTAAATAGAATTCTAAACGAAGAATAGAACTGCTAACAATGAATACAATTACTTCTGATAGATAATTTTTAGATGAATTATACAGAGCAAAAATATAACAGAGATATCACACTGATAACTGTGTGTGACGTAAAAATTGAAAACCTGAAGTATCGTACAGATAAGAATAATGAATCACAAGAATGAAAGAAAGGAGAATAGAAGTTGAATGAAGTTTTAACAGTATATTTACTAAGAAGAAAAAACAAAAGAGAACTGAAATTGGCAAATAAAGAAGAGTAGAGAATATGAAAAAAATATACGAATGAAAGTGAGTACAGCTGTATCAACAAAGAGTAGAATATAGCGATATGTGATGATAATAATAATAATCAAAGCATGAAATACGAATTGGATAAAAAAAACGTGTGATGATTACCAAATTAATTATTTCTTTCTAATGAATTTATTCTAGATGAACATTTTTGAGGATTTGTTTTTCAATTTAATGGATCGTTGTAAATTAAAATTCAACAGTCCAAATGATGATAGAGCTAGGTAGTGTACGAGTTTTGTCCGATTACGAATACTACAAAAATCGTATTTTTACTTGCACCACTCTGAAGTGCAATTGTAAGAAAGATAAAATTCCTTCATTCATTGTGCTTACACATCAGTTCTTTGTTTGTAGAACATTTGTTATGACACACTATTGAAAAAGATGCAACTGATAATAATAAATGTGATGGTGTATAGATATAGAAAACGTAGTCAATTTATACAGTTGCTATTTGATGAGTAGCCTTCGTAGAAAGGATTGTGTCGTGCAGATTGACGATATCAACAATGACTGCCAACATTGTTGAAGAAGTTTATGATGTTTGTCATAATCTTTTTTTTATTATTTTCATTGAATTGATTCAATTTATTCTCCTTATATTCAAGATAATCAGTGTTGTAAAGATGAAAACTATATTTTTTATTCTATACAAATAGTGATACGTACTGAAGAGATTGTGGTCATATTTATTACTCATGGTCTGGTTTAATAGGCAGCGGTGATGGTCCTTGACGACTAGTATTCGTCAACGAAATACTGTTACTAATAAATTTAGCCAAGTTTCTCTTTTCGTACACAACAATGGCCTAGATTCTAATTTACAGTGTTCTCTCAATTTCACAGATTGATTTTGACATTTAGATAAGATTGAATTTTTGAATAAATTTTTTAACAATACTCAGGTTTTAATTATTGGCTAGTATATTTTACAGTGTATGTGTTGCTATTTGCCCATCACATAATCTACAGTCATAAACTAGTATTAATAGATAACTATTTAGATTCCAATTAGCAAAGTCAAAGAAGAAAATGATTAAATCTATTGAATGAACGATAATTCCAAACAACTGAAGTAAAAAGATTTAAAATAGTTGATGAATGAGTTACGATGATGTATCGAGCATTTTCGTTTCTATATTTCATCTAAATTGTAAGTCTCGATTGAAAAAAATGTCTTTCAATTTTTTTATTGAACAATAAAAATGAATGAACTATAGAAAACCTAGAGCTTATACCTAAAATTGAATAACTATTCGAATATTGATCGAACAAGCAATACACCCAGTAGTCCAAAAATGAATCTGTTTATTTAATAATTGTATTAAATAATTAACAAAAGCAAAAAACTTTTCCATAATGATTTTCATTCAAAGTTTCTCTTTTTTTGGAAAAAAAATGATTCAATTTAATTGCTATTCTTTTCCAAATCGCACATTATCCAATTGCTTATAGAAGTCAATATCAATTATTGAAAAATCGTTTTCTTCTTGTTTCATACTAGTGCGCACATCTAAATATTGTGCCATACAATACGGTGTTAAACGATCTCGTTGAAAAAATATCTTATTTGCAAATAAATGCGGACTTGTTGCTAAATGCCATAGATCTTGATAATTAAAAACACATATGCCTCGAACAAAACCACCACGACATAAATGACGTTCCGGTCGATCATTCCATACTTTATATCGCGTCATAAAGGTTACCTGACTTAAGTCATGATCGTATGGATAGAAACCCGGTGTTTCTTTCCAACGATTAATTATCGAATAAAAATGTTCATCAGGTACAGATGTTCCATTTAAAAATTTATATAAATCAGCAACACGTGAACTTCTATGTAAATACGCAACAGCTGGACGAGACAATAAAGCATGAAATTCACCTTTATAAAGTGGCAAAGCTATGGACGATGGTAATGTTCGATTTAATAGAACTTTTTTGTGTCGTAGTTGCGAAAGATATGGTAATGAAGTAATATCATTTTGATTATTGTATAATTTTAATATTTGAACTAATTCAAAATTTGTTTTTAAAGGAATATCTGAGTTAGCTAAATTTAAATAATATTTCCATATTGCAGATTGTTTAAGAAGTTCTTTTTGACACAAACGTTCAGCTTCCAAAACAGAAAAATGACCCCATGTAACGTTAATACGTTTTTCAGGTACAAATATATTTGAAGTACATGCTGAATGCCGTTTTACCGCTTCATAAAGTGATAATGGCGATTTAATATCAACATGTATACAATAATAATTATATCGACGATAAATTGTGCGTAAGAGGAAATTTAATTGATCAAGATTTGAATGAATAACAATACTAAAAGCTAGAGGATACGCTAATTCTTTAGTGGAAAATCTTATTGGACGTGTAAATAAACTACAATCGGTTGGATAAGAAAAAAAGGATGAAGCTTCGTCATTTAATTGCCTAAGTTCACTTTTTGTTAATGTTGAATCGGAATAACGAATTAAACGGCCACATAATGTTGAATTAAGAAACGTATCAATTTGAGTAGTAGATATTAACACAGGACGAAACCAGAAGCGTGAAAACCAAAATAATGAAAATACAATAATACTAGTCGAAATAAGACGCCGATAAAAGTCTAAATAAAAAATAAATAAGATTGAATATTCTTGTTTTCTCAAACATCACTTCTCAGGATAATTTTATTTGTATCATTTCGTCTTCAAAACTGTTCAGCACTGTCAACTGTTTACACGATTTGCTAATCTCTATGTTGAATTGTTCTACGGGATTAAAACTATAATCTGCGTATCCTGATGGAACCACATGAAAATTATGTCCATAGGGTATATCAGTAAAATATTTTACTTTAGTGTGACTCGCCAGACGAATTATAGCGGCATGGATACATCCATCACCAATATATTCTCGAAGTATTAGATCATCATGAATTAATTCATGAATAAATTGTTGAAGTCCATTCGATTCATAAAACCATTTCAAACGCATAATAAAGAAATTATTATAGATACAAGTAAGCTTATCTTGTGTTCTGTTAAAAGCACGTCGTAAAATCGGATCCAATGCCGGTGTCAATTCCCAATAGATAGCTCGATAAGCATAATCTATATTTTGACTCTTTACATAATGAAAAATATCGTAATGAACTACATCGGAAAAGTAAGAATCAGCATCCATTCTCATTAGATAATCATATTTTCCTTGAATGATTGCAGGATGATAGAATACATCATAAATCCAAAACCGACACATTAAACGATATCCGATTGATTTTTCTAGTCGTGAACCAGGATTTGGTTGTATTGAAGTGGTGAAATTAACAAGAGCAAACGAAATTTGTATATGTTTGTTCCTTCTTAGCACACATGATAATATTTGTTGACGCATAATTGAAGTAAAATTTTCATCGTGGAATATGAGAAATGGATATTGAACAGTGGCGTTAACCAAAAAAAAGCGTACAACCGAATGAATCATGTTAATTGTGAGAGAAACTGATTGATCTGTACTACTTATTAAAGTTACAATAACAGCTGATATTCGTGCATGTTTATCGTATAATTTAGCTAGGCTATTCTTCTCAAGAGTACCAAAAAATATGACAATCCACACAAAAATAATGAAATGTGTCCATAATTTTAAACATTTTGGAGCTCGAATCATATATTCCATCTTTAGGTGGAATTGTTGCATAGCTACAGATTTTATTCAACTCTATAAGTCTCAAAATACTCAAGAAATTATTACGTCACTTACATCTGTGAGAATTGCGAAATCGACGTCTATTAAACAACCACATGTTACGAACAAATCGAAGTAAAATATGAATAACGATGTGCTTGAATGGTTTCTATGTACATCCTCTTATCATTGCTTTACAATCACAATCGGAATGTGATCGACACAAGAAAAACGAGTGCATGCTTTTCTTCTTTCACAAAGAAAAAAAGAGAATCTTATTCAGCTTTAGCATTATAAGATCAGATAAAAAACAATGTTTATTTCAAACATTTGAATAAAGTGACATTCAAATTCGTATGTTTTGTATCTAAAAGAATCATACCTTATTATTATACTCTGTTTTATATTCTAAAAGCTATTAACATGTAATCGAAAACAGATGTTCAGTTTTTTACAAATGACTCATCCTTGAAAAGTGAGTCTTGTTAGCTTGATTCTATGGAGAATACGTTAGATAATTTTGTACAGTATAGCTTGTTGTCTACAGCACCGTAGCTATTCAAAAACGACGATAAACACAATGAAAACTATATTATTTCTAACGAATAAGTCGTACTGATCTAATTAGAAAGAAAATAAAATTAGTCAGAAGCAAAATTTTAACAATGAATAATAAGAATACACACGAAAGACTGTTTCCTTTATAAATTATGTTTCTCACAATATTTTGATGCGTATTAGTCGGCATCGGGCTTATCTGAGTTACTGTCAATTATTCACAAGAGCTTTTCTGTCTTTTTATTCAATGTATTCACAGCATCGGATGAGATTATTACATTTTCATGTGACTTAAAATAAAGATTATGACTATAGGGAATACCAGTGACATGCTCTACTTTAACTTGACCCAGGGTTGCTACCTCTTCCGCTTTTTTTCCGCTTTTTCATATAAAAGACTTTCGTTGTTTAATTGAAAATTTAGCCATGCAAGAAACTAGATAACGTGATGTTAGACGAAAATTTCTTGGAAAATAATTTTCTAACGTATAATTCTATACAATTCTTTAAAAATTTTCGCTTCACATGATAGATTTTCCAATAAATTTTTCTAGTGAAACACACTTCGGGTTCATTTTAGCCCCCACTATGAAATACATTCACCTGGATTTGAAATGCCAGTGAAGAAAAGAAAATTTCTTTCAAGTTCTTATTCATTTGTTAATATAATAGATGAAAGCATAGTCACATTCGACAGCTGAATGTAAAGAACAACATCAGCCTCTTAGACTTGTAAAAAGCGAGCTTTATTTTTTTGGATTGTACGTTTTTCGGGCCAATGTTTTAATTTGTGCCAAAAAAGAGCCGCCTTCGGTGGTATATTCTCTACGAAAAATAGTGAACTGACAGTCGCAATACGGTCATTTCACTATCACAAAGCGAACATTTTTTGGGACGATAAAAACATTTTCCCAGTATGGCACTTTTAGAAAAGATGAGTAGAAAAAGAATTGACAGAGAAAAGATATTTATTTTTGGACCGGAAATTGTTTATCTTTTATTCTTGGAGTTTCATGTCAGGTACGCCCTGATATTTTTTATGAGTTGTCTATTATGTTGTGGAACTGCGAACAAAGTAGTACTATGAGCAATAAAACAAGGTTACTTAAACTCTTGGAAATGTGAAAGGTCAGCAAAAAGTAGCTTTCCGTTTTTTCTATTTTTGCTTCCGCTATTTCCCGCTTTTCTGACCTGATGAGGTGGCAACCCTGACTTGACCATCCATTTGAAGCATCGTTCCATGAACACATCTATCACGAATATAGTCTCGAACTATTAAATAATCATCAATTAGTTTATAAGCAAAACTTTCAAATGCTTTTCGATTTTGAAAACGATTTCAAATCAATTGTCAAGAAAAACAGTTTATAGATACAAACATATTCAAGTTTTGTTCTTTTGAGGAAAATTTGTAAGATCAGGCTCTATTTTTGGTTCGTATGGACATCGATAAAAATAATCGCGTTTTTCACTATGTATATCAAGATAATTATTTTTTGATAGAATCTGAACAACTACGAAACATTATCTATTATCATTAGATAATCATATTTTCTGAAAATGTTTACAGAATGATAGAGGATAGTATACATGAATATATTTGCTAACGCATCACTGACATAAGCTTTTCAGCGTAGAATACGACGAATTGATGTATACAGTGTTATTATTAGCAGAACAATTCTTAATTCGAATAATTATAAAAACAAGATTCGGTATTTAACATTGTTTAACAGAAATAAGATTTTGAAGATTCACAATATATATTACAAAAGCAATGAAAATAGGAAAATTAATTGTTGCTTTTCAAAATTTTTCAGACTGAGACAATAGTTATGATGATGGTTTTTCCCAAGTAGTCTAAAATTCAAATGACAGAAAAAGTGCAATAGATTAAATCATACTTATTTTATGGTTCGGAAATAAAGCCAATTCATTTTTTTGATATATTTCATTATTATTTAGTTAGATCTTGAATTTATTCGACATCTTTAGAGAAAAAAATGTTTAGAATTGTATGGTCTTCATTAAGATGAACATATTTATGTGTATAAAAGATATTTCAAAATTTAAAATTAAATTTCGCTGACTTATTTAGAAGTTCATTAAATCATGAAGTCTTACACCTATTATTTCGAGTGTGCACTGCCGAAAATTAGAAGAAAATCACGCAACTGAATATATCTTTTTGGCTTTCCGTATAACTGTTGGGTATGACTGACTGAGATATATACCAATGAACATCTTTATGCCTGCAGAAACAAAAATTTTATGATAAAATTCTGATATGCTACGATACGAAGAAGCAAAGTTTATCAATAATTTCTATTATGGTTTACTCTTGTTAATCAAATAATTCTCTCACATTTTTATATCGATTAGTTTCACGAGATACAGGCATTTTTTTTTTAGATTAGAATTCTATTTATGATCATATTTATTTAGCTTTTGTTAAACTAAAAGTTCACTATTTGATCAGAAAAATGTAACGAGCGAAAACAAAGTCAACAAATGAAAAATAAAAGCCAGCAATAAACAGGAAACAGTGCTTTTCTCATCAGTTCTACGCCTCATGATATCTTGATACGTTTTATTATGCCTCTACTATGTCTGAGTACCGTTAACTGTCGGCACGATTTATTCATTTCTTCTTCAAATCCATTTACTTCACGAAATTTCATTCCCCAGTATCCTTTTGGCATTAAATGATAATTATGTCCATACGGCATATCACTAATACGTTCCACTTTAACGTGATTATCAACTTCGAGTATAGCTGAATGAGCACATCCATCACCAATATATTCTCGAAGTATTAGATCATCATCAATTAATTCACGAACGAAACTTTGAACTCGCTGCGATTCATAGAACCATTTCAAACGAATCACAAAAAAATTGTTATAAATACAATCACGCCGAAGTGTTGTTTTCTGGATAAAACGTTTCAAGATGGGCTCCATAGGTGTAAATGGTTCCACATACGTAGATCGATAGATATAATCTAATTTTCGACTAGCAATATATATAAACGGATCCCTTTTCATTATGTTCGAAAAGTACGAATCATCGTCCATTCGCATTAGATAATCATATTGTCCATGAATAATTAAAGGATGATAAAATATATCATACGTCCAAAATCGACACATTAAACGATATCCAATCGGTTTTTCAAATCTTGATTCGGTGGATACTTGCACTTTTGTTCGAAAATCAACAAGTGCAAATGAAATTTGTAGTTGATTGTCGTTTTGAAGTACACACGATAATATTTGTTGACGCATGGCTGAAGTAAAATTTTCATCATGAAATATAAGAAATGGATAAAGATAACCATCGTTCACTGGATAAAATTCAATAATAGAATGAATCATGTTTATTGTGAGAAGCACAGATCGATTCGTGCTACGAATTAACGTCGTAATGACGCCCCGTACTGATGCTTGTTGATTTTCTTGCTCATAATAAGAAGTGACGTTTGGAAAAATAGTGATATAGATAATAACCAAAACGAGCATGATTAAACCTCGAAATGTTTTCGGCATTTGTCTAATTCGAATAATATTTTCCATGCTTTTATGGTAGTGATTCTAAACTAATAAATAGAGTTTGCTTTTGTCTTGTTCAATGTTAAATTAAACTGATAAGCGATTGCTGATCTGTTATTCTTTAAAATTCTTTTATTGACGTCTATTTAGTAATCGTATGTTTCGATCGAAAGAAAGTTCATTGTGAGAAACGGTTCGCTCATGGCTTGTTTCACATGTTTTAGGCATTGTGAGTGTTCGCGTGAAAATACATTTATTTGAGAAAAACAGAATAAAATGTTTGCTTGCTTTTGTTTCGTTTAGAAATATAGCAAGATATTGCTCATATAGTAATTCATTGTTCTCTCAGTTCAGATCGTTTTCTACCTTCGACGTTTTTTTTCTATGAAAAAGAACCTGTGATCATTAACATAAATCTATCGTAGTATCTCACACTCTCGAACATACATCAGTTAAATTGGTCTGGCAAGCCTAGACTACTTTCAGATTACTCGAATATCCCCGGACTAAATTTTTTATTTACACAGTTCCATATCTGTTGTTACGTAAAACACTAATTAGAACCGAATGAAATAAGGTTCTCATCGAAATTTTTCATGAATAGCAATCTATAGTCAACTGGCATGAATGCGTAAAATATTGTTGTTATAACTCAGAAGCGTGGATGTAATATGATGCGAAATATGAAATGCTTTTTGTGTTGATGAAGCATAGCTATAAAGAAATCGAAATGCATAAGATTTGGCTCACCTGCTGTGAACTGTAAAGCTCTGTTTCTATATTTGATAGTTGATTCTACAGTGCAGTTACTTTTAACACGTAACTGAATGTTAAAGTTAACTTTAACATTTATGCCACTGAACGACAAGGAAGAATATACCCGCTCGTGTTTATATACGTGATGCGAGAGACTATCTTCGCTTCTGAAATAGTTTTTTTCTTCTTTCTTTTCATGACTATTAGACAAATATTTGATCGGTGACATGAATGCTCGTTTCAAGCGGAAAAATGACTTCAGGTCAAAAATGCTTAAAAACTAAATTTACGATACACACACTAAACAAAAAAAACAGTAACGAAAATATCCCGTTCCTCCAATAACGTCAAACCACTGTAAAAATGAATTTGCAGCGGAAAAATGAAAAACTCAATGGGAAAAATAGTTTGCATAAATCTAAAATCATTTTTCCCATAGAAGAAAAATGCGTTCGTATGTAATCGAAATGAACATACATGTATTGGTGATAAGAGAAAAAGGAGTTTGCACGGTACCAAGTATGTTGAGAAAATTTACAGTCGGTTAGATTTTGGTTGACTTTGGTTAAAACAATGATGGGTAAATTTGCATGAAGATGGGATGCCGAAAATCATTTACGATATAAGCGAAAGCTTTCATAATTTGGTGGTGATGCATAACGAATGTCAAAGAGCTGATAAGAAATTTGGATTCAATGAATCGTTGAGAAAGAAGGAATGTGAAGAATGAAAATAAAAATGAAAACTATACTCATATTTGGTGTTTGTAAAGTTCTGTATAGCATGGAATATGTTGTATATGCACGGATATCTTTTCTGAACAGTGACGACAAAAGTACTCGATATGAATTTAGTATACACCAGAGACGTGCACAGGGCATCATTTTTTCTCCTGTTCTTGCTTGTCCTGTTACCTACCTTGATCCTAGCGGGCGGCAGGACAATACGTTAAAGTCATGCCCTGGTTAGTGCTACTGATTTATTCCCATTTTTCAAGTGACTGAAAACTAATTATAGGGTTCGAATTTCGGATTCCAAACTCTAGCTGTTGGCGATCAAAGTAAATATTAGTATTAGTAATCTTAGGCTTAGTTTATTTGACATCATTTTCAAATACAACAAATACACTTTGAATTATTACTAATTTGTAAATACAATAAAATAGAAAAATATCTTAACTGTCTCGACAAGAAAAAAATATGAACAAGATTGATTGTAGCATGAATGTGATAACTTAAACTTGATACTATTTAAAGAAACAATAGCAAATAGGGCAGTGTTTTACCACAAAATAATAATAAATGAATATACACAAAATCAAGTTCCTACCAGAGGCAGAGACGTGTACAGGGCATCATTTTTTCTCCTGTCCTTGTCTGTCCTGTTGGCTACCTTGGTCCTGGCGGGCGGCAGGACAGGACAACAGGACCGTCCTGCCCTGTGCACGTCTCTGGTATACACAGGCAGACTTATACTTATATAGTTCGTCTTCTGTTATAGACAGAACGGGAAAAGTATTCATTTTTGATCTGAACGGCTTTTTGCCGCTTGAGATGAACATTTATCTCACCGATCGATTTTTGTCTATTCCTGGTCGTTTCCCTTTCGACATTATAATAATTAAACGTATCTTAAAGAACGTGTTCGTGAGCTCTTCATTTACTTTTTCAGTGGGAAAAGTGAGGCTTGAATGCATTTTTCAAATTGCATCACAAGTCAAGCGATCGTATATGACCTGCAAAAATTAATAATTTCAAGCGTAACTTTTTTTCTGAGGCACTAGATGAGTAGTAGAGTGAATCATTTTTTAATGGTGATAGGCTATTTCCAGAGTAAACATGTTCAATCACAACATGAAAGGGTTGTCTTATCCAGTCTTTTTTTTCTTCTCACTTTAAGCTGTTTTGATGCCGACACTTTTGCAAAAATTTTAGAGAACCTTTATTTTCTTTCTTATCTTCTACATGCATCACTTTCAATAGATGATAACTATATATTTTATTCGTAGTTAATATTCGAGTTAAAGCTGGATTTTTGTTTTTGATCAAATCAGACTACCGGTTTTATTAGGGTGAAAATAAAATAAAACAAATATTAAATTAATCTAATTGAAAATAGAAACAAAGACAAAAGTATCTTTTTTTCAATAGTTCCATTTGTTAAGACATCTTAATGCTTGTTACTTTGCCTTGAGTACCTTTGAGAATTGTCAACTGTTCACATGATTTATGCATAACTTCATGGAAATCATTGACTTCTTTAAACTTCCATTGGTGATAACCTGGTGGCATTATATGATAATTATGTCCATACGGAATATCTCTAACATGTTCTTCTCTGACGTGTCGTCTATCAACACGAAGCATAGCTCCATGTATACATCCATCACCAATATATTCTCGAAGTATTAAATTATCTTTAATTAGTTCATTAACAAAATTTTGAACTCGCGGCGATTCATAATACCATTTCAAACGAATCATAAAAAAATTATTATAAACACAAGTAATGTGAACATATTTTTTCTTGAGAATAGGCTTTAAGATAGAATATAATGGATAGGCCGACTCCTTATATGTAGATCGATACATATAATCTAATTTTCGACTATCCATGTATAAAAAAGGATCTTTTTTAATTCTATCTGAAAAGTACGAATCGTCGTCCATTCTCATTAGATATTCATACTTTCCTTGAACGATTGCAGGATGATAGAATACATCATAAGTCCAAAATCGACACATTAAACGATATCCCATTGATTTCTCTGATCGTGATCCAGTATTTGGTGATACTGATGTGCTAAAATTAACGAGAGCAAACGAAATGTTTATCGTTCCATTCGATTTTAGCACACACGATAATATTTGTTGACGCATGACTGGAGTTAAATTTTCTTCATGAAATATAATTAGTGGATATAAAAAAGTACCATTATTTGGATAAAATTGTGTTATAGAATGTATCATATTGATGGTGAAAAATATGGATCTACTTGAACTTCGAATAAGTGTTACAATAACGCCCCGCACGGCACGTACTGGCGTTTCTTCCAGATGGAGCGTAGGAGTTTTTTCTGGAAGAGTTAAATATATGATACAAATAATGAAACATATCAAAATTAAGAATAATTTCTGAAGTATATAATTTTTAGGAGCACTTCTCATCTTGATCTGGAATTGTCTGCAGTTAACGATCTCATTTTAATATTGTTTAATTTTGATTATAATTAATATTTAGTTTGATCAGAGGTATACTTGAAAATTATGTCGTTGACATGTTCATAACGGCCACTTGTTTAGAGTATATAGAAGAGCAAGACCAATTACGTTCTGCTTGAGTGCACCTTTTTCACATGGCTAGTGTTCTTTGATCGTCATCACGACGGTAACAAAAAAATGCCTGTACGATATAATGTTGAAAAGGACAGAAGGTAGATAGCTTGTATCGAGCAAAAAGCTACTAAAATATGTGAGTTCATATACATTCAAAATAAAAAGATGTCTTTATTTTAGGTTCGATATGTAATGAACGATAAATTGTTTAAATCGATGAATTACGTTGAAATTACTTCAGATGAATAATATACCAAATAGATATTAATTTATTGATTTTTTCTTCCAGCTAAAATACAAAATTTTGTTTTATTTCTCATCGAAAGGATATCCCGAACGAATGGCCAGGGATAACTCTACAGTGCATTTTCATGTCCTTTTTTTATGCTACATGATACTATATTTCAAGATTTATTGAACTGTAAACTTTATTTAGTAAATTCTTTTTCTTGTTTACTCTGAATTTAAAGTCCTTGTATGGATTGAATCCCCTAGCGCTGTAAACAAGCAAATGCTAACTAATTATTATGGTAGTTGTTCTTTTGATGACACTCTTTGCAACATAAAGTGCTCTAAAAATCTGTGCTATTGACTACATATTTCAGAATCTGAAGAAAAATATCAGGATAAAATCTCAGTCTCGTAAAATAATTTAGAAGAATCGAAAACAAATGTTTACATACAGATTGACCTCATTGCTATTTTCGTCATTCGACGCACGATAAATCTTTGTATTGGTTAAGTTTCTGATGCTATACTATAATAATAAATCACTCACACATAGTTTCTGAATTGTAAAAACATGACGTCGAAATTTTAAGAAGAAAAAAACAGTGGTAGTTATCACTTTCAGATCAGTTTTCTTTCAAGGAATATAATAAAAATCTAGAGAATCCTTGATCTATTTGTTTGAAAAATGGGTTGCAAATATTTATTCAGATTCTACGAAGCATACAAGAATCATAAATTTTATTTTCACAAATTAACAGTCAAAAGATTATTGAGAACGATGAAAAATAAATCTTCGTTAACATACTTTTTGCGACTATAAATCCATGGTGACTGCACTAAGATCATCTCTAACTAATGTGATGAAATCTTTAGAATATCATGCTTTACGTTTATTAGTCAATAATCATATAGACCAAAAAGTATCGGTAACGCTAGTTTATTGAAGAACCTGTTTTATTATATTTTTTATATGAATCTCTGTTTGCACTGTTACATTAAACGGCGTCAATGTTGAATGCAGAGAGCCTACTGAAGACTAGAGTTTTATTCTGCTCCAATGAAAATAAATTTTTTATGGGAAAATTTAGATAAGATAGATTGAATAGGAAAATAAATTATCGAATCTGGCCAATAACGTTACACGGGATAATTGTACTTCTCAAGTTTATTTGACATGATTTGTTTGTTCTTATAAAACTTAATGATAGAATTTATACCTGATAGATATATGACGAATACTGAAATATAGTCTTACAACTTTTAATCAGTTGAGTCTTTATCTGACTGTTGTATGCAAGAGACTTCTTATGATTAGTTGCGAATCTAAGTATTGCCACAATAGATCTATATTTATATAAAGATAGTATTCAATTCAGCTGAAGTAACTTCACCGACTAAACGCGATGAGCAGTTTAACTAATCTACGGGAGAATAGTTCTTTTTTTCATAGAAACGCTTCATCCTATCATAAGGTCAGAAAATCGCACCGAAAAATGAAAAGGAAAAAGGAAAAAATATCAACGAATACCTATCACTCGTTGTTATTGACCTCAATGATTTCTACTTCAACATTCTACATGTTGTTTCTATGAAAAATCGATTCTCAAACGAGAAACTCGTTTGAGAGGAATTGTAATTATGATTGAAATATATGCTTGAGGCTATTCGAGTTTTGCTCTTGATGTCAAAATTTATGAATCATTTGTCCTTAGCGAATAGCTGATTGGTTTTTGTTGTCAATGAAATCAAGTGAATAAATGGTATATCCCAGAAAAAAAGTGTATCTAGTTGACACTTTGATGATAGTGATATTGTCTAGTATGAGCAGATTCTTGTGTAGAACTAATATTTTTATCCGATTATTAATGTTGTTGTGAAATTTTCTTATAGATTAAGAAAATGAAAAATATGCTAGAGGGTTTAAAATAGCATTGAGAATTTTCATTGAATTCTTTACTAAAATATGTATGGTTTAATTAATTATTTATTATATTTTGTATTCTTATGGTATTAACTCTAAAAACCACAATAAAAAGAGCATATGCAAAATAGTATGGGATTGAAAGCAAAAATATATAAAAATGTATGGTTCTACTGTGCAATTGTTAATAAACAAATGAAAATAGCTATTAATTTCATATTAAGCGTTAAACATTGTCCATGATTTTCTTTCATTATGAGTCGTCGTATTTTATCTTCATGAATATCTTGTAAATGAAAACTACGAAACAATTTTCTTGTGCCAATTTTTTGTACTGGTCGATATGTATTTGCTATCACATGAGCTTGTGCATCATGTAAATATCTAAAAGCATGTAGTTGTTGAAATGATATCTGCAATGGATCTAATAAAACAGTCCATATCACTGATTCATAGCAAGGTGGTGTTGTCAATGAGCCATCATAACGATAATAACGAGCCATACGATCTTCACCAATCAATGCTTTTAAATTGAATTCTTTACGAACGGGAGTATGTTGATGTTCACTTCGAATATGTGCTAATGCGTCGACAACTGGTTGGAGAAAAGGATTTGGTTCCGTACTAAGCTGAAGATATAACAAGAAAAATGATTTGTTAACAATGTAATCTTTGATGCGAAAGTCTTGGTAAAATCTATTCACTTTCTCGAACTATATAGTGAAAACAAATATTGATTTCTATTGGTTACTGATGATTTTTACTAATTTCCTTTTTTTTTCAGAATGTGCAATGTTTTCAGTAACCACTGTTGATTTCTATTGATTTCTCATCATTTTTTCAACATTTCTAAACCTTTCCAATGATTTCTGCTGGTTTGCAATGACCATATAAAAAATGATTTCCAGCAAATAGAAACCACTGGAAATCATAAGAACTCAAAGAAATCATGGAAATCAAGAAATCAGTTTGTTCCCCCTTGTGTAAGATATAATACGAATAGTTTGTTCGTTTGAGAATTTGATAGAAAATGATTAAACTATGAGAATCGAACTGGATTATTTTGACAAACATCGAAGTTTTATATTTTTATATTTCGTAAATCCTTGCTGGAGTTTAACGCACTGAGCTATATATCATTTTTAAATGTCCTTATTGACCAAGAGCATTGAAACGTATCTAAAACCACAATAAATTTATCATGTGTATACAGTCTTTGTTCTTAACCTAAAAATAGATGCTTAACTAGTGTAGGATTGTACATAATAACGATACACTATCATCGCTGTGTTCCTATTCTGGATATTGGCTCAGAATATTTTTGTCGTTTAAATTTCAACAACTAAAATCAGTTGATATAGACAAATTTTCATCTCAACTGAAAGACTTTAAAAACCTTTATAATTATAGCAGGAAGTTTTTTTTAGAGCTGTTTCATTTAGAACGCTAAGGATTAAGCAAAAGCTGCTATTTAAAATGTAGAGATACGCTTTTGTGATTTCTCATAATAAAACTATACTTGTTGCAGCTCTAAACAATTGTCATTTTCATTGACCGGAAGAAAGGAGCTCATACTTTGTGTGGTTACCATCACGATATAGATTATTTTTAAAAAAAAAAGTCAAATAAATTTTACTTCAAAGAAGACACCAACAACAGCAAGACCGCGTGTATTAGTCATTGCATCCTTAATATTTGAATACCAACTTGAATACGTAACCATATGCATCTTTAAAAAAAAGCATCCATTAAATATCAAAAACATTTCGTCTATTAACTTCAAGTGGATATGCTTGTCCTTCAAGTAAATGCTCTGACCCATTGTTATCATTATTTGCATGGCCCCAATGAAAATGAATTTGTTCGACTTTATAATCTTCACTTCCTGGTGCAATATTTTTTAATACAAAATGATTTTTTAAATTAAGTTGTGCTATAATATGAAAAGATATGAACGTTATCTAATTGTTCAACTCATTTAGAGTTTAGATTCTGCTCAAACCTGTGTGACCACTATTGACAATTTCGGCTTGTTCTATTATTTATAACAAAGAAAAACCATTATAGTTAAAACATCAAAATTCAAAACATATGCATCAATATAATTTACCTGGCGGATATCGGTCTTCTAAGTATACTTGTTTAAGACGGCTATCAAAAGTGGATCTGTTAAACCGAAGATCAATCGGTGATTGTAGATTACCAGCACAATAACGATTTCCACGGCGCCATTGTTTGATATTTTCATAAGACCATATACCTGTATATTGTATTAAATAGATGTCATGTACGAAGAAAACTAAAACTCAAAATAACCTGATGCTTCAACGATGGTCGGCAAGAATAATAGCGTTGTTAAAATTAGCTGTAACATTTTTAACAATGGAAATAATCTGCAATACACAATAGAATGAACCACAGAGATTCTTTTGAGCGATCAAACGAAAAAATATGGAAAATACCGACTTGTTATATAAGGGTAAACTAAACGTTGAGATATCTGAAATTTATGACGAACGATTGTTTTTTTCTCTTATCAATCGGCGTCATACTAATTTCAATGCTATCTTAATTCAATAAGCGAAAAGTTAGTTAGTGCTTTAATTATAATGCGTCAATTTTCAAAAGAAAGCAAATAATTATCAATTCAATATTTTATGGGAATGACGAACTCAGAAACCTTTTTTTGATAATTGATTTCACACATTTTCACGTCTAACAAAAGTCGATGATCCGATATGGCCTTATGATTTTAGATATCTAATTAAACTATACTTTTACTCGTAAGTGGCTTTGCTTTTCTATGCTTTCTTATCCGGGGTTCGTAGGTATCTCAGTTCTATCGCTGGTGTTAAAGCGAAAACAAAAACAATGAAAATATGGTTTGAAAATAAAAATGAAAAATAAAAACTTTTGTTTCTCTCGGTCTATTTAAATGCAAGGTAAGCAATTTTCGTTTTGGCGATGCCACTTGAGGAATAAAAAATTTTAATAGTTACTTTTTTTTTGTCAAATTAGTAAATCTATTTTGCTAGACAGAAATATATAGCTCTGCCAATGGAATATTTAATTTGATAGCTCAAATATGAATTTGTTAATGCATTACAAGTATTGAAGTATTCTCCTTTTGTTTCGTTATAAACTTGTACATAGCCACCAATTCTATGTTGTGTATTGTTCTATTGTAACATTGGTTTTCAATATCTTGTGAAATAGTAAATATCAATCCATAGTTCCGGTTTTTGTTGTTCTTCCTATCGAAGATTCCAGTGGTTTTGCCCAATTTTAATTGTGGCTCATAAGTAAAACTATTTTCAATCCCTAAAACAACTTTGATAGTACATGATCATCTATACAGACAGGTATAATAGACTACAAAAAATTCACCGTTCATTTTGTCATATGTTCCTAGAAAAGGAACCAGTACAAACAAAAGAACAGAAGCGGGGATAAGTCAGAAACTGTTGACACACTAATGACATAGGAGCAACAAGCGAACTGTGTTATTCATATAAATACACAAAAAAGAAACGAAGAAAGAAGAAAGGTGAGCAACCGATTAGGCATTACCCTTCATAATCTGCTCATCTTTTATCGCTTTATTTATTATTTCTTAAGAATCGATCGTGTTTGATTTGTGAAAGTACTAAATTATTTTCATGATAAATCATGAATGTTTAATATATTGAATAAAAAAATATGCTAAACATTGTTTTTTCTCCATTTTGGAAAAGAGAAAATAATGATGTTTTTCGACAGACCAAGGTGAATTCGAATAACTGCAATTTCTCTAGAATTTACGTGTCTTGCATTTCAATCAATATTTCTATGCGTATACGAACTATTAACTGTTAATAAATTCATGAAATGTCATATTTTCCATAGAAATTTCATTCATGTATTGTAACTCAATGAAACACCGTTAATCACGCTTCTAATGAGGATCTTAGTATTTTTTACGAAAAATAAAGGAAATACAATCATGCCAGTGATCTAAATCAATATTAATCGAAAAAAGCAAGCAAATGAGAAGCTGAGCGCACCATTTCATGAACTAACAATATTGATTTTAACTTGTTGCATTTACAATCGATTCAATGATTTTATCTTAATCGTATCAAATTTTTTAAAAGACAATTTTATATGATATTATTTTTTCGTAAAGGAAGTAAATAATTTAAATATATAATTACATTTGATTTAGTTTCTATTTCTGTTATTACTATTCATCTGTTGTTAAAATGTTAACAATAATCTCGATTGATTTGTTTTTCACTTGAACGAACGCAGTAAATCGCAGACATACAAATGTATATATATATATACATTATTCTTAATCGAGAAAAATGAAAGAAATATGATTCTGAATATCCTGCTAGTTGTAATGGCCAATGATATCTATGTCTTGGTACGTACTACATTTGTTGTTTAAGTTATGTGAATATATTTACTTAGATAAACGTAGAAAAATCAATAAATGTGCCAATTAACTCGTCTGATTCGAAGTACTCAACTTACCTAAGTATTAATGTTACACGTTAATACGTGAGTGTGATCGACAGAAGAGAAAATACGGCATAAACTAGAAGAACCGAACAGTAACGAGTGTACGTGATTGCATCGAACATGAATATTGATATTCATAAATATGAGAAAAATTGTCATTTTTTTCTTCTAAAATAAATCATCTATAAATGAGAAAATAGTTAACGTAAAAGACATAAATATATCACGGATGGTTGATAAGCGTCAATTATAAATCATGTTGATTTTAGGAAAGAGTAATTTTGTAAGGGTCTCCCCCGAAGAAATCATTCCAAATACAATAGACTTTTTCTCTTGCTTCACTATGGTTTTTCAAGTATTCGAAATGCTTTTGTTGTTCTGTCAAAAAGCAAGGTTTTCATAATAATCTTGAAAGTCCATATTTCATTAAACAAATTCTATTTTTTCAATGTAGTGTATAATAAGAATGCACGGGATAGTTTGCATCAAAATATGTGATTGATTGTGAAGAGGTGTCCACTGTTAATGTTGTCTAATGATTGACGACTGAAGTTCCCTGATGAAATATTAATACTTGTTATTCATAAAAAAAGCAGCATTTGATTTGTTTTCTCGACTTCACTCTGCAATAAATTTGAAGACTGTACCGCCCATATTAAAACTAATAAGTTTCTTTCTATTAATGCTTTACTCAAATAAAATTTGCTATGTTTAATAGTCCAGCATGAAATGAAATTATAATCGACACTTGTAGTAAACTATATATTATTCATCGAAAATTAAAATGTGTTGCTCCGGGATATCAGTTCACCTTGATAAATGTGCAATGATAATAATATATTCTACCCCAAACTTTTTCGTATGTGTTGATGTTGATAGAAAAAATAACGTGAAACGAATCTTATCCGATCCGCCAGCAAGTTATATCTTGAAATCAGGAAAAATTTATAGATATGAGGACATTGGAATACTTACTGTGGTATTGTTGCCTAGAATAATATCTACATACAAGTGTGTAAAGTAATGATCAGCGGTTAGAAATTAAAATGTTTACTTCTTAGCCAAACAACTGCGACATGCATCAAAGAAAAACAAATCTACAGTAAAATTATTTTTACTTTAAATGCATATTTCTCATATTCCATTGCTTTTCTTTTTCATTCGCAATCACTAATTCTTTTCTGCTTACGATTCACAAATAAAAAACAATAATGCCACGGCCATTTGATTCAAACGAAATGCTTCTGTAATTTGCCAGTTTAAAATGTCAAGACATGGTTGGCTTTGCATTGGAAGATTTTATGATGCTATTTTTCGGGATCTCATCAATAGAGGATTTACCTTTCGAGAGTGCAATATTTTTTCTTAATGTTTTTTAAGGACAGCAAGTGAGAATAGAATATTGCATGAGAAATATTTGTTTTATTATCATAGAACAAGCTATCCTTGTAAAATAGATCATATGACTAAGAAAAAAAGTATCCCATCGATAAATGAATCAAAAACAATGTCAACAATAAATGGAAAAGAAGTACCAACATCGTTCATTTTGTGAACATCAAGAAACAAATAATTTTAATACCGTTCAAATACTCATGTTAGATGTCAGAACAGGATAAAGCATTTTCATACTTCAATCGATTAAGAGCAGAAATATCAATAATTAAAACCAATATAATGAGTTTTTTTTTTATTAAAAATCATCTTCAACTACTTGACTTTATAATTATGTATAAGAATTATACTCTCAGTGTAATAAAAGGAATCATTGTATTGGAGACAGATTAAAATTTTCAATGAATAAAAAAAGTTAGATGCTGCTAGATTTGATATTATTCTTCTTCGGCTGCTTCTCGATAAACAGTGGTTGATTTACATTTGCGACAAGTCGACGATATCGAATCATCTTGTTCTTCTACAACATTTTCATCTCTCATAGCATATATATTTGCTAGTGGAAGTGGCTCAGTAATTTGGTCTAGTTTTGAAACACCAATCGAATCAGCTAAACACCGTGCATTTTCAATATTCAACGTTGATGGAAAACAATATTGAGCGACAAGACGCCCAGGACGCAAAAGAGCAGCATCTAATGAAACTAATGGAGAATTGAATGTAGCTAAAATTTGAACTTGAATTCCATCACTTAAGAGACCATCAGAAAGATTGAGAAGATTAGCAACTGATTGGCTGGATGTACGCGAGCGAGATAGGCTTCCTTCAGCATCTTCAATAATTAATAAGGAATTATGATTGTTAATAAGTAGAGGTATAAGTGCAGGACTTGTAAGATTCTCAACCATATCACCGGGAACATAGATAAGACGTCTTTCTTCTACTTCTGTTATACAGTGAAGTAGATATCGTACATAATGTGTTTTACCTAAATAAATAAATGATTATTGGTTTAATAAATTCATTTGATAATATTTACCTGATCCAGGAGCGCCATGTAAGAGTACAAGACCGCTAGTATCTTTTTTATTAAGCCATGCAACAATCTTATGATGTACATTAAGAAAAGCTTTTCCACCGTAACTAATTGTTAAATCATGAATATATGGCTTTTTAATGTGTATCCGACCCATTAAATAAAAAGATGCAGGACGTTGGCTGTCACGACTTTGAGATTTACCAATAAGACGTAGCATAGCTGTTTTAGGTTTTACAAGACTCAATGTATCATCATGAGTCAATTCATGGGAAAGCTTTTCAACAAAAGTTTCGTGTTCCGGTAAGTAAAATATAATAATTTCATTCACAACAAGAAAATGGCGATCTGGTATATAATCAGGTTGAATTGTTTTTTTCGAATTATTTGTATAATTAGTTACCCATGAACATTCATTTAGACTTATCAGTATTCCACCAATATTTGGCAATAATAATAGCTGTTCATACGCATAGTATTTCTTTGAACACGGATGTAAATGACGTCGAACAATAGAAAATTCATTAGTAATATCATCATTATTGTAAATTCGATGTAATAAAGATTTGACGTGAAATACCACAACCGTTGTTTTTTCATTTGAAGCAGGTGTTACACGAATTTTTTGAGGGATTCTGCCATAATTGGATAGAAATAAATCTCTAGTCGGTATATCTCTAACCGCCCATCTTCTCGATTGTTTAACATGTGCAATAATCTCATTCATGACGTGCAATCTTTCTTTTCTAACACAAAAGACTATATTTGCTTGTCTGTTATATTGTGAAAAACATTATTTTGACTGATCCATGCAATTTCAAATGCATGCCAACGTAGTTAGTAAGAATGATTCATGTTGAATACTTTATTTCATTTCTCTCAAATTGAAGACATCAAAGAAAACAATTCCCTACACTTGAAAGTAGTCTAGTTATTTTCGTCTTGATAATTTAAAAAAAGAAAAGTTTTGAATATTATAGATAATGAGATATCTACGACAAACAAATATATATATTGATGTGAAAGTGAATATCATGATTCTGAATGTTGACTTGAATCGGATAGGGCTCGTTTATTTCGTAAACTTTTGCTTCTAGAAAAGAAAAAAACACTTGTTAAGAAATATTTTTTCTTCTTTGTTTGCACTTACTTTGTTCTTCTTTTACTCGATGTAGATGTATTTGTCATTGATCGTGATGGAGGTTTTTCGCTGCTCGTTGTACTTTCATCTTCATCCACAATATCTTCATCACCTTCATCATTTATCGGTTGAGTCAATTGCGTATTATTTTCAGAAACAACTAAAATAAAATATGATGTGTTATCTATTCGCAAAGATCCCGAGAAAAAGTAGCATACTACTAGNCACTTACTTTGTTCTTCTTTTACTCGATGTAGATGTATTTGTCATTGATCGTGATGGAGGTTTTTCGCTGCTCGTTGTACTTTCATCTTCATCCACAATATCTTCATCACCTTCATCATTTATCGGTTGAGTCAATTGCGTATTATTTTCAGAAACAACTAAAATAAAATATGATGTGTTATCTATTCGCAAAGATCCCGAGAAAAAGTAGCATACTACTAGTGTTTTTCTTATTTGTTGATAATTCTTGCATTATTTCACGATGTTTACGAATGTTTTTCCGGCCTAAACGAGACAAGGTTTAGTTTTCAAACGAGAGAGAACAGAACTTGAATACTGACGTTCTTTTTCTCGTTCACGTTTAAGTCGATCACGACCAAGCAACTAAACAAGGTTCCACGTTGTAAATGAATGAAATTTGAAACAATTCATTTCTTACGGTATATGACGTAGCAGAGGAATATGAAAATAGTCGATCAGATTCACGAAACTTTGCTGATTTATCATTTGAACTAAGTAAAACAAAAAAAAAGATATGATTGAAGAATCATCTAATCACCTAAGTGCTTTAGTGGAGAGATGAACTTTTTAGAAATCTGTGAGAACAGGAGCATCACAAACGCCGAATTTTTATATGAAAAGTGCAACCATTTCGCAGCATCTCATATGATCTAATGTATACATGTGAAGATCATATCCGACAAATATGAAATGTACAAGAGCATTTGAAGCATATAGGCATTAGAGGGAATAACTTGGCAAAGAAAATAATTTCTTTTCCTTGGAACAAACGATCTTTAGTTTAACTTGAAACTCACTTGTTATTTCCATTTCCATTAGTCAAACAACTGCTCCATCCGCGAATACAGTTCCCGGTATCTTGTGTTTGTTTTAAATAACTTGTTTCGAAAGCATAAATTTGTTCTTCAATATCCGATAGAGATTTCTATAAATAACATTTCATTGATTAGCGAACAATAAATACTTTAGTAGATATTCTCAAACAAACTTCAATTTCTTCTTTCTTCTTCAAAAGTTGTGCAAGTTCAGAGCGTGTATCACGAAAAACATGATTGATTGTTGGTTTCTCTTTATTCGTAGTTGGACTTGCCGGTGCAGGTGATGTTGCAGCAACTGAAGAATCTTTCATTCTGTCTGCTTTCTTTTTGAGCAAAAATAAAAGAAAAACAAGCTATTTTCTATTTTTATCTAAAGAAATATTTCAAGAATCTTTATTTCTAATGAAATTTCATTTTATTTTGTCATCATCATATTTTTTTAAAGATACAATAGAACAAACAACAAAAAAGAGATGATTATTATTTATTGTCCAAGATTATGTTTTGTTGTCTAATATTCTTCACCTTCTCCTTCACCTTCACCCTAAAATAAAAAAGAGAAAAATGTATTTATATTTCAATCGAATGAACACAATTTGTATCTCTTACTTCAACTGAATCGACACCAACTTCTTCATAATCTTTTTCTAATGCAGCTAAATCTTCACGAGCTTCGGAGAATTCACCTTCTTCCATACCTTCACCGACATACCAGTGAACAAAAGCACGTTTAGCATACATCAAGTCGAATTTATGATCAAGACAAGCCCAATCCGCTGTAAAACAGCAATTGTCGAATTGAATAATGTATAAAATAAATTATTAATGAGTTAAATTTTGTTTTTTGATTGCATTTGTTGTTGGGACTAAAATCGGCGCCCCAGATAATTTAGCCACTCGAATATATTCCATATAGAAAAACCAGGTTGTCTAGTTTGATTGTAAATGCTTTCATATGAGAAAGTAGGTAGTAGAAAGACAGCAGAATCATTGGAAAAGCAATCGCTATGTTTTGATCGAGTATAATTAATTAGTACTTTAGAGGTTTATTTAAGAAACTAGTATTTATTGATAGTACATCAGAGAGAAAGAAAAAGAAGCCGCAAAAATAATCCTATGTTAAAATGTGTCATACCAGTCTCAATAAATGAAAGGGTTGTAGTGGAATCTGCTGAAAGTAGACTGTAGCTACTACCCTAGTTCCGCTCATTTCTGTGCAACTATGTATTCGGACATGATATGTCGGATTCTCATCAAAGGAACAATGGATATAATCAGTGGTTACTTGCAATTCTTGCAGGAATCTCGAATTTAGTGTTGAGGAAAAAGTTAAATTTTTTCTCAGCGGTTTTCTAACTTTAGCACTTCCATTCATTTTTCGTAGTTTTTCACAGTATTTTCTTTTTATTTCCTTCTTGTTTTAATTATGTCTGCCCTTCCCAAAATCAAACCAATTTCTTTTGCTTTCGCCATCCAATAGAACAAAATGTAGTAGGATGGCGCGCTCGCTCGATTGTTAGGACGATCATTTAGTAGTGTCATCTACGGTTGATTCAATGATATCCTGAGAAAATCCGTACTATAGCCTGTTCTGTTTCAATATAAGTTTAAAAGTATTACTTGAACGATATTTTAAAGAGAATCGAAATTAATTAAATAGTTCTTTTTTACTGTCGTACATGTGGTTCCTTTTTCTGATCAGTGATTTAATCGTAAAAGATTCGATTTTGATGGTTCACACAAAAACATAAGTATTAGAGAACCGTACGACTTGAAATAATGTTGCAGTTGTGTGGAATATGAAATTAAGAAAGAAAACCAGATCTGCATCGATCCTACAATCTACTATCTTCAAAGGGGAAAAAGCGCGATCTCCGTACTCTCTTGTACTTTGCGGATACTCTCATCGTACTTCAAAATTTTTTGAAATCGATGAAGTCGCCATTTTCCGCCTTGGTCATAGTACACGAAAAGTATAGTTACATGTAAAATTCATCGAGTACTTTCACTAGGGTGGTAAATATCATCATGTCTAATTCAAATTCAAGATTATTCGTACAAGATATGAATTCGAGCTTCGCATTGCATTACGCATTCAAGTGAAACTCGAAAACCGTTTAGTTTCCAATATCTAAAGATGGTAGCTCTTTTATCGGCTACACACAGGAATGCATCGAGAGTTTTTCGGTTTTTCTGCACTTTCGTCCGTAAAGTTTTGGTCTTGTGGATGATAAGCATGAAGTTACTCAGAATACGATAGACGAAGACAAAGTCTTTTTTTTCTATTTGTTTCCGTTGCAAGTCTGGATGAACGCTACCATGCAACCTATAACATAAGTTGCTAACTTTAGATTTCCAACTTCTCATGAATTAAAATATGCAATAACCCATTTTCATCATGTACTGATCCAAACTCGAACTGCTAACAATTAAATTAATTTCAATTGAGTGGCAATCTTGCCTATCAACATTCTCATGTCACACTCCATCACATTAAATAGGGGATTCCATAAAGTATCCCAAATAGAACGAGACATAAAATTGCTACCGATTCTATCGTTTCGTGTGAAAAGAAAGAGTCGTATCAATTTCGCCATTCACAAAAACCACATTTTTGTTACAAAATGATTGTATCGAATTTAGACTCAAGTCACACCAAACCACTCGAATAAAAGAAAACTTGTCCAAACAAGACTTCACTCTATTAAACATCAAAAATAACTTCCTGTTCAAAAATAGTTCATCGATGCAGTAACAATTTTTTCTGCGTGTAAACTAACGTAAATAAACTGTCCTTTGAATACTATAAATACGATCTTCTTGCAAACTTAAAGCTATATGACTGTATCCCAATATAGCAAGTAACAATTACTCTTGATGAATATTATATTTCTTTTCAAATTCAACACATACACAAAACTAAGAATTATACATGACTTTAATCAAACTTTTGGTCTTAACTATTTACAAAAAGAAAAGTTTTGAATATTATAGATAATGAGATATCTACGACAAACAAATATATATATTGATGTGAAAATGAATATCATGATTCTGAATGTTGACTTGAATCGGATAGGGCTCGTTTATTTCGTAAACTTTTGCTTCTAGAAAAGAAAAAAACACTTGTTAAGAAATATTTTTTCTTCTTTGTTTACACTTACTTTGTTCTTCTTTTACTCGATGTAGATGTATTTGTCATTGATCGTGATGGAGGTTTTTCGCTGCTCGTTGTACTTTCATCTTCATCCACAATATCTTCATCACCTTCATCATTTATCGGTTGAGTCAATTGCGTATTATTTTCAGAAACAACTAAAATAAAATATGATGTGTTATCTATTCGCAAAGATCCCGAGAAAAAGTAGCATACTACTAGTGTTTTTCTTATTTGTTGATAATTCTTGCATTATTTCACGATGTTTACGAATGTTTTTCCGGCCTAAACGAGACAAGGTTTAGTTTTCAAACGAGAGAGAACAGAACTTGAATACTGACGTTCTTTTTCTCGTTCACGTTTAAGTCGATCACGACCAAGCAACTAAACAAGGTTCCACGTTGTAAATGAATGAAATTTGAAACAATTCATTTCTTACGGTATATGACGTAGCAGAGGAATATGAAAATAGTCGATCAGATTCACGAAACTTTGCTGATTTATCATTTGAACTAAGTAAAACAAAAAAAAAGATATGATTGAAGAATCATCTAATCACCTAAGTGCTTTAGTGGAGAGATGAACTTTTTAGAAATCTGTGAGAACAGGAGCATCACAAACGCCGAATTTTTATATGAAAAGTGCAACCATTTCGCAGCATCTCATATGATCTAATGTATACATGTGAAGATCATATCCGACAAATATGAAATGTACAAGAGCATTTGAAGCATATAGGCATTAGAGGGAATAACTTGGCAAAGAAAATAATTTCTTTTCCTTGGAACAAACGATCTTTAGTTTAACTTGAAACTCACTTGTTATTTCCATTTCCATTAGTCAAACAACTGCTCCATCCGCGAATACAGTTCCCGGTATCTTGTGTTTGTTTTAAATAACTTGTTTCGAAAGCATAAATTTGTTCTTCAATATCCGATAGAGATTTCTATAAATAACATTTCATTGATTAGCGAACAATAAATACTTTAGTAGATATTCTCAAACAAACTTCAATTTCTTCTTTCTTCTTCAAAAGTTGTGCAAGTTCAGAGCGTGTATCACGAAAAACATGATTGATTGTTGGTTTCTCTTTATTCGTAGTTGGACTTGCCGGTGCAGGTGATGTTGCAGCAACTGAAGAATCTTTCATTCTGTCTGCTTTCTTTTTGAGCAAAAATAAAAGAAAAACAAGCTATTTTCTATTTTTATCTAAAGAAATATTTCAAGAATCTTTATTTCTAATGAAATTTCATTTTATTTTGTCATCATCATATTTTTTTAAAGATACAATAGAACAAACAACAAAAAAGAGATGATTATTATTTATTGTCCAAGATTATGTTTTGTTGTCTAATATTCTTCACCTTCTCCTTCACCTTCACCCTAAAATAAAAAAGAGAAAAATGTATTTATATTTCAATCGAATGAACACAATTTGTATCTCTTACTTCAACTGAATCGACACCAACTTCTTCATAATCTTTTTCTAATGCAGCTAAATCTTCACGAGCTTCGGAGAATTCACCTTCTTCCATACCTTCACCGACATACCAGTGAACAAAAGCACGTTTAGCATACATCAAGTCGAATTTATGATCAAGACGAGCCCAAGCCTCTGAAAAAATAGAACGAAAATAGTTTATAGATTTCAGAAAATCTTTGTCAAAATCGAATAATCTTACCAGCAATAGCTGTTGTGTTGGATAACATGCAAACAGCACGTTGAACTTTAGCTAGATCACCGCCTGGTACAACTGTTGGTGGTTGATAGTTGATACCAACCTTGAAACCTGTTGGACACCAATCAACGAATTGAATGGTTCGTTTTGTTTTGATTGTTGCAATAGCTGCATTGACATCCTTGGGGACAACATCACCACGATATAAAAGACAGCAGGCCATATATTTACCTGAATAAGTTTATAACAACCATAAAAAGAAAAGACACCCTCAAGTAATCTATCTTACCATGTCGGGGATCACATTTAACCATTTGATTTGCTGGTTCAAAAACAGCATTGGTTATTTCAGCAACCGTTAATTGTTCGTGATAAGCTTTTTCAGCTATAAAATTTCATCGAAACAAAACCGTAGAAAAAAAAAGAAATTTTAGATTAAATAAGTATCTTACCACTGATGATAGGTGCATATGTAGCTAATGGAAAGTGAATACGTGGATAAGGTACCAAATTCGTTTGAAATTCAGTGAGATCGACGTTAAGTGCACCATCAAAACGTAATGATGCTGTAATGGATGAAACAATTTGTGCAATCAAACGATTCAAATTTGTATATGTTGGACGTTCAATATCCAAATTACGACGACAAATATCATAGATAGCCTCTATAAGAAATATAAAATAATAGTTTCACTCAAAAAAACAACTATTTCTTTTTTTGACGAACCGTTATCAACCATAAAAGCACAGTCAGAGTGTTCAAGTGTTGTATGTGTTGTCAAGATTGAATTGTATGGTTCAACAACAGCAGTCGAAATTTGTGGAGCTGGATAAACAGCAAATTCAAGTTTGGATTTCTTTCCATAATCAACACTAAGACGTTCCATTAATAATGAAGTGAAACCAGATCCAGTACCACCTATTTATCAAAAATATTTAATAAAAAATTCCATGTCTTTTTGTTCAATCGAATAATTTACCTCCGAAACTATGAAAGATGAGAAATCCTTGAAGACCAGTACATTGATCGGCCAATTTACGAATTCGGTCAAGTACCAAATCAACAATTTCTTTACCAATTGTATAATGCCCGCGAGCATAGTTATTAGCTAATAGAAATAATAATTTTATAAAAAGAAACATTTCGTTGTTTTTGAATAAACTTACCAGCATCTTCTTTGCCTGTAATTAATTGTTCAGGGTGAAATAATTGACGATAGGTACCGGTACGTACTTCGTCTAAAAAAATTGATAATTTAAATAAACATGTAGGCATTGTTTGTCATTCCCTACCAATGACAGTTGGTTCCAAATCAACGAAGACTGCTCGTGGTACATGTTTACCAGCACCTGTTTCACTGAAGAACGTGTTGAATGAATCATCACCTCCACCAATTGTTTTATCTGATGGCATTTGTCCATCGGGTTGAATACCATGTTCTAAACAGTATAATTCCCAACAAGCATTACCAATTTGAACACCAGCTTGACCAACATGGATTGAAATACATTCACGCATGATCTATAGACAATTTTAAAAAAAACTTCCTGATAAGTAACAAAAGACGTAAGAGAAAAAATCTTACTGAAGTTTTAGTTTTATTTAACGACGATAGTGGTTGCTTATTTGCTCTCGCTTGTCTCTTTGTGGCGACTGACTGACAGAGTGAGCGAGTTAGGCTGAAATGTTATATAGAGAAACAGAAAGGGAGTGAATGTGTAACGAAGGCGACGAATGAAAAAGAAAGCAAGAGAGAGCGAGAACAATCCGGGGCGACGGCAGCACTATCACCCCGAGATGATTCACCATCTTCTGTTAGCCCCATGAAACGATGAAAATGCAGTGTCGAGTTTCTATTGGAGACACTTGAATTGATCGATAATGAAACAAACGCAACGAAAAAAAAAGAAGTAGAAAAAAAATAAACGAAACTCCTTAGAGACAACATCAACACTACAATCAACAAAGCAAAGTGCATGGTCACAGTACTCTAGAGATCGGCTTGTGTTCATAAGAAAAAGGTCTTGAAAAATAAATAAATCTTTTCAATAAACGATATACTCTGTTAATTAATCATGAAATTTCTAAATGAATAGTATATAATGAATAAGACAATGAAAGAAAAACAAAAAACTAATGAATGTATTTGCGTTGCTATATAAGAGCCGGAAAAAAAGTACCTTTAAAGTTGATTTGTCTTCTCTTTTTTTCTTATTTTTATTTTACATAAGTCAATAACGTGCATGTTCTTATAGCATAAAGGTAGATAGTAATTTCAAGTGCTTTAACTGATAATATAGAAATTGTTTAATAAGAGAAACTGTGCGAATGCTAGATTAATAACTTTTCTTTTTTTTACATTTCATGGACAAAATTTCCATATAAATCTTTTAGCTAGTTGTTCTTTTTCTCTACTTTCAAGATCGTGCTTGAATTAACATAATACTATAATCATATTGTTATTTCACTTTTAAGTTGTATATTAAACATTTGAGCATAATAATATGGGTGCAAATAAAACAAAAATAAATAAAACTGTACTCAATCAGTTGGTTGTTCATACAAATCGTAAGATGAAGAAAAAAAAAATTTAGAAATAATTGCTTCAATTTAATTTATTATCTTTTCAGGCTCGCCAGCGGAAATAAAAGCTATGTGCGTAAGTTTTTATTTCATTGTAGCACAAAATCAATAAAATCATTTATTTATAGGTATGCTATTTTTTGTCGACATTTTCCTACTGGGAATATAGAATCACCTCAAGTAAATGATTAATATTTTCTCTTGAGGATATATAATGCATTTATTTACTTAGGATCTTTGTCGATGCCTTCAAAAATTTTCACTTCTACCTATCGAATATACAGATCAGAAAGCTTTCGACCGACTTTATCGATTATTTGATATACAAAATCGAGTAAAATTCTCATTGTTTTATTACTATGAGAATAACCGTTGTTTTTCTTTCTCCTAATGATTTTTCAATAGAATCAGAAACAGGATGGTAGCATTGACTTTTTTAATTTTATGATTGTTTCACATATTCTCGAACGTGGCCCACCAATGGAAAAAATCAGTTGTAAATATATAAAAAAAAATTTTCTTCTTTTGATAATATTCAAGTTTTTAGTATATTTTCATTCGTTTGATGTAAATAATGATCAAATAATAACACGAGATGATCTAGAAGCATGTTTACCACCAACAGTTGAATCTCGACAATTAATTCAACAATTACTTCGACAATGGGATATGGTAGATTTTTTCTTTAGATTAAATTTATTAATCATTTTTCGCGCTTGATTTTTTTAAATTATAGAATAGAGATGGTGTCGTTAGTCTAGATGATTTTCAACAATTCATCATGAATAATCCAGACTTATTGCCAATGTTTACTGATGCTAGAGAAAGAGTTCGAATGAATAGTATTACTGCTGAATCTATAACAGATAATAATCAATCTGCAGACGTATACAATATTAATCATGGAACGTTTTCTAAATCTCAATAGATACAACGAATTATTATTTTTTTTGCAACGATCTTCATGATTTTAATGTAGAGTAAAACACGATATTTTTTAAATAAATATATAAATAGAAACTATGTGCGATTTTTGTTGCACTGTTTAACGAATTGAAGGAAAAAAAAGTAATTCTATTAGGTTTCATTTTTATTATTATTATAGTCAAACACGAGTGTTATGTGGATTCATTATCATTTTAATATAATCAACTAAGGACGTAGATGTTGACAAATAATAAATAGCTGGGATATAAAAAACAAAAAACTAATATTGAATCAAGATTCAAAACATAAAATTATAAACTCTCTGCGAAAAGACAATCTTATTGTATCTCGTCACAATCATATTCGTATTCATCGTAGACTGTTTAGTAATTTTTGTCGATTTCAATGTTCATAATGGTCACATACTACATGATAACGTAAGTAATTCGTGCACCATCGCTACTTTTACTTCTCTCATTCGTATTTCGTGAGATATCAAAAATAAATAGCAATAATAAGATTCTATAACTATTTTCTTGCATTAGAATTAAGTCTTTTCGAAACATTTATCGAACAGAAAATGTCTTTCTACTATAATGAACAATCATGACTGGGAACAGAATTTAACTATAGAATTATGTTTTTTCTTCTTTTACAAGTAAACGAATAGAATTTTGTTATAGGCGTTGAAATTTTAGATGGTAATTTAAATTTTGCGAATAATTCTTCTACGATTGCATTCGGACATCTAAGTAGACCGTGAAGTATTTAGGATCAATTCATTGTTTCGAATTTCTTCAAAATTTCCAAAATAACAGTTGTACTATTTCATATAATTATCTATCAAAATTATTTCACAGGCCAGATTTTTAAACTTTTAACGACAGTTTTTTGCAAGAATATTAATTTTTTTTACAGAAATCAAATAGTATTGAATTAAATTTTTTTTTGTAGATACCGTTTGACGTTCTTCACTTTTACTTCAGCACAAAAAACCAAATATTTATTCAGAACCAACTGTAGATTCTCATTTCGAACAATCGTAGCATTGTTTTTCATTCATCCTTAGTCACAATGAAAATAATGTTTGAATCAATAGAGCTTATCTCGAAATACTCTCATTCGATCCACATCATAGAAACTAAAAGATATTTCTTATTTGCACTATTTGTTTGTTTATTTGTTTTTCTTGTTTTTTTTTTTTTAGTAAACGAAATCCATCAGCGCACAAAAGAGCAAACAGGACAAATGTATGTATGTGACAAAAAAGAAAAGAAAAACGGTTTGTCGCACATATGCGCACTAAAGAATTATAGAGAACAAATCAAAAAAGAAAATCGAACAGATAATTCACTGTTTGTGCCAATGCGCAGAGAAAAAAGAAAGGAAAAAAAGTAAAAAAAACACGAGAGTGCTTTGTCGATCCAAAAAAACTGGACAATACACTATCATCGTTGCGCAAGAAGTAAATGTATATTTTTATTTATAAGCATATGCAAGAATGTTTTCGCATGCAAATAGAAAACGATAGAACTTTTATGATAGCAACAGCAACAGCAAGAACATGAACAACGAAAACACAAACATGCATTCCTGAAACATTGGCTGGGATAGGGAAAGAAAGAAAACAAAAAGAGAAAATGAGATGAATAAAATAGCTTATTCAACTAAGTGCGATGATGGAGCATTAGGTCGCGATGCTTGATAATTTAAACGAAATAATTTTATAATCGATTTTTTCAATTGTCTTACATTATAATCAATAAGTGCTTGTTTTGTAAGTGCTTCTTCACGTAGAATACATATCAACGCTAAATGACGATTGATTTCTTTCAAATAAAGCGCTCGACCACCGGTTAATTTAATAACACTTGATGACATTGAATCAAATACAGCTGATGCTGGTTCACTTGTTGTTTCTAATAGTGTTGATTGTGCATGATTTATTATCGGTGTTGTATCTAATGGGCCTAAAATAAAAGCATTTTTTATTATTATCATATTTTCGTAGAAAAAACTTTCTAACTTACTATTAACAAATGAACTTTTTCTTGAGCTATTTAATGGTATATTATTTTCATCATATTCGTCATTTTGAGTTACAATATTCCACTCATGTCCCTGATTATGATCAGAACCATCATTAAAATAATCTTCGTCTTCATCGTCATCATCATCATCTGTTACTCTCTGACTACCATCTTCATTTGGTTGTCCATAAATTTCACTCATATTTATTAATAGATCAATCATGTCACAACATAATTCATACATCTTTTAAAAGAAAAAAAGAATAATATACCAATCTCGATGTTTCTGTTTCTTCTACTACTTTCAATAATTTAACTTACTTGCATATCGGTAGGCGATGAATCAGTAGCAATACTTATTTTAGTTTGAACATCAAATAAAAATGCTTGTTCAATATTCGATGTTGATAATAAATAATTGAGCAAACGTTCTAAATGGGCGAATTCTGGGATTAATTTTTGTATTACTTTTGAAAATGCTTCGAATATTGAATGATCATAGATGGATGTTAAATGAAAATTTATAAGAACGTCTTGAGAACTTGAGTTTGGCATTGGGGATGCTGGCGACCATGATTCCATTCCACCAATAGGATCAGCAAAACGATCTCGTACCTAAATAGAATTGAGTTTTAAGATTATTTATTTATTTAATTCTTTAGTCATTTTCTATTATACTCTTAAGTTCTCACATCTACACCTTCAATCAGAAATATGATCTATAGACGCTTGTTATGAGCAAATCTCACATGAAATCCAATAGCGTATTAGTAGAAAGAAAAGATCAGCGAGCTTTATGTTCTCGTTTTAAATCTAATACATAATAGTATGTAGACTAGAAGAGATCATCAATGATTCATTCCTTTATCTGTATTGTCTATCGATGGATCTAATCGTCAATTTCCAACTAATTCTTTCTGAAGCATAATTGTTATTTCAGATATCTAATGCTTTGAAAAAATGAAAATTTTCTTTTGAAATGAAATTTTTAGAACTGTAATTTAATAATTAGATTGCTCTTTCGATAATATTTCCTTGTACTTTTCATATTAGTCAGAACCTATCTAATAGCACATTGTCCGATGCATGACTCGAAATAAACAGGCTCTCGATGACTTATTTTGGATTTATTTTAAATCTGCGACAATTAATATTCAAATACAATAATTTTCTGGAACATGTCACGCATTCATGATGATAAAATCAGTGCACACAAGACCACAACAACTCGTACGCTCCAAATTAGCATACACGAGATTCAATATGAATATGACTTCTATCCTAGGGTTCATTTATATATATATATATGGGAATGGTTATTGTCGTTTGTGTTGAAAATGCGAACGTCTATAGCTATAGTTGCATGTGTACTCTTGAGATTGACTTTCTTTCTTTTTGTTGTTGCGTGCTCAACTTTCTATTGCTGATTATTTCCTTGTTCGTCGTTCACTAATCCCAAATGAGTATACATCCGATTTTAAATGGCACGTTACACATGGGAAGCATCTCCCGCAAGTGACAATATGTTTGTAAAAAATCACGATAATACAATCTATCGCGTATTTTATCATTTGATCAAAACTTTTTATATTTGAAAAAGTCGAGACAAAAAAGAACATTCCTCTTAAAATTGTTCATTACCTGATTATGAATATCTCTTTGGGTTTCAATTTTAGTTTCTTCAGATAATTGATCAACTTTATGTATAAATATTTCATATCGTATTCGAGGATTAATTCGTCGACCTTTTTGTATAATCGTATTTAAACGTGTTATTGACTCTGAATAATCATCTTGAGCATCAATTATATATACAACAGCATTACACCGTTTTAATAAACGTTCTAAATCATAACTTCCACCAATTATACTTGTCATTGAATCATCATCATATGACGATGCTTGGACATTGTTTCCGCCATTGCCACTATTTGGTCCTGGATATATTTGTAATTGACCGGGTAATTCTTGTACTTGAAAATTAATAAATGATCCACATGAAAATTGGTTCAATGTTAAATGTGATGTTGATTCAAGAAATTGTGTTTGTGATGGCTGCATTTTTGTAAATATAACACGTTGTATCGATGTTTTACCTGAACGACGAAGACCAGTTAATAAAATTCTTGGACGTATAAATGGATTGATATTTTTGTTTGATGTTTGGCCTTGGCCACCACCAGTATCGGTTATAGTTGACGTTGGATCAAGCATTATATATATGAATATCTGGAAAAAAAAGAAACAGAACAAACATTCATCATTTATTTTGGTTTTTTGTGTTTATACACAAACAAAAGAAGAAGAAGAAGTTAGACTAGGTAAAAAAAGAAAGAAGCAAAGAATACAATGAAGAATAGTGAACAAAATGAAAAAAAACATACACATGAATGTCTGTGTGTAACAAAAAAGAAAGAAAAAAAAGAGGAAAAAATTAACGACGTCGTGATTTATATTTGGAATTTGAACTATGGTTATCATTTCGATGATGACTAGAAAATTAAAGATTATTAATTAAAAGAAGATAATTAATTTTGATAATTACTGTGACGATGATTCTCTTTTCTTATGGGGTTTAGATGATGATGAATGTGACGATGAGGAAGATGAGGATGACGATGATGTTGAACTACCACTATCACTACCCGAGGATGAACTTGAACTAGACGAACGAGATGCTAAAGAGAGAACAAAAAACAATACCATGAAATCTTTTTCGTTGTTTTCATGCATTTTACCTGGTCGATGTTTCGATGATTTTTTTTCGACGATAATTTCACTTGTTGAAGTTGCTGTTGGTGGCATTATATTAGCATCATTACTTTGTTCCTAAATGGTAATTTATAAGTAAGAAAAAAACAAGAACATTTCCACTTAGTCTTTTGGGAATGAAATATAGAACTAAGATGTACTCCTATTGCTCATTATTTTTAAATACAATATATAAAATAAAATAACCTCTAGAAGACTAAATTTATCTTTTAACAATGATCAATTGTTTTGTTACTCTGTTCCATCATAGTTGTTCAATTCAGCATCCACATTTTAACGATTGATTCAAATAGTAAATAGGACTCTCGTACATATGCATTATATTTACAACAAATCTCAATGGATTTGAAATAAGCAACTTTATTTCTGAAAAATTCATCATAACATATACAGACATATGCTAAATTCTAAAGGTGCGCTGACAATGTGATTATGACGTTGTTTATGGCATATAGTGCTTTTTCTCTCCATGTGATGAAGCCTTGAGGCCATTGAGCTCAGTTACTATAGAAGCATACCCAATGAGTAATGACCTTTCTTCCTACATGTCACAAGGAAGAATCTAATAATAGATTTGTAAGAAGTAGGAAAAGCACAAAAAAGTTACACTGGGTATATTTTTCTTCGAAACAGTCTTATATAAATTCAACAAACATCTGTAGCTTACTTGATAACATTCTGTTGGAATGATTGAATCGTCTTCGTCAGCACCATCGTAAAGTGATGAAATTGATGGTGCAGGTGGTGGCGGTGGAATTGCTGCAGTTATCGTTGTTTGCACTGTTTGTTCTTCAGCATAAGTTGTTGATGTAGTTAATTCATCTGTTGAAGTTGGCTGTGGATCATCAAGATCATCGAGTTCCATATCTTCATGTTCACCAATACGATCGTGTAAATGTGTTGCTGTATTTGATGATCCTTCATCGTCTTCAGGATCATAGAGTGGTGGAGGAGGTGGTGGTGGTGATCGAGCTATTTAAAAATCAGATTCACTGTTTAGAGAGAAAGAATGTTTTTAAAATTTATTTTACTGGGTGAAGTTGAAGGTGGCAATGGTACAGATTTTGCTAATTCAATTTTAATCTGCTTTCGTTCGGGTGCTTCGCGAGGTTTAACAGCTTTTAAAGGTACAAAAATATGTTCATCGTCTGGATTTGGTGGTGTAGGTAAGCGTTTTCGTGTTGGTGGAGTTTGATTACGTTCTTGTCCATTCGATGCTGATGCTCTATAAATATTTAACAAATCTGAAATCGTTAAAATTGAGATTCGTTACTTACGATTTGTTTGAACTACTAGATGATGAACCTGATGAGGACGATGAGGACGAGGAACCCGAAGAAGAAGTTGATGATGATGACGATGATCGTGACGATGAACCCGACGAAGTAGTAGAACCCGATGATGAACTTGACGCTTTTTTACGATCTTTTTGACGCGTAGATGATTTCAAATCAGATGGACGAGTATTTTTATCACGAGACGAGTGATGACGATCGCGATCGCGATCATCATTTCGTCGGCGGTCTCTATCATGAAAATCACGATCTCGGTCACGACCTAAAATTTAATAAATGAAAAACAAATTAATATTTTACTTCAAATATATTTACCTCTATATCTATCAACATGATCATAATATCGATTTCGAGATGATACTGGTGGTGAATATCGTCGACGATGACTAGGATTATATCGATCATCATAATTTCGTCGACGATAATAATCATCTCTTTCACCATAACCACGATATCGACTTTGTGATGATGAATAATTTTGGCGTCGTTCACGACTAGATGTACGACGACGACGGTCACGATCTCGATCACGATCACGTTCAGGAGTAGATGCTTTTCGGTTTCGATGTTCTCGAGTAGAAGAATCTTTCTCTTTTCGATTATGACTTGATGATGATTGTTCAGTTTGTGAAGTTGTTTTATCGATTGTTGCCGGTAACGATGATTGATTTTCATCAAATTTTTCAATATTTGATGTAGTTTCGATGGATTGAGTTACTCTTGGACTAGGTGTTTTCTCTTTTGGTACACTAAGAAAACAACATGAATACAAAAGATTATTCTTTGTTTAATGAGATCTACAATAGGTGTTGAAGTACAGGGATAAATATTTCGAAACTGTAATAGACATGATATCCGTACCCCCTCCCATTTCTGCCATCATAGACTGTCTACGAACATATTATAATACAAGACTATTAACTAAAATATATTGCAAATATTAATGTCAGCTCGTCTGGGACAAATTCATGTCACTCTGATTAGCAGCAACGCTTATATTGCCTTTCATACTGTTATCCCATTGAGACTATGATAATATGGTTGTTTATTGGAGAGAGAAAAGGTTAACTTACGATTCTGATTGAATTTGATTTTGTTTGATTGAATCAGTGGTTGCTTCATCATCATCATAATCGTCGTCGTCCCATTTCGATTTACTGATATTTGATTTTGTTTGTGTTACTATTGATTCAGTTGATTGTTGTGGAATGGCATTCGATTTAGTTGTTGATTCATTTGATGCTGTACTTGTTTGTGCAATCATACGCAGTTCATCTTCAAAATGATCTTGTTCTGTTGCGATTTGTCGTTCATTTAATTCACCTTCCTTATCCCAACGATTACGTCGTTTTCCGGACGAAGATTGAAGAGGCGGTGAACTAGAGTGTGATGTTGGTGCAATATATGCGATGTCATCTTGTTGATCATTTTTCGACGATAATACTGTAGAAGAATCTTCAATGAATTCATTTTTACTATCATTTGCTGGTGATCGATTACGTGATGATGATAGTGGTGGTGGTGTCTGAGAACGATGGCGACGATTCGTATGAGATTCATCATGATCATGTTTCGAACGTAAGGGTGAAGCATTATGTTGAGCTAAAAATTTCACATTGAGAAAAACATATGAAGAATCAAAATGAAAGATCTATTTACTGTGTTTATCACTTTCATCATGTTTATTATTCGTTGAACGATGATGTTTTGATTCATTACGATGTTCACGTCGTTGTCGTGTTGATGGTGATGAATGTCGTTGCTCACGTTCTTTAGGTTCAGCTCGAACAACACTACTATGTATGGATGGTTGTGATTGTTGAACTTGCTCTTCACTGTCATCGTCGACATTTTCACGTCGCTTCTCATGACGACGTGAACGTTTGGTTGGCTCCTTTGTTGATTGCTCCTCATTATTAGTTGTGGTGTTTTCTTGATCATCGCCCGCATCACCATTTTTCAAAAAAGAACGAGTCCGTTTGGAGCTTTCACGTGTATTAGATTGTTCCGATGTTTGTGTTATTGTATCTGTATTTTCATTTGAATTCGTTTGCTCGCGTGATTCATTCATCTCAACAAAACGTTTACGTTCTTCAGCTGCGGAACGCCAATGTGGTGGAGTACGCGATCTTGAACGACTTTTACCAGTATATCTCTAGAATAAAATTAATTTAGAAACTTTTGAAACAATTAAAAAAACTTCATCGTACCATAATACCACGGCCTTTCACTGGTCGGCCATTTGAGTCGACTTTTTTTGCTGAACGATAATTATTTGTTCTAAAAAGTTATAATTTAAACAGATGAACAAGTTTATCTTTGCTGTATAATCAAACAGACTTTTATTTTTATTTCAAAAAAAAATGTCTAATACGGCTTATCAATAGTTTTTTCTGATATTTTCATCAAAGAAAAACAATCTGTATAATTATTCTAATGTAATATAGAGTTCCGAACTGTAATATAAAGAATAAAAACAGCAACTTCTATTTATCGAGTTTACCTAGTTGAGATACACAAAGCTTACAGAGGTTTCTGTAGAAAATCTGAATCCCGCACGCCAATTTAACAGTAGTATTATACCTGTTCTCCGTATGCCATTAGTTTCTATACTATTTCAAACCGAACTATAATAGTGTATGCTAGATGAAAAACAATTTGGGTGTTGACTTATTGCGAGTCTCTGATCAAGAATGATTTTTATTGTTTTCAGCGATCGAGACAATACAATATAAAGAATGATAAACCTTATTGAAGAATATTAATATTTTAACGTCAAATAAAATATTTCGATTATGTTTCGTTCAAAATTTTCATTCTCTCATTTTCTTCCTACAAAGATGACTCGTTATATGTGCTTCGCAATTAACTCTGAATTATGAATAGGTTCACTGTTGTAATTTAGACAATCTTTGTTTTGCACATGATAGAAGATTTCTTTCATACCGAGATAATCTTTCGCTTGTTTCATCATTGCTCGTTTTGTCTTTATCATTTATTCCAGAACGTAGAGAAGATTTTTTCTCGGATATTTCATCTGCATCGCCAACAGTATCTCGTTTAGATATATCATTGACATTATTATCCATATCATCATTTTTATTTTCGCTTGTTTTTGTTGCTAAACGTTTTGATTCTCTTTTTCGTCGATGCTTTTCTTTTTTTTTGTTTTTTTTATTATGTTTGGATTTTTTCTTCTTGACATCGTTATCTGATATTGAACTACTTTCATCATCATCGTCATCATCATCGTTTTCTTCTTGATTTTCATTATCACTTTCGTCACCAGTTGAAATTTTACGTTTTTTCGACTTAGCATTTTCTAAATAAAAAATAATAATAATTCAGAATGTTCTTTTTGTTTTCAAAAAGCACTTGACTTACTTTTTACAACTTCTACTTGACCATGGTGAGATATAACAACTTGTAATTGACCACAATGAGATATAACAACATCTTTTAATGGACGATTGGTATTTGGATCAGTGGGAAGACTCTCAATAGCGGCAACAACTGATGCACCAGAAACAACATGACCAAAGATAACATGTTTGCTACAAATAAAAGAAGAAAATTTGTCGATTTTAATTAGAAAATGGTCAATATCAACTAAGAAAATCATGACCGACTGAAGATTAATTTTATTAGCATTAGAAAAGTAGGGATTATCGTTTAGATGATTTAGCTGACAGGTACTTTATGCTATGCCTGACTGAAAAAGAAAAGGTAAGTCTATTTTTCTTTGTCTTCTGAGTTATTTCAATTTTTTGATTTAAAAAGAATTTCTAAGTAATTAAATGTTACTCAATCGCTCTTCAAATGATATTCAGAGACATATTAGCTGATTTACGATCACACTAATGTAGCTTATCTGTTAGTACAAGACTGCTGATTCTCTCACAAAAAGAAAATCATGAAACTCTAAATACATTCTAATATAATAAATCATAGTGAATGGATAACTATTGGTATGAGAACAAATCAATAATTAATTCTTTTTTTTAGAAACATACCGAAATTCGCAAAAGATACTTTCTCATACTTATTTGTTCGGTGACTATATATATAGCTATGTATATATATTAGATTCAATAGTCTTGTCTTACTTTAAACAAAAGACGTGTAAAATCCTAAGGAACAATTGCTACTCATTCCAGTGATGGCACATTCTCCTCTTTCACTCAAATGCTTGACTAGAGCATCTAGTTTATAAGTTCTTTTAATTAGTTTTACTTATATAGCCTTAACTGCGCAATTCAACTTTTCTTTTTATCTTCGGCTTATAATCATTATAAAATATGAGTTATATTGATGAAACGGATGTTTTATAGAAAATTACAGCCTAGGGAAATTATTTAACATAGCCTATATTGTATTCGATTTGCGCACGAATACACACATAGAGATCAATAAGAATAGTGTTCAATGAAAACAACTATACTCATGAATAAGAATTTGTAGCGCTCAACTATTATAAATCGATGAAACTGGTTCACTCGAATTTCTTAGTTTATACTATGATTCATGCGAGATACTAGTTTCCTACTTGTTTTGTTTACACAAAGAAACGCAAAAAATTGCCGTTGCACCTACGCATTTTCTTGAGTCATATATGTGAAGCGCATGAATGGATTCTTCTGAAACTTTTATCAGTAATTAAGGAAGTGCTATAAATTTTAATCAGAGCGGACTCCTCAAAAAGTGTCGTTCAGTAGAGCGAGAGATATCACGATTCGAGTATCTACCGCTTTTCTAGAATATCAAACAGTCATATTACACTACCACTACTAGGGCAATCGTAGCGCTATGCCCATAGTATCTAACGAAATACAAATGAGGTCCAACGACACGTCATTGTAAAAACAAACGGAGGATCACGGTGTGTAGAATTGCTAGAAAAAATGGCGATCGAACCAAATTTTCTAACTATCTCGACAATGACTTGTCTGACCGACTTGAAATTTCGATAGTAGACAGACATCGGCTAGTCGATAAAATTTTGTCCCACGTAAACAAATTCTGAAAATACATCTTCAGCATCAAATAGAGGTCAAAATTTGAGAAGGTTGTGTTGCATTTCTTTCCCGCTTTAAAAATCGAGAAGACATCGTATCGAGCTGAAACTCCGGCTACTGGATCTTGATCCGAAAGGAAGTTCATAGCTTCTCCCACTCTTCTCCAAACACACGTTTTAGGCTAGCACATAATCCATGTATATAGGCAAAGCGATATTAAGCTATTTGAGTGTATCGATGAAGCTAGTGTTTACTGCTTTTTTTGGCTGAAGGAAAAAAAGCTAACTATCGATTACTATATTTGTGTGCTCTTGTGTATGTATAATCTATTTATAAAAAAAATACTTTTGATATTCATCATGTCCAGTAGAGTAGCTTTATCAAATACTAACGGCAATTATTTTTGCACACCACTGTATATCAACGTTTTCTGTATATAATGGTTCATACCAAGTCGGTTACGATATATCTTGCATTTATTCGGTGTCTATCAAATAAGCTCACTCTGAGACTGCACTTGTTGACTTCTTTTTTTATATTTCTATTATGTTCATCATTTATTCAAAAAACTTCTTAGGTTTTCTTTATCATATGTCATTTTAGCATGGCAGCTGAGATTACATTCAGTTGCGTGTTATTAGAATGAATAATGACCTTTTTTCCGGTAGAGTAAAGAGAAAATGCTCGATGTATAATGGAATTATGTATCATGTGACATGATACATAGCAGTAGTGTCTTTTTTTCTGTCCGACTATAGTGTAGTAAAAACTAATTCGAAACCATAGGGTATTTTTGATCTTTTACAAATAAATTTCAGAAATAAAAAATAACCCAGATTATTAAGAAAAATAATCATGTACGAAAAATTATCTTTAACATGGATTGAGAACCTCTCCTCCTTCGAAAGATTAAAAAAAATTTTCAATAACATCCGTTATTCTCCAGTAGTAAAAAAACATAGAATATTTACCCATCAAGATGAGATGCTTCAGCTGTCGTTCTAAATATAATTTTTAAAAAGTTATATTTTTAATATTGAATTGAATTCTATATATTTACATGAAAAACTGTGATCCATTTGTGTTTGGACCTCGATTTGCCATTGATAGAAGATAAGGTCGATCATGTTTCAATTTAAAACTTTCATCTTAAAAATTACGAAAAAAAGAATATTATTCTTGTAAAACTAAAATCTATGAGCATACCATCAAATGAACCTCCATATATCGATTCACCGCCGGTGCCGTTGCCTGGAATTGAAAGACCACATAGACAGAAAAATTCGATTATTTTATATCACAGATCATCTTATTTATTTATCAACACTCGACTAAAAGATATAAAACATAAAGCAAGTGATGGCCTCATATTTATCTTTTGCCTGCCATCACTCGTCATTTGTGTATATAACACAGAAAAGATGAACCGAAAGTTTTCTTCAAAGTTAATCTTGCTGATCAATGAAATAAAATATGTATACATAGTATTGGATTTAAAAACAAAAAAAGGCAAAATCCTCATAATTAAGATAATAATCGAACATACCTTCACTAAAATCGCCTGATTGGATCATCGAATTCTTCACAATACGATGAAACAAGCATCCTTTATAATACAACTTTTTACACAGTGTGGAGCTACGACCTTTTTCTCCTAGAGAAAAAAAAACGAAACTTCATTTATTTAACACAATCAATCAAAACAATTTCCGATTACCTGTACATAAACATCGAAAATTTTCACATGTACGTGGACATATATCATTGTATAACTCGAACGTCATTCGACCAACTACAGTAAAATAGATACCCATGTATAGAAAAGTAAAGGAAGATAATAGAATAAATCTAACCTTCGGTACCATCAATTTTTATGTCGAAAAAACATTTTGTTCTCGACGTCATATCTAGTATATAAGAAATAGGAACTGTATTTCCGGTATAATTTTTTCTCTCTACACAAATCGTAAATATGTTAGAATAGAACAAAACAAAAGAAGAAAAACAAACAACAACGAGTTCTTTCCCATGTGTCAATATTATTGGCTGAAAATTTTAACCAATTATAAGAACCGTTAATTCAAGTCAAGTTTCTATTGCAATTTAAAAAGAGAATTTTTTTCTTACACTAAAAAAGTGACTTAGTTTTTAAATATAAATAAGTTAGAATAGTTTTGTTGCTTAATCGATTGTAGCGACATTGTTCAAACAATAGAGCGCGATTGTGAATCCTTTGTATATGTATGCAGAAATACGTATAAATATATTCTTATCTGTAGTTATTCCGAATACAACGATGGGTGCAACAAGTTCAAATACAAAACATTATTCAAATCAATTCAATTCAAATATTTATAGTACACCACCGAAACTAAACAACAAGAGAACTCATAATCGTGTTGTTCAACTACAATGCGATCCGCGTTCACCCACCGGTAAATAGAATACGAACATTCTGGAAAATTTGAATAGCATATCTGTTTATTTTTAGATGGTATTAGTCGAACTCCAATTCAAATTGATAGTCAATTACCGGCTCCATCAGTAAAACTATGTAATCATGTTTTACCTCACATTATTGGTCCAAGCGTAGTTATATCCGAGGTGAACAATAATGATAATCAAGAAAATGAAATACGTCATCGGTCACAAAAACTTGACATTACTAGAAATAATATTAAACGTATAAGTGATATTGAACCAACATTAGATCCAAGTGATGTATTAGCTGCTTTGATGGCAAATAATAATTGTCAATTGCCACCATATCAGTTATGATTTTCTTATTCTTTGTGAATATTACAGTTAATGTTACATGTGTTTATTTATATGTAATCGATCTTTCTTTTTTTTCTTTCGGATTATTTGAATTATTTATTTGTATGTCTTTTTTTCTATATATTAGTATGTTTTCTTCCTATATTCTCCTATTAATAATAAAATAACTATTATCAAAGTAAAATAGGATCAAAGATGTCCTTGGTTGTTGAAAATAATTTAATCATTCAAACATTGACATAGTCAAGTTTATGATATTTAAAAATAAGATGAAGCAAAAATCTTGATCATTGCATTATTTTATATCAAAGCACTATTGACCAGTATACTGAGCTAAATCAAAAAAAATAGACTCCACTTGGATTGATATTTAGAAAATGATGAAAAAAAAACAATATTTTTTTTATAGACTATCGTTCAAATGAAGTACTGTTCGCATAAGAGCTGGTATACTTATTACCAAGATGAAATCTTCGCTTACGTTCTTCTCTAACAATTGATCTAACTGCATCAAAAATGCATGTTGATATACGTGTAAATTAGAAGTTTGTTGTTATAAATGTCTAGTGCGATCTGCATCTTAAATAGAACTGCAAAATATTTCATATGGGCCTGCAATAACGAATGCAGCTAATTTTGAAACATTTGATGCGAATATTATTTGTTCAATCGATCAATACTTATCAAAGGATAAATCATTCACACCATTTCTTGTTTCAATATCCATAGAGTGGGAATTGACTACCACCATAAATCTATATTGACAAAATCAAATTCAAGAGCTCACGAAAAAGGAAAGGTCTTATAATAATGAATTACTTTTGAGCTCGGACTCTATCTTCTTTATAGAGATCTCAATTAACTTTAAACATATTCTTAAGACTTCCTGTCCTTAACTTTTCACTGTGAACTTGTTGCAGTTTTTTACCACAATATCATGGCTTGTTCATCAGAAAAACTTTGCAAACCCACACCCGCTGCCCAACATTCCTATTGGAATGTACAGCTCTAAACCGATGGAAAACTTTCTCGGCACAATAACAATATGAATAAATAAATTTTTCCCGAGATATTCATAGCTCATTATGATTGCGATAAAATAAATTGTCTTGATTCAAAAACGACTTATCATTTCAAGAACTTTACTGATAAGACATTCTGAAAAATCAATTATAGTTCTCTCCTTAGCACTGACAAAATTAAGAATCGAACTGGTTCTATAAATTCAGTAGAGCATACAATTATTTTACTGAAACCCACATTGACGACACAACATTACCATTGAATGCAACAATTCATTAGGGTTTATAAATTTTTTCGCTGCATGAAATCAATTCCTTTTATCTTCATGATCTGTTTGTGTTGTCACGCATGTACGAATAGCCCATGTATGTAAGTGCAATAGGTATATTTGATTCTGTACTAACAGTAACTGATGAAAATAAATGAATTGGTTTTTTCTATCACTAATGCATGCTGAAGTAAATTAGATACATAAACCGACAAACTAAATAGTATAATCATTCTGTGTTACGTGAAAATAATAGTCTCGTTCACATGGTCGTTTCTAAATCTTTACAAAATGCTGAAAGGCTTTTGCATTGAACTAATCTATACATTGTAACCTATAGTGATATATCCAGTATACCTCTGAGTTAAATACGTGTTGTTTTGACAATATCAAGTGAACTAACAAGGATATTAACGTGTGTCCATTTTATATTTCTGCAACAGGGATTTTGTGTTTATTTATTTTTAGTCATGTTTAAAGACTTGAAGTCAACATTTAATGAGATATATATAAAAAAAAAGAAAAGAAGACAGAAACTGTAACCATAAGAACAACAGCAGTCGATAGATGATTGGTTCGTCAATTTGCTTGTTTGAAATGAGAAAACAATAAGAATAAATTTTGATTTAGTGATCTGAAAGAATTTCTCGACGAATTGATTTAACAAATTGTGATGGACACCAATAGATCCAAATGATTGAATTTTCTCTTTAGAAAATAAAAATTATTCAAAACGTTTTTTCAATAATTAGTAAACAGAAAATCAACTTACGTAGTACCCGTTTGAAATCCAACAATTGAATAACCATCATGACCTTCAATTGGTTCATCAACAACATTACGTATATGTGTCATTGGGATTTTTTTTGTTGTTTCCGCTAATGAGGAAAAAAAAGCAAAACATTAAAAAAATTGTTCGCAAGCACATATCTTCTATTCTTACCCGTATTAATCCATAATTCATCAAGTTCAAGTTTAAATGTTAATCGTGCTTTTTTAGCTGACTGATTTAACATTGACATAAGTAAACCATCAATAGACTGAGGCAATGGATCATTTTTATTACGAATACCTATTTGAGCATTATCGGGTTTACCTTAAAGAAAGAATCATATCTATAGCTTTTATCTATTATCGATTTTATTTATTTCCTAACCTGCTTTTAATACTTTTTCATGTTTTGTCTGTTTACATAATGGTTCTTTTTTATGTGTTGATACTTGATCATCTGTTGATTCTTTATGATCAGTAGAGTTAACAGCGCCACGAGTAGTTGATAAAATGTCAGATCTCGTTGCACCAACTAATAATAAGGTTTGCCCATCAGTTATATTCAAATCTTTTAATGTTGTTGTCGCATCGTCATGTTTAACACTTGTGATTGATTTATTAACTAATTTCTGTACTTGTGGATCGACATCAGTTAATTTATCGATTTTTTCTTTGAGATCTTTCAATGTGTCATATAAATCACATTCAATAGGAAATGTTTGAGTTTTATAACGAATATTGAGTATTATCGGCACTTTGGATGTACAATGTTTTAATATTTGTTGATCACCAGCTTCATCAGAAATCAGATTTTCAGAATTACTTTCTATTGATATATCATTATCCATGTTGAATATTTTTAAAAGTAAAATTAGTAAGAACTAACAAAGAATTTTAAAGATATACTATTATCTAGAAGAAGAAGAAATAAAAGTGCAGAGAATTCCGCTAATAGGAATAGTTCTACAAACATAGATACATTCTCTATGGTTGACGTGATAGTATGTATACTCTATATGTATCGATGAAAAAGTGCAAGCGTATTATACGTTATCATCACTGTTTGATATTCTTTATTGGAAATGAGCCTGCGTAACATAGTATAATTTTCGTTCAAAATGATTAGACCAATAAGTTTTTTATGTGAATAGTGAGAGTACTTTTATACAACTGCGATGGCTGACCGACCAACCAATCGAATTTTTGGTTAGTTTCGTTGTAAGCGCGATCGAGGGAGTGTCGTTTCGATTGTTGTAGACATAGAAAAATAAATAAAATCCTTGCTATTAGTAATAAGTAGTGTTTCAATTTTTTTTAAAATTCTGTCCTATTTCAGAGGATGAAATGCTTGCTCAGATATTACATGATCTATATGTCCCACGAGAATTACTTGATGGTTTACCCGAAGATCAAAAACAATTACTTTTCTGTAAGATGCGTGAAGAACAAGTTCGAAGATATTATGCACGAGACGAAGAACAAGACCCAGCGAGTGCACGAAAAATAAGACCAAGTAGAAAATTGTCTGCTGTAATTAATTCATGATCGAAAATTTTCTTTGTTTTAGTAAATACAAAGAAGAAAACGAAGCAGGTTACATTTCAAATTGATGCTGATGGAAACGAATGTTGTTGGGTTATGGAAGAATCAGAAATATCTACGAAAAATATGGATGAACAACTAAATTCAAGGTAGATCTATTTATATCTTACTTTAGTAATCAGTTCAATTTTTTTATCTTGTTTCCATAGAATTCATTCTGGAAGTATTGCAATCGATCATCAAAATCAATTAAGGTTAGTTCTTTCTGTGAATTAGAATATTTCATTTGAATTTCTATAACCAATATATTTCAATTTTGTAGAGCTTTTGCTGGTGTTAATTATCCAGTTCCACCTAAATCTGGAACTTACTATACAGTACATCGAGATGAGTAAGTAGTACAATAGATTAACATTTGATTGTTATTGTTTAAAAGAAGAATAGAATAGTAAAAAGTCTTAGTTTATTTTATCCCCTATGCTAGATTCGACGTCTTTCTAGACAAAATAAAACGAACAACAGTTTATTTTATGTAAGTTTATTCTATTGAAATTCAATATGAGCTATCAGCTTTACTCTTACTTTTTGTTCGAATGCTACAACATAAAGACAAACAAAATAATATTATTTTCTATGTATTATAATTTAATAAATCTTTTCTTTCTGTTTTCATAGACGAAAACAAATTGAAGAAATATCAAATAATATACAAGAAGCACGTCGCATGTTTGAATGTTTAGAATCAGAAACACGACAACTTGTTTTGGTATAGTTTTATTATTGTCTAAGACCAACAAAAAATTTTAATCAGTTTCTTTTGTTTTGATTTTTTTCAGAATAAGGAAATTGAAGTTTTACAACAACAACAGCAACAACAACAACAGAAGTCGTATTATGCTATAGAAACTCCTCAAAATGAGACAGTTGATGAAATATTTTATCGTGAACTTGCAGCACGTGCAAAAAAAGCTGATCAAGAAAGACGCGAAATAGCTAGACGTGCACGAGATAGTTTTCGCCGAAATTCATCACAATTAAACGTGTGTTTCGACACAGATAATCATACGACAATACTTTTTCAACCGTCACCATTAAATTCATCAAATAAAGCTAATCAAGCAACTAAAAATGAAAATAAAATTCATATTCAATTGACTGATAAACACACGTCAGCTAATGAGTCAAAACAACAATCACCAATTGAACAAGAACAATGCTCAGAAGCTATAATCGAACGCCATCGATCGTAAGAACAAAAAAATCTAAATTCTCAATTTTAACATAGAATTAGAACTTGATAGTTGATACGCAATTCAGCATGTGTCATCTAACAGAAGAAGAACAGACAAGATTAGTCATTAGTTGACTACTGTAACGTCCAATAAAATGAATTAATCTGTTTGAATTGCCTAGAAAAATAATAAGTTAGAAAATCTTTTGAGGCTGGCATTTGAGTTCTGACCTTTTTTTGCTGTTATTCTACGTTGTCGAAATACTTTCTTTAAAAAAATGTTAAAGTTTCCTTGAAAAAATGCCATTATTGTTGGAGATAAATTTCATGTTGTATAACTTATAGAGACTCTTTATTTTAGTCTATTATTCAGTCGTAACTTGGCAATATCTTGTTTTTTTTTTGTTTAATCTAGTAAACCTATATTACCATTAACACGTGAAGATATTCGTCAATGGTTTTGTACAAGTGAAATTCCCTATGCTACATTTCGTTCTTCACGTGGAGAAATCTATCCGTGGTTTCATGGTAAATATTGTTTTATTCCGTATTGTTTTAATGCTTTCTTCTTCTAGGAATTATAAGTCGATGTTATGCCGAAGACCTACTACGCGCAAAACCAATTGGAACCTATTTAATACGTATAAATGAAAAAATTTTCGGTTATGCATTATCTTATCGTGCATCGGATCATTGCCGACATTTACTTATTGAAGTTGTTTCATCAGCTAAACAGCATACCTATAGATTTTTAGGTGGTGCTAAACAGGAATTATTTTTACAATTGAATGAGCTTATTGAAAAATATAGTGTATGTTTAAGAATATTTGAATGGACGAAAAGAAAAAAAAAAGTTTACTTTATAAATTTAGAATACTCCAATACGTTCGAATTCTAAGGATGTTCTTCGTTATCCTTGTGGTCAAACAAATCCTAAAAAACCTGATTATGCTGATTTATTTATTGAAAATTTTGATGATAAACAATACGAATCTTTGTACATATCACTTGAAACAACGACATCGTCACCTCATTCCACGACACATCTATAGCAATATATGTAAAATCTAAGTCTATTTTCAAAGTTTATAGTTCCATTCTCTTTTTTTCCTTTACATCTATTTTTGTTTTCATTATTGTGCAATATCCATTTATGTTTCTTATCTAAGTTCTAGGTGGTGCTTTCTGTACAAACAAATATGTGTATATACATTCCATCGATTTAATTCTTTGCATTTATTGTTATTGTTGAGAATTTAGTGCAATTTATTTCTCTCTGTCTGTCTCTCACTCTCAACTTTCTTTTGTCTTGCCGTCGCAATGTTATCAAACACGTGAAAATATCATCGAGTTTCAAAAGAAATGATCTAATATTCTTTTCTGTTTTATTTCTTTTCAGGTCGTTATACAACTGTAGAACAGTAGTTTTCTTTTGCTTATTGCTAATCTTTGAATGTTATTTAAATATAAAGGAAAAAAAGAAGCAAATACTTTTTATCAGTGTTGTGATGAAAAACTTGTATCTTTACGATACAACATTCTAGCTAGATTAATATAATAAAATCACATGACGAGTAAACTTCCGATTCTCTATTCTGTTTTCTCGCAGACTTTTGTCGAACTCGATTGTTTTTTGTGTCTCATCATGAAATTTCTTCTAACTGAAGATCGGCGAATTTTGTAAAATAATAATTATTTTATTAGAAATGACCAAATAATCAAGGACAAATTTGAAATATTGTTGTAGATAATGCCGATTTAGTTCACAACATATATTTCTTGTTTTCGATAAGTGAATGAGATTTACTCGATAAATATTACAACCGATCAGACAATTCTATCTGCTTCAAACTAACTAATAGTTTTATCATAAAATCTCCAATTTACATTGTCACTGTCGGTAACCTAACAGCAATCGATAATCATTTTTTTGTAAAAATATCTTGGACATTCTATCTCCATCATTAACATTCATTGGAGTTCAATTCACTAATACTTGCATTGAAGGTGTGTGTGTGTGTTGAAATCTACTCTTCACCTACACGCGTATATAAATTCACATTCTGTAGACACAGTCTTACATAAGGAACAGATTTTTCATTTGAATCCAGTCAAAAATAATCGAGGGTTTACATGCGTACAAATATTAGAAAACGTACTTTGCATCATATCATTTAAGTTGAAGAATGAACTGAATAAATTAGTTTACTGAAAATCAAAAACATGCATATCAACGTAGGATTACTTCGGAAAAGTTGTTTTAGTGACTTTCATCATAGTTAGCGGCAAAAGCACTTTTGAATAACTAATAATATGCTCTGTCACTTCAAATTCATAATCGTAGGCAAGGAGTGTTGACGCAGACGAAGGCCCTATCTTCAGCTATCATCTGAAAATGAACAGAGAGAGCGGCAAAATTCTCATAGCTACTACACTGCTTGATACAAGATTTCATTTCATTCACTTTTTGAAATTAATATTTGTTTCGAAAACATATCTAACTGTTAATTTATTAGCTATCACGAACAAGCAGACAATTATCTGTAAACATATTTTGAGACTTCTAAAACATAATTGTTTTGTTAAATCTTAATAATGTTAGAACATTATTTATTAACCAAATATCTGGCAGTTTATATATACCATTAAACATATTTTACAAAAAAAGTTCACTCATCAATTTATCTCTACAACGCACGAATCATGTAAGACATATATATATATTTAACAAGAAAGAAAATGAACATTACTCAATCAAAAATAAACAGATTGTGCGCGCATGAAGAGTTAAGAAATGTTTTTCTTTTGATTTGAATAGTTAAATAGGAGAAAAATATTTGCTAGGATTTCCATTATTATTTTTATGTGACATCATGCGTTCGAATGGTAAACGTCGTTGAATCGTCGATGCATATGTTGTTGTTGTTTTTCGAGGTTCCGAACTTACCATTCGTTGTCGATGAGTACTATTCAAAGTTGGAACTGTTGGAGTTTTAGGCGAATAGGGTGGCAACATTGCATTATTCGACAATGTTTTACAATTTGAACCTGCATTTTCTTTACAATTAACGTGACTTGATTGAGAACAATATGAACAACGATATGATACCGAACCAAAATTGATACGTTTAAGACACTAATAAAGAGAAAGACGATGTATAATAATAAAAAAGATTCAATAAATTTACCACAAAACAAGTTTCTGGTTTGAAAACTTTTCTTGATATAAAACGATGTGCTAAAGTTGATAGTTTCGTTGAAGACATTGGTAAAGTTTGTTCGATTGATGATGATGAGGCTGTTTTTGAACTGTTAATGGTTGATGACGATAATGTATTATCGCTACCTAGAAAGAAAAAACACGGCCTTATTGTTTATTTTTTTTTCCAAATGCAATCTTACTAATTGTTAAACAACTTCGCTGTTCATTACATGAATTATCCAACATTTTAATATCCGTTGAAACAGTAAATGGTCGAGTCATATTATCTGATGTATAACATTCAAATGTTGTTTGAGCAATAATACGTTGTGAGGAAGGATTATTCTATTTTGATGATATAGATAGAAATGAATAAGAAAACACAATGATCTTTTTACTATTTGATGTGAATCTTCATAGCGAAGACGTTTGGGTGGTGACATCATTTTTTCTAAACTATTGTCATCATGATTTAACAGACGTTTTTTAGTTGATGATTGAGGTAGAACAACACGAGGATGCATTATAATACTTTCATTTTGATCCTCATCAATTGTACAATTACGACTATCAAGTTCATCTTCATCGTCATCTTCCGAAGACATTTCATCTCTATAATAAAATTTGCTTTCTTATTTATAAAAGAAACCATCTTAAATGATAACAAACCTTATTCTATCTTCACATATTTTTTTAATATAATGCAATTGATCTATAGGTGACGTGTGATGACCGCGATAATTTATTATATCATAGATTTGTTGAAGACTTTTATGCTAAAATTTAAATATGGAACAATTAGCATTTATAATTTTCATGTTTTGTTAAAAGAATTCAAATATAGGTCAACATAGAAGTATAGTTTGACTTGTATGTACTTTTTTGAACGATCACATGTTTCTCATAGTTTACTAATCTTTCAATTTGTCATTCCTGAGATCTCTCTCCGTACTAACATACTAATGCTTACCGTGCAAATCAGTACGGAAAAAACGAACAATTGATCCATGCGAAATTTCATAGATTAATTTTAACTTACCAATCTAGCTGCTCTATTTGCAGCAGTCAGACGACGTTGTCGCTGATCTTGAATTTGTTGACTAAACAACAGCAGAATGTTTTTTTTCTACGTTAGTTTCACAAAAAAAACACTTTACCTCTGTGATTTTGTTTTTAATGTAGCGCTTTTCAATTGTGTTTCTAGTTGTTTTACAATTTGTCTTTGTTCATCATATCGTTTTAATAAAGCAAATAAATCTAAATGATTTATTGAGGTTTTTTTTAGCAGAAAATGAAAAGACGTCAGTACAGACCATCTTCGTTTGTATTGTCAATAAGCAATCTTTGATTATAGGCTAATACGCCAAGTGCATGTGTAGTCTGTTGAAGTTTAATTTTAAATATATCACACATCTAGAACGGAAAAAATAGATCACTCACTAGATTTTCTTAAAATAATAAAATAAATACGGAAAACAACAATTGAATCAAATTTTATGAGAAAATGATAAATTTTTGAATATCAAGAATGAGGTGAAGTTATATGCATTTTTCTCGACTTTGTCCGAATGACATAGGATTGCTAAAAAACTAGTACGATGAAATATTATTCAGAGAGTTAGCCTTACAATTACTCGAAACTGCCCATAGTTATCCATGTCAACAAATGCCTCTTTCAAAGTTCAGATAGTTTCGTTCTGGTTTTAAGTATGAGTAGTTATAGTTATTATTGACTGTAAGAACTAATTGTTAACCAAATTTTCCATTCAAAATCTAAGAGATTCTATGTTCATAAGTGAAAACGCCCATAAAAGATTTATTGAGTCATCATCCCTGATCAAGTAGCAATAGTCTGAGGCGATTGAACATTTGGAAATGTCGTTTCATAAGTCAAGCATCTCTCAAATTATGATTAAAATAAAGAGTAAACAGTAGTGTGCATCAACGGCATTTATTTTGCTCTCCTACTTGAATATCAACGATTTCGAGAGCAAATAACTCACGGATACTAAATAAAAAAATTCAATTAAAATTACATAAGAACGATTATCTTCTCTAGTTTATTCTTCGTTCTCGTTCTTATCTATATGATGATTTCGGCATATACTATTGAATAAATTTTCTAAAATAATGAAAACTAACCATGTGTTGGTTTAAGTACAGTGAATCTGGATTAGAACTGACAATCATATCGGGCAAATATATGTTTTGCATCTTTATTAATTTAAAAATAAAATAAAATATATTAAAGTTAAACAAAATAAAATAAAATAATTTACTTAGAATTTCTTGTACTGTAACTAAATAATACTAATCTAATCAGCTTCTACTAATTGTGATTCAAAAGCAACTGGAATAGATTCTATTGATGTTGATAGTTTAAGATGATCATTTTCAATAGTACTTCATGTTAGTTCCACAGACAAAGTAGCAGAACTTTTGAGAAAATACTTAAGATCTAAATTAACCACGATGTGCGAAGTATGAACAGACAAAGAAATGAATGACTTGTCTGCTTTGTTGGTTCAGAATACGAAGCTAATTGGAATCAGTGAATCATAGATGTCGTTATGATTTGTTAAATTTGATAAAAATGTTCATTTAGACTTGCACAAATGATATCGGACATAATTGATAATTAGTCTCAATACAAGACATGAACATAATTTCGATTGAAAGGATAGATGAGATGTGGAATACAATTCAATCAAATAGTTTGTTCTAGTTTGATTTGCTCATAGTCTAATATTTGTGTGGACTGTGAAATCTACCTATTTTAGACAACTAAATGCATGATTACAGCACTTGTTTATCGACAAATTACAACTACTTTGAGATTAATACTCGATTAATCTAACGTGACCATGACCATTTGAAATCCTTTCCAAAAACAATGGATTTTATGTTATCTAATACAATATTGCTCACGGTTTGTTTTGAAGACAATAGCGTGTGCTATTATAATTATTATAGAAAGCTTTTTCAATTATGCATTGTCATGAAATCTTTCCAATTAATTAAAACAATAGAGCGTTCATAATTCACTGCAAAGTAGGGATATGTTCATTTACTGATCATGAAGAATAACAACACACTATACATCTAAATTCTTAGATCTACGCGATCATCAATTATTTACAATTAGATGATCAACCATCGTTTACTAATTTGTTTAGGTATAGCTGGATCATCCAAAATCTTCGTATGTAAAACTTTCATTTCAATAATAAATTCTACAAACAAATTTGAAATGAAGCACATGCTTCTTGTGACAAGGTCAAACGCTATTATCTCCTTCTTTGTGTATTGAAGTAACTACACAGACAATCAAACTGTCTTTTTATAATCCAATTGAAAGATTCTTAGCTAAATTAATTTCACAACTTTTTTCACACAATAAAATACTTCATTACTTTTTTTGTATTATATAAAAAATTTTATGTTTCATACGAGCGAAGAGCTGAGAAAAACGGAATAATCGTTAAAGAATAGAAATATTACCAGAGACTCATGCCATTCATTCGTGCTATGATGAATAACGCACCAACGAGCACTTATTTTTATATTCATTTTTATCGTCTTACAATAAACCAGATATTGGCTAGAAACTAGTATTTTCTATACAACAAAGCATGCCATGAAATAAGTCTTGTAGAACATTAATAATCGATTATTAGGTCGATAGAAACCTATCACCAGTTTGTAAAGGTTTCTATTTTTATCATAAAAAATTAATAGTTTTAATATGAAAACCGGCTATAGAAAGTTTTCCATTATTAAAAACAAACTATACAACAAACTATAGCACGATATTCTCTTGTGTGAACATAACAAAATATAATGACTATAAGTAGATGAAAGATCGATAGTAAAAGCTATTTCATTTGTAGACAATAGTTTCTCTTTGACGTCTTGTTTTTCTTTTCTAAAATAGATTATATGAAGACCAATAGACGATAGCATTAACTTTCAACAGACTAACTTTCTTTTTGGTAAGGTTCTATTTTACATCCATACGTCAAAAACGTTATCGATATAAATGGATCAATAGGTTTCAGGACGAAAACCTTATCTCACAAAATAAATCTATTTTTATTATTATTTATGAACTAGTGCATGGTTGTAAAATAAAAGAAGAACAACAACAACAACAAAAAGAGCAAGAGAAGAGAAATATGGAAAGAAAAAAACTTCTTTTGACAGGCTCGGGAAATGGAATAGAAACAACACACATAACAAGAACACAGAAAAGGAAATAGGTTCCGATGGAAAGCAGTCTCACTTTTAACTCATAGCGAATGAACGATGATTGAGTATACACAAGTGATCGACAAGATTTCTACCTGGTCATTGTGGAAGCTCTTATTTGTATTCCTATTAGAATTTAAAATGGTTACAACTACTAAATATCCGCGTACTTCGAATAATACAAAACCTCATCCATGTTTTACTTGTATAGAACCGCTTGTTGGTTACAGTAAGTTTTACAATATAACACATAGTTCGAATAGAATTTTTTCGTCTTAATAGTAAATATCTAATAGTTGTATTTTTCTCATATGTTTGTTTTGTCTAGCTGATCATCCAGGTTCATGCAAATATATTAATGAAAGTTCACCGTCGTCGTTGGAGTATGTAGCCGATTGTAATACTAGTGATAGAAATAATATTAGCGAATATGAATGTCGAAAAGTAGTGGTTAGTTATCGTTCCGTGGAAACATTTTTACGTCGTGATTGTGCACCGAAAGGTCTATGTTCATGGAAAGATAAAACTGGATCAATGATCAATACACCCGTTTCGGATTGTGTTTATACCGATGAAATTAGCGAAAAACTTGAATGTATTTATTGTTGTGATACGCCATTATGTAATCGAACACATTCACATCATGTGACAAATCGAGTTTTTATTATTTATTTAATGGTGATTGTTTATAGACATTGGATGTTTTTGTAGAGTCATAATAAAAAAAGATGGAAATATTACAATAGGTCTTTATTACTTTTCTTGTCTTTCGGAAAGATAATTTGGAAGTAAGTAAAAACTGCGTCATGCTTGAAATAGCTTGGATTCTTTTCTATGGAGTCGCTGAAAGGATTTTTATTTTAACTAAGGCTCATTTCGAAGAACGAGTCATTCCTTTCTGGAAAATAGGTGTCAACGTTACATCTCATTCTAAAGAGGCAAGGTTATTTGCATAATGCTATTATAGCTATTAATAAACTATGTTAATATTGACATTTATTATCACAGTCACAGTAAGAACATATTAGATTATATAGTTAGATAGAACTTGATGGACTGTGCCTTAAAATAGCTGTAAAATGGGGAAAAAATCTTAAAGGTAACAAAAATTTCTACGACTTATTCTGAATTAAAAATCAGCATAATTTACGGACACATTTTATTGAGGAAAAATTAATAGTTTGAAGCAAGTGCTATTGAAGTGTTGCGACTCGATAGCCTCTGAATGTTGTGAATAGAGATGACCTGTCATGTTTAACATGCGATATCTAGCATAAAAAGTAAGAGCATCATTCAATTAATGAGACCATCTTTTGTAAATCACTATGAAGTATATTTTCAAAGTAACAATGATCAATTCTGATCGAATCCTTCGAAAAAATGTTTTTTTTCACGAAATCACATAGGCTTTCATCTACTGTATCTGTCATGCGTTTGTGTAATCTGTATCTTCAGAACAATACAATTACCGTACGTTTATTTTAGTCTTTTTGTTCGAGAGGTTTTCACAAGATATGATATATTTCTTCCGATTTGTAAAGATTTTCATGATAGAATCCTATACTAAATTTTCTGTAGGAAGATTCGCTTAAATAACCAGTGTTCCTAATTTCTGCCTCAACAGGTTTATCGTATTCGTAAACGATCATATATGATGAATTGATATCGTCTTATAATATTTAAAAAAAAGTTGACATTCAGATATAACTGAACGCGGTAAATTATGACATGCCATGATAAGAGCATGTTTTGAACCATATCATAATTTGTGGAGAACTTTGTAGTAGACATAAATACAGTTTACCTGATGTTTATGAAAAATGTTATATTAGATTAACTGTTTCTTAAACCATAATCAATCATTAGATGAAAGAAAGAAATTATCAAGAAATCCTTCAAAATAGCTAATTAACACAAGGAATACAAGTGTTTTACAAAAATGTAATGTCCTCAACGACCTGCCTTGGTGTTTAACTCTTTGAAACGTTAGATAGAAGCTTGATTAGGGGTGGCACTTTAACTTTAAAACACTTTAAAAAAGTGTTAAAGTGTGAAGTAAAAATATTTTAACACTTTAAACGTTAATTAAGGTACTTTCACTTTAATTTTAAAGTTTAAATTTGCATTTAAACCAACAGAGAACTGATCAGGTGGTGCTAAAAATTATTTGTCACTTTAACTTTGGTTTTTTAAAGCTAAAGTCTTCAAGTGTTTTACTTTAACTTTAACTGATAAACAAAAGTTAAAGTGCCATCCCTAAGCTTGATATTTTTATTCTATATTCAAAGGAGTATTCTCGAAGTTTAAAATGAAAAGTGAAAATTTCGGGTGAAGAAAGAGCGGTCCCTTGATGATATGTCTCACAGTTTGTGATTAGGACGTGAGTCAAATTTAGGACACTTGCTATTTGTCCTATTTCAGTATATATCATGGCACATTAAAATTAAAATCTTTTTATCTCGAAATACTCATTGCCAGTATATTCTAGTTCGCCAATCGTTAGAGTCCTTCGGAATATAACCGAACTTTCAAGAAAAAAATATGTTGGAGACACGGCTCTCAATAACCCGAGTAAACTTACCTTTAAAAAATTGTAGAATTAATTTGTACTTTTTAGTGCTGAACATTCATCATCCTATTAAACGTGGTATTATTGAAAATTTTGATGAAATGGAAGAAATTTCGGAATTTATTTTGTACAATCAATTGAAAATTGAACAAAAGAAGTATCCCGTTATTGTATGTGAACCTCCGAAAAACCCAAAAATAACAAGGGAGAAAATGGTTGAAGTTTTCTTCGAAAAATTCGATGTACCATATAAGATTGACTGAAAAAATGAATTAGAATGAAAACAATTTTCATTCGTTTAGGTATATGTTTACGCAACCAAGCAGCATTAGTTTTGGAAACTAAGAATGTTGATACTGGTATTGTATTGATCTGTTGACATGAAGCTACCTATACGGTACCAGTCGCTAGCGGTTAATAGATTTCATTCACTTTTATACTCATTCAATCTTTATGCATTCATAGGATGTGCGATGACTCATGCAATTTGACATCTAGATTTTGCTGGTAAAGATTTAACTGATCATTTTATTAAATTGCTCAATAAACATGGTTATTCATTTGAATCTACAACTGAACGTGAAAATGCTCGTGTAATAAAAGAACTTTCATGTTCGATTGGGTTGGAAATTAATAAAACAGACGCTCTTCAATCAGAATTGTCTCGTGAAAAATATAATTTTCCTAATTTTACATCGTATTCGATAGGCGACGAAGCAGACAAATGTTCTGAGATCTTATTTGATCCGGAAGATATCGGACGAAATCGAGGTGAGTATAAAACCTTTTTCTACTCTGATTTTCTATTTAAATGATATAGGTATTCATCAAATATTGACCGATTCGATTGTGAAATGCGATATATGCACTCAACAAGAGTTATGCAATAATATTATCTTGGCTGGTGGTAAGTATTGCTACATGAATTCTTCGTATTTATTTTTGTTTTAGGAATAACAAATATTCAAGGATTGCGAGATCGTCTTCAAGAAGAACTGCAAGCATTAACAATCAATCAAATACATATATCTGATGGTGCTCCTGAAAAGCGTCAGTACTTGCCGTGGTTAGGAGCAGCGATGTTATCCACATCACCAAATTTAAAAGATTTCTGGATCTCCAAAAATGAATATTATGAACATAGTCGTTCATTTTTTCATGCAAAATGCTTTTAAGCATTTTTCTGGTTGAATACACTAACTGTACTTTGTGATTCGCTAATACCATGTTTTCAATCTTGTTGTTATTGGATTGACAATATTTTTGCGTCTACATTTTGTTTGAGTCTTATTTATATCTTGAAATTTCCATCAATAAAAAGTTATTTATATATAGTATGTTTACTTGGCAATTTTGTCCTGTCTCCTCATTTCTAACATCAAGATGAATTAAGGATGATTTTTTACAACATATTTGACGAGAAATTAATGTTTTCAATCTTTCATTAAACAATATCAAATTCAGTTTTAAACATTTATTGATAAACTTCAGTTGTTTCTTTAGCTAATGCATAATCAACTTGTTGAAAATTATACATATTCATTCGTATAAGACGATATCTGACAAGTAGCCTAGTCGATCCAATGGATAAATACATAGGCCAATGGTTTTGGAGAGCAGATACTACAGGGATCGGCAGAAAAATCACCATATCTCACAGGAAAACACGGAGAATCGCTGGATTATGGAAGCAGTATGCCGACCGGAAATTTTTTCCGATGATTTCCCGGTCGTTTCCTGTTGGAAAGCACAAAACTTCGGTCAGAATCTAACGGAAAAAGTTTCCAGCTGTAATACTGCATTCATAATCTAGAGATTTTCGATGTTTTTCTGTCGAAAACGATCCGTACTCACCGACCTAGGTAAACATTTTAAAATCAGACAAGTAAATTATCAGCGAATTTCTGAGTCAAATTGATGGCAAATTACGAATCAATCTCTTTTTTCATGCCTATCTTCTTTACTTGTATAAGAAAAGTTTTCTCATCAATAAAGCCCTTACCTTCACAACAATGCTATGGCTAATTTGCTTTTCCCTTGTGGTAATTGGCTTTCAATTTTTTGCATATTTTTCTTTAGTTTTTGAATCTTGCCATACAAAATTTTCTACTTTTAAAATTGTTTTTGTTTTCCTTTTGTATCTTGAAATAGAAGTAAATCAAGGAAACCCGAACGCTGCCTGCTAACCGATGAAGGAGACTACATCTCAATCGCAAGAATCAGAAAAGAATCTGGTAAGACGAGAGTCAAGAGCGTTGAATAGCACCCACTGTAAAATGATTGAAAAAGATTACAATCACGCTGAATAAATATTAAAACTAAATTACTGTTATTTGCTTCTCCTAAACAGAGAATTTTATTGATCAACGTTGAACTTGACATGGGTATTTTAGCATATATTGATTATTAAAAGAAACGGAAAACAACAGGCTATACATAAAAAGTTAGCATATTAGAACGTTTACCAAGATGAAAAAATAGTATGTAAAACTAGAGCCATATATCTATATCATTGAATTCATTACATGAATAAAGAAAGTTTACTCAAGCCAATTACGCGTAATAAATCCACCAGAAGTAGCAGCCGTTACGTTAATAGGATGATAAATTACTATAGTAAATATTGTGGGTGGCATATTGTTTATAAATTTGGCTAGATTTAAGTCAGTGTCATGAGAAAAACTAACATATTCTATATGATAAAATGAGTGATAAAACGCATTGATATCATCTAATGTTAATTGTTTCTCCGTGGCCTCCGCAGATGGGAAGCTATCCAGTATTCTTAATCGACTGATATGCGGCCAGCGATAGACAAAGCATAATTTAAGAAAAGCAATTGGAGCACCAAAAGAGCGTAGTTGAGACATGCTGGATAATAATCTAACGAAAACATCTGCGTCCAGCGTTGAACGACATGAATCGATAAGAAATGTAGTAATCTTTGATATGTCAATATCTGGAACAATATCGTGAATCAATAAATAAAAACTTTTTTCAGTATAGTGAACTTCTAATCGCTGAGGATTTGTAAATCGACATAGAATTTCAGTATCTATCGGAGACTCGCAATTGACGTTTAAATGATTAATATTAGAAAGTGAAAGTACATCTGGTCCGGTTGATTTTGTTGTGATAGGGCCTTTTATATGTACCCATGGATATGTATTGTTAAAATAAGGAATTGAATAAAGTAACGAAAATCCGCTAACAGTACAACGATCATATTTAACATACCAATGTTTGTTGTCGAGCCAAAACGGTGTTCTAAATGATTCAAGTTCAATTGGTTATTGAGTCCAAGTAATTTCGTGAAAACTAAATAAGAACTTGAATGTGATTATATTAGTTAATATTCGTTCCCATGCAAAGCCATCTATTATATCATTGTACATGTCATAAACAACAATAGTCAAATGAACCAGCCTTGTCATTTCATGTAGTATCTGTTTCATGGTCGAAAGATTAAAGTGACCGAAGAACTTAATGGATAATTCGGCTAAAAACTCAGGTGGAAAATGATGTTTAGTATGATTCAAACTGTATGAATCGATTATTGTGTCCAATGTACGCAAAACAGGTGCGATAGAGTATATATGATAAAGATTGATACGTATGTTATCTAAAATTAAATGTTCAATTGAAGAAGGTTGTTCTCCATCTCCGCTAAGATTGAAATGAGAAATATCACATAAGTTAATAATTCGTAGAGAAAAATACTTTAGTGACGACGATATAAATAATAAATCAGTCAATAAATGTAAAGTAAATTTTTTCTTATCTTTGATGAAAAAGATATCGACCGAATCGATAGAAAGCGATGTGAGCGACACGAGTGATTTGACATCATTTTTAATTGATTTCCAAATATTACGATCAATATGAGACAAACTAAGTGAACGTAAGTTAGAAAACGTATTATCGATGACGGTAAATTGCAAGAAAAAACAATCGATTTTTCTACGTATTGTTTCAGCATTTCGACCCGAAAATGATATTGAAATGATTTGAGACGATTTTAGAAGATAATCGGGTACAGAAAGTATCGAAATCTTTTTTCTTTTTTAAACAACTGGAGTCGAGTTGAAAACGAGAATAACTAAGAGATACCAAACGAATACGTTTGTCTACGAGACATATACATGTAAGAATATCGAATGATGGAACATCGTCCAAAATCTTGTGAATTAATTCAACCGGCAAATTACTCAAATAATCGGTCATCCTCTCTTTTGATCGATACCAATTTATTAGTGTTATATATTATTGTAAAATATTTATGATATAAAATTTATTAACGAATAAGCAAGACGAAAAAACATAATAATAGATGTTGTATCAATTGATTGTTACAATTAATTGAGTAAGATAATGTCTGAACAATAAGATTAAAAGAACATACTGAGAAGTTTAAATCATTTACTTTATCACTGTTCAACTAGAACCACTACAGATTCAGTTAAAGTTGACTTAGATTAGAGAATTATTCTTTACCATTGTATATCAATCTAAACACAACAAAGTAATGCTGTGAGCGACCAATGAGAAGAATGGAGATAATTAAATGAACGCAATCAATCAATCCTATCGCAATGTACATATATGTATACATACAATATTTTGAAGGTACTAGTTTACTTTACAAATAGTGCCATCATCCACATGCAGTGTTATGTTTGCCAATCATATCACTCGTATGCTTAAAAATGTATGAATATGAAGTTGATAAAAAAAAGTGTTCATCAAGTAAATAAAACTAATCAGTGAAATGAGTAATACGAATATGTAATTGTAATAGATTGGAAGAAATAACATCTGAAGATGGTATGTCAAAATAAACTAATAAAATCGTTGATGCCACATCAATCATGAACCGAAATTAAAATATTGTAAATTGGTAAAAATAGTAAAGATATGTGTATATATAATTTTGTTGACACCATCTGTTGAAATTTGTTTTGCATCTTTACCAATGATGATAAAAAGTGATAGTATTTGACTATATAAGTAAAACCAATATCTTATAAAAGTAAAAAATCTCTTGAAAAGTAAACTAATTATTTTTAATAATGGTTTAGTCCGTTTATTTAAAATTAATATACAACATACAAATTCATACTTAATCCTGAATGATTACCTCAATGGGCGAAACCAAGACCTCCGTACTTCATGAATTTTGCTTGTACTGTAGTTATATATCATTGTACGTGCATCGTACTTCAAAACAATTTGAAATACGGAAGTCGCGCTTTTTTCGACGTGGGTAAGTGCTGGCATCTAGCACCGAAAAGTGTTGGGCAGGTGCTGAAATGCTGAGTAGGTGCTGAGTCGGTGTCAGGGTGCTAAGTGCCAGCACTTACCCGCTTGACTTTTCCTCCTTTTAAAAGACAGATTTTGTGATGAGTTTGATGACTTGTCAGATTTGAAGAAACTCAGAGAAAATTATCAATCTTGTCCGTGCGAATGTAATATAGATGAACAAAGACCGAAATCCCTCACATACCTACGTTAATACACTCAAGATTCTTAGCTAGATTGATTTCACGAATTTTTTCACACAATAAACAATCTTAGATATACTTCATTACTTTTTTTGTATTATATTAAAAAAAATGTGTGTTTCAAACGAGCGTTTAGCTGAGAAAAATGGAATAATCGTTAAAGAATAGAAATATCACTAGAGACTCATGCCATTCATTCGTGCGATGATGAATAACGCACCAAAGAGCACTTACTTTTATATTCATTTTTATCTTCTTACAATAAAACAAAGGCATTGGCTAGCAACTAGTATTTTCTATCCAACAAAGCATGCCATGAAATAAGTCTTGTAGAACATTAATAATCGATTATTAGGTCGATAGAAACCTATCACCAGTTTGTAAAGGTTTCTATTTTTATCATAAAAAATTAATAGTTTTAATATGAAAACCGGCTATAGAAAGTTTTCCATTATTAAAAACAAACTATAGCACGATATTCTCTTGTGTGAACATAACAAAATATAATGACTATAAGTAGATGAAAGATCGATAGTAAAAGCTATTTCATTTGTAGACAATAGTTTCTCTTTGACGTCTTGTTTTTCTTTTCTAAAATAGATTATATGAAGACCAATAGACGATAGCATTAACGTTCAACAGACTAACTTTCTTTTTGGTAAGGTTCTATTTTACATCCATACGTCAAAAACATTATCGATATAAATGGATCAATAGGTTTCAGGACGAAAACCTTATCTCACAAAATAAATCTATTGTTATTATTATTTATGAACTAGTGCATGGTTGTAAAATAAAAGAAGAACAACAACAACAACAAAAAGAGCAAGAGAAGAGAAATATGGAAAGAAAAAAACTTCTTTTGACAGGCTCGGGAAATGGAATAGAAACAACACACATAACAAGAACACAGAAAAGGAAATAGGTTCCGATGGAAAGCAGTCTCACTTTTAACTCATAGCGAATGAACGATGATTGAGTATACACAAGTGATCGACAAGATTTCTACCTGGTCATTGTGGAAGCTCTTATTTGTATTCCTATTAGAATTTAAAATGGTTACAACTACTAAATATCCGCGTACTTCGAATAATACAAAACCTCATCCATGTTTTACTTGTATAGAACCGCTTGTTGGTTACAGTAAGTTTTACAATATAACACATAGTTCGAATAGAATTTTTTCGTCTTAATAGTAAATATCTAATAGTTGTATTTTTCTCATATGTTTGTTTTGTCTAGCTGATCATCCAGGTTCATGCAAATATATTAATGAAAGTTCACCGTCGTCGTTGGAGTATGTAGCCGATTGTAATACTAGTGATAGAAATAATATTAGCGAATATGAATGTCGAAAAGTAGTGGTTAGTTATCGTTCCGTGGAAACATTTTTACGTCGTGATTGTGCACCAAAAGGTCTATGTTCATGGAAAGATAAAACTGGATCAATGATCAATACACCCGTTTCGGATTGTGTTTATACCGATGAAATTAGCGAAAAACTTGAATGTATTTATTGTTGTGATACGCCATTATGTAATCGAACACATTCACATCATGTGACAAATCGAGTTTTTATTATTTATTTAATGGTGATTGTTTATAGACATTGGATGTTTGTATAGAGTTATAAAAGCAAAATATTGAAATACTACGATAGGCCTTTATTACTTTTCTTGTCTTTCGAAAAGAGAATTCACATTTATTATCACAGTCACCGTAAGGAACACATAAGATTGTATAGTTAGATAGAACTTGTTGGACTGTGCCTTAAAATAGCTGTAAAATGGGAAAAAAATCTTAAAGATAACAAACATTTCTACGACTTATTCTGAATTAAAAATCAGCATAATTTACGGACACATTTTATTGAGGAAAAATTAACAGTTTGAAGCAAGTGCTATTGAAGTGTTGCGACTCGATAGCCTCTGAATTTTGTGAATAGAGTTGTGCTGTCAAGGTTAACATTCGATATCTAGCATAAAAAGTAAGAGATGTGTACTAGACGTGACATATTTACAGAGATTTTCACGTTAGAAATCATGTACTAAATCTCTTGCAGAAAGATTTATATAAACAGTGCATGTTCTTAAATATTTCGTAGCAGGTTTATCGTATTTGTTAACAATCATATTTGATGAATTGATATCGTCGTATAATATTTAAAACAAATTGCCATGTAGATGTAACTGAACCAGAAAAACGATGGCATACCATTATGAGAACATGTCTTGTAGCATATCATAAGTGGTAAAGAAATTTTTCAGTAGACTTGAATACAATTTGCTTGAGGCTTATGAAAAATGTTAGATTAGATAAAATATTTCTTGAACCATAAGTAATCATTAGATCAAAGAGGAAAATCATCCAGAAAGTCTTGAAAATAGCTCATCAACAAAAGGACTACATATCTATTGGTAACTTTGTGTTACTTCTGTAGACTAATAAATGCAACATAAAATATTGGACTATTCTGCTTGTTATCCCCGTTTAATTTTACAAAATGTTATGTCTTAAATGATATGTCTCGGTCAGATTGAAGCTTGAATGATCAAAACTAACTTGTTTCATAAGAATAACTTCTGACGACTGTCTCTTGCAGGGCAGGAAGGGTAGATAATATTTTGATCATTATGCCGATTCAAAGTCAATTCATTTTTTTTCTTTTTTAGCTCGATGTAAAGAAAAACCTTTGTGGAGGTAGTAAACTTGCAGTGGTTCGACATCTCGTTTCAATATCTATTATTGATGGAAATTTGAGAAGACAAAGAAAAACGAGGAGAAAGCGGCGGCATGCTGTTAGCCAAAACAAAATAAATTGATGCTTCATGCTGGGAATATATTTCACAGTGTGAGAATTGACAGAAATCAGCGGATAAATGCTTTTCGATGAAATATTAATAAATCATTGCGAAGTCAGCGTTAAAAAAAGATGCATATTATTGAAATGATTAGCCACTTCTTAGAAAAACCAACATTATACTAAGAAAAAAGAAGCATGATTCTTTTTTCCTATCATCCTTTTCTTATTGATAGAGTTTCTGGAAAAGAATAATAGTTACAATATCGCTTAACCCGAAACCTCCAATATTATCGGTAAACATTGATTGAATTTGTTTTAAATTTAAGGACCATGCAGTCCTAGTGTAAACTGATATTAGGTGGCTTCAATAAATAGTAAAATTTATACTATGCACTTATGGTATCTTCTCAAGGGTTGCATTGCTGTTACTGTGAATTCAAAAAATGATAACTTAATACTCAGTGATACTTATTATTTGTGCCCTTGAAAGTACTCTTTTCAATGTTGATTTATTATATGAATAATTTAGTAGCATACAAATGATGTCGAACTTATGTCTGAGAAAAATGATGCTTAATTTAAAATTAACAAGAAAAAAACATCATTAGAATTTTGCTAGTAATAAACTATTCCAGTAGCGACGAGTTACAATTAGCATACTGCCACCAAACATTTGTCTTTCGATTGAAAATCTTGGAGCAGATCCTAAATTTTGATGAAGAGCGTATTTCGACATAGCTTATCGATTTAAGGTTTTTTTTAATTATGTAGAAACGTTTTTTGTTGTATGATGCTTTTCAATGTATCAAATCAAAAATAGTGAACGCGAGTCATATATTCACAATTTTATTAGTTAATTCAAGTTTAGAGGGCATCAGTAATAATCGTATGTGTTGATTGAAGTAGAACATGTAATTGTATATCTTTCGAAGGAAAAAATCAATATTCTATCAAGCTGTCGAACATCGAAAAGTCTTTGTCCCGCCCACTAAAATTAGTATGATATATAGAACATTTAAAAACTATACAACATGAGTGTTGTCCTCCTTACTATCATAAAAGTCGATCTTGATTTCTATTTCAGATGATTGATTATCGCTAATCGATCTTTGATTACCCGAGTAATTGGAAGTTGATAGGTAAAATTTGTTTGCTACGGAATACTTAAATTTATAATTTGCTTATGAATGGATATCAATATTTCGTCTTTGAAGGATTTCTCAGGGATGTCTACAAATACAACTGACATCCACCACAACAGTAAACATCACTCACAATTGAGAAGAAAATATTTCTAGCTAGCACACTGCACTACAACAATTCATAAATATTCTAATCTACTATCAATCAGACATGCAAGTATTTTTGAGGGCGTTTGATTTGTTGTCAGCCTTGATACACAATTGAGAAAATTGAGTGATTATATGAATGTATTTTTCTGATTAGGCTAGTTTTTCATATATAGCTGCATAGTTTAAAATAATCTGATTTTGTATCAGTATTACAAACAAATTGTTTATATTTCTTTAAAAAAGAAATCAATTGATAATCTTCTATCATCAAAATTGAAGTTGTTCATACACAAAAAAGTGCTTATTTAATAATTGTAGATCATTATTAAACTTAATTAATATTTTGATCCATACTTTTGCTAGTCTGTTACAGATAACAAATAAAGGACATTGACAATTAGAATAGTCTAATTCAAACACATAAAAACAACAACGACACAGAACCATTGCACTGTTCAAAAGAAGTTATAAAAACAAAAACAATAAATCAAGCATAGAATTATTCTATGTTCGTACCTGAGAAATACAAAATGACAAACTATATCACAAAGAATTAGAAATAAAGCTGACGTCGAATATTTAGATATATAAAAGTTTTTTATCGAATAAATTTTCTTCTTCATCATCATCATCATCATCAATATGTAATATAGTAGGATCATCATGTTCAAATTGTGTTATGCGAAAATCTTTCAAACGTTCTTTCATTGGCGTTAAATCACGACGAATATTACGAAGATTTTCATGAAGTTCATCTTCTTCATCGCCACTATCAATATCCCATAAACGTTGAGATAATGAACGATAATCCATATGAGATCGTCGATGTGGATAGGGATAACGATAAGTTGAAGAGAGCATGGATTGTTCTGAATTTTCACCCGGATAAGCTAATGTTCTTCGATATGGGTCAGTAAAGAAATTTTCTCGTTGTGCTTGTGGTGAATAGAATATAGGAGTGATAGACGGTGGTGGTGGTGGTGCTGCTGCTGCTGTTGGTGCTGTTGAAGGAGGGAGGACATAATGATATGGATGTCGAATATATCGACGATCAATACCAGAATAAACACGGCGTGGAATTGGTACTGATGATGACGGTGATTTAACAAGCACACGCATTTTTACAGGTGTTGATGATTGAGAACGTTGTGAATTGCATAGAATCGGTATGATTGCTTCGTCATAATGTGGAGGAGTATATGATGAGGGGTATATGGAAGATGAAGGCGGTCGAACATTTGAGTTTGGTTGATGGCTATGTTCTCTTTTCAATGTTGGATTAAACAAATCATAGGATTTACTACTTGATGTTAACTAAAAACGAATATGGAAATTTTAAGATTAGATAGCGATTAAAAACAAAAAAAATATTGATATACTTGATAATGAATTGGTACCAAAGATGATTTTAGTTCTTGTTTATATATTGTTTTGTCATGCGGACTTGATTCATCTTGAGTTTTCGATATTTGTTTTATATTAAAATCTTCTTCGTGAATTAATGTATCAGATTTTTCGATTGATTTCTTTCTATTTGTATTGATAACTTTAAATGGTCCTTTCGGCGATCGTGTAAGCGGTAAAAATGTTCCACTCTTAGCTAATTCATAGGAGGATTCACTTTGATTTGATTTATTTTGTGGTTTATTTTGATCTCTAAGTTTTCCATTAAGAATTAAAGCATCATCATCATCATCATTCATATCGTCCATGGCTGCTAATTTATTTGTATATATGACTGTCTCAGGCATATTCAATTCATTCTTTGAACATTTTGAATAAAAATAAACTTTTGGAATTAAGATAAAGAATAAACATATAGTCCCTATTGTAAACATACCAATCACAACTGACGGAAATACAAAGTAGGGATGAGCGAAATGATAAATAAGTGTCCATATTAGCCATGCGATATTGATTAAAACTAATGCAAACATATTGAAAAATGCTAATAATGCAGTTTTGTTGTTTGTTCGAATGGATTTGTCTTTTTCATTTCGAGCTCGATAACAATGGCGACATACAAATAGACATGTTGCTATTATTGTGCATAAGAATAATTCTATTATTGTATATGTAAATGTCGCATAGAAACGATAATCAACAATACATTGAAATGAACATGATTTTATTGATGATATTTGTTTTTGAAAATTTAATTTTAATTTAGGATACTCATCAATTGTACGCTGTTGGCAAGCACGCGGAATGGTAAAATACCACCAAAGTATACCGATTGGTATTTGTATAAATACAAGTAATGAATAAATCAATAGAGAAGTCAATTGTTTTGTACGTTTTGAGAGTATTCTTGTTGACAACCATTGCATTATATAACGACATAATAATGCCGAATAAAGTAGAACATATGCAAATTGTGATAGAAATTCTCTTAAACCACAAAATAATTCGTTACCACGTATTAAAAAAATGACAACAACAATATAAATAAAGCAAACGCTGAAGCAAAGAAATAAATTTGACAAATTTAAATAATTATTTAAACGATAAGTCGATAAATAAAGATAAAAAAATGATATTATTATTGTTAATAAAATACCAAATAATGAAAGTATAAATAATGGAAGTATCCATTCATGATTGAATTGTAATAACGATAATGCTTGATTGTCCAATGTATTAATATTATTATTATTATTATCAATTAAATTTGCTGAAAAATAAAAATATGCTGATGGTATTATCGGCGCATCAGTTGATGATGTATTCATATTTATTTTATTCAGTGATCTAAATTTTAAAAAAAATGACATACATATATTATAATCATACAAGGAAAATTTTTTGATATTCATTTTCTCTTCTCGTTTGTAATGTTTGACTAGGCCTAAAAGGTAACAAATAGAAAAGTGACTATAAAGAAAAACAGCAAGATGTGTTTCTTCAGCCGAACTTCGAAGGTCTTCAACTCATATTTATGTATATACATTAGTGTTATTCGACAACATTACCGTCGCTGTGACTATCGTTATCGAATGGAACTAAAAGAATCGATAACAGTTTGTGTAAATATATATGTGTTTGCTTATTATTATTATTGTTGTATAGTTATACGTGTCTGTTATGTGTTTTTTTTGTAAACAAGAAAAGAAAAAAACGAGTAAATTTAACTAACTTGAATACTTAATTAGGATGGAAGGTTTTTATTTTTCTTGATATGTATTTAATTTGTGTAGACGAAAGTTGAGGTTGTGCTTAATACGATTCAGTCTGTTAAGTATATTTTTTCACATGAAATAAATATTTTTTTTTTGTCTTCTCATTATTTCGCATATAATTCAAGGTAGATTTCATTAAATCAACTACTGTTACTTCACGTAAATATATACTTACATTTATTAGTATCTATATTCGACATACCATGATTTATTTGACAATATATTGCATACATAAATTTCGATGTATATATATATGGCTATTGAAGATATTCTACCTTAACGTAGTGATATAATGTGAAAAAAGGAGTCAATCTTGTTGACTTTTATGTGTGGGAATATAATCAAGGTGATATGTTGATGCACATTAACATATAAACTGTATATTAGGCGACATGTGTCACAATAGAAGACCTCTTCTTTTTCTGTTTTGTTTTAATATAGTTGGTTTCTTTTTTGTCCTTGAGAGATAGATGGATGGATAAGTATTTGAAATTAAAATAAAATTGATAAGTACGAAAAAGTCCCGATAGGACGAGACGATTTCTTTTTTTCACGTTGAAGTGATATGATTCAACAGAATTAAAAAGAAAAAAAGAACCAAAAAATTCTCATCAATATTTCACGTCCAATTTTTTTTTATTACGTAAAATAAAGTCAATAACTTCCTTGTTTCCTCTTCTTCTTCTTCTTCTTCTTCTTCTTCTAATACTCATTTAATATTCATAGATAGAAGCGTCCGAAGTTAACACTATTTGAATCGATTGCTAAACTCAACATATCTAGATCTTGTTTATACATACTTTCAACAATTTAAGCTCACCTCATTTGTCTCTTGTGTTAACAATAACAATATGACAAATCTAAAAGATGACCTACTCACATACTACACATTGTTCTTACCATTATAAGTGTATTGATCTTCTCCTTCGACCACACACACGCACACCATTAGCATAATCTTATTTTAAAATAGATACGAAATGCACACACATTTACAAGTAGATATCTTCACAAGTCACGGTCATAGACCACCCATAAAAATTGCAATCAATTTCCGATCGATTCTTTTATGTTGACTACTCAGATATGATAAATATGACAAAAGAAAATCTCGTTTTGATAGATGACTACTCTTTTATTTTATTTTTTTACAAACGTATTCAACAATCACTGTGAATGCGTCTATGAACACAAGACAATAATATATATCAATATCTATATGTGTTCGTATGAATTCAGAATCTTATTGCATAATAAATTAATGTAAACGAGAGTAATGAAAAGTATTGATAAAGATATTCGAGAGAGAAAAAAAATCGAAGGAAGTTTCATAGATAAATCGCCTGATGAACAAGGTTTTTCTTATCTATTCATTTAATTGGTACGATTTCGTCAATAAAGTTCAAAGGAAAAAGACTAATCGTTTCATAACCAGGTGTGAAATCATACCTTGCAGGAATAGATTTCCTTGACTGGATCTGCTCGAATGAATATTGAAGATGTCAATAGACGAACAGACAGACACTTATATAAATATATATATGCATCATACACACATATGAAAATGTGTGTCATAATCATCATCACCATCATCATTATTCGCAGATAATGATAAGAAGACGAAGTATACGAGAAGGAAAAGAAAACGACGAGAAGTAAAGAGCGGAAAGAATATGAAAATATCATTTTTTTGTTACATGAAGTCTACAATTTTTATGGTTGATTCGAAAAGAAGCGGAAACGGCCAAGGAAGTAAGCAAGAAAAAAAATAAACCGTTGGATGACACTCCAGAGATCAAAAGAAATACTGTGAATGAGTGTCTATATGTTAACCATGTCCGACATAGAGACAAAGGGAGAAAGAGGGAGGCGAGAAAAAAAAGAAAACTGCAAGTTGGATTCTATTGGCAAAGCTATCGAAAAACAATGACATAGAATAAAAGAATAAAACCATAAATGACAACAGCAAGAACTAATCGGCATATATATATGCTTCAGTACTATCTATTATTAAACAAGGCCGTTGATAGTACATGCGAAAGTGAAAAAAGCGTTTTCTTATTCTTTTGTTTTTCCCTATATCGTCATCGATCGACATGAATGAAGGTTTGAGTAAGAGAAGACAGGCTGTTAATAAGAGATGGCCATCATTCTACCACATTGCTTGCGTGATAAGGATAAAAAAAGAAATAAACTCGTAGGCCCAAAAAAAAGGATGTGTGGCAGCAAATTGAATCCAATTTGTTAGATAAGAAAATAAGGATGGAGATTTCTTTCATCAGAGCAACTATTACTTGAGCATAAAAGAATATACATACATATAATACAAATCAGGTAATCGCGAGTTCTTTTTTTTCTGTATTCAGAGGCGAGTGGAACAAAAGAAAAAGGTTAAATTCATTCATCTGCTTTTTTCTTCTTCTTCTGTTCGAACATTCAAACGAAATGGCATAGTAGTACATCATCTAAGATATACTCACTATGACAAGTGTTATTAAAAAATTCAATTAACTTTTCTATTCAACAGAAAGAAAAGACAACACTAATTAGATGTTATATACACATATGATTACAATGCACTCTCCATATCGATCAATCTTAACTATATAAAAGAGAATTTCAATAGGCCGTAAGATGGCCTAGCACTATTTAGATTGTCTATTCAACTAGTACTACTATTACTACTACTACTACAACAATTTCTTTTTGTTCTTATCGCAATCAACGATGAGAGTCATTTTGACTTCAGTTATTTCTTTACTCACGCGCGACTTTTTTTCTATCGAACAATTAATTAGTATTTATCCGCTTTATATGCATGAGCATATCGCACATAAAAATTATCAATATTGTCTGGCATGAAAGAATGTCACAACATAACAAAATTAATTTCGAATCATCATCATCGTCGCATGTCTAGTAACTCTTCGATAAGATCAATTTGATTGGTTATAATGAGAAAAGTGGATCGTATGCATAAAATTCATATTGAATATAAGTGAAGTCAGACAAATGATCACTTAATAATCATCTTGATTATGAAAATATAAAGAACCAAAAGAGATTCATACAGTGGTATAACACTTGAAATTGTGTACATAGACAGTTGTGTTTTGTCGGCAATTCTTTTTCTTTAGCATAGAAATTCTATCATACAATAAAACATATACACGAAAAACAAAAACAAAGATTTGACTCGGATTTATTTATCGTCATCATGAAGTTTTTTTATTGATATAGGACTTGTACTTAGTGCAGTTTGTTGATTTTCATTGATTTCAATTAGATCACTATCATTGGGTTGTATTAATGATTTTGGTCGTTTGATTGTTGTCATTGGTTTAAGAAATAAATCTGAACTTAAACGACGTTTTGATACTAATTGATCATGTCCACTTGATTGTGGATTTAATGATGATGATAACGAAGAATTATTTTGTTCAAATGCACTAATCAATTGGAGTTCTTGTTCAACAAAAAATTTCTCTAAATAATCACTAAAATAAACAACAGATTTTGTATTTGTTAGTAAGAAAACAAAATACGACTTACGTAACGTATGGATGTAAATGAAATCGCCGTTTTTCAACTCGATTTTGTCGAACAAATACATCATGACGAGCTGATTTTTTCCAAATATAATAGAAAAATATGAGTTCATTCGTAGTACGACTGGGTATCTAAATTTACGTATACAACGAATATTAATTTTCAATTGAAAGAAGTGAAAAAAAATTTACGATAACACGTCCTTTGGATCTTTAAATCTGCTTCTAACTTGTAATAAAAAATATGTTTAGTGAAAAACTCGCATAGACTATAGTTATCTCCAAAGGGTAGCCGAACGTTTGGGAAAACATCTGCCTTGTCTAGTATTTTCATACCGAACAAAATGATTACTATTTTGCTACTGCTGCTCTATTTTTGCTTCGCATTGTTGTTATGCGTTCGTTGGTTTTTCAATTCAGCTGTCAAACAAGTCTATTATGCAGATAAATAATTTATCTAGCAGATCTCAAGATTTCATGGTTCGTAAACACTAAAACAATGTTACTGATGATTTTTCGACGATATCTCTTTATGAGTTCATGTCTATTAAAAGATATTTTTCAGTGTCCTAGAACAATTTGTATGCTATTTCAAAATGCTTTTCACGCCGATTTACACGGTTATGAAGGGTTAAACTACAAGATATCGATTTAAAGTTCATATATTTTTACAATATTATACCTTAAACATTGAAAAATCTTTGCCACGTTCTTTAAAACATTGTTCAAATTGATCACATTCTGTTAACGACCATGGCGCAGAAGCAACTAAAAATATTCGAATCATGAACGATTTTTTCTTTTGGATTCTAATTGAAATATACAGAAATTTTTATTCGTTGTTGGCTCTCGAAGTTTCTCTAAAGCTTGATCAATATTATAATTTGATGCTAAAAATACTTCAAGTACATTCTCTTGATCAGCTGTTCGATCTATTAATATGAGAAAAGAAATTGATATATATGTTTTAATTTAAATAAAATAACATACGTTCTTTAGAGGCTAACTTTAAATATTTCAGAGCTGCTGTCGAATTCTCATCTTGGTTTGTATCAGTAGGTGGAGACCAAAGTAATTGATCATTAGGTGATTCTGAAAAGAAAATTTTCAATGCATTTTTGTCGATTGATCATTCATGTTTAACCTTCATCATTTTGATCAGTATATAGAAGTAAATCAGGAACAACAGCTTGATATTGGTCACCAATATTAATAGCCTGCAAAATTAGAAATATACGATGAAAATGAAATACCACAACATTTTTACAAGAACGTATAAGAGTTTATTCTAAGAATGACAATAACTAGTAATTAGAGATGCATCGAACGTCTCGAGGATAGACAAAGAAAATTCACGCGTCGTTGCTACAATTGCATTCGATAAAATATTTCCTATCTAATTGTTGTAGCTCTAATGAAGTAGAAATAGTATAAATGATCCATAAATTTCATTGAATGTCTGAGTGCTATATTTGTTGACAAAGACATTCGTGAAGTTTTATAATCTTCTTCAAAGAACACAGCTCGCTTAATTGTCGTTACTGAACGATTAGTTTTAAACGAATCTTTTTTTATACAAAATATCGATTAAAATGAGAAAAGATATTCATTGATACGAATAAAACAATAGAAGATTTCCGATATCATTGAGATAGAGATGATATTTCAGGGTTACAGCAGATGCTATCTGTTATCGGTCGTGACACTTACTTATCGATAGTTTACTTTAGTTGATAAACATAGTCGCAAGCTAAACATATGCTCTGCTTGTCTCAGTTATTGATCATTAACTGCTTACAGATTCTAAGTACATGATTATAAAACAATCGATCATTTTTCTCTGACACTAGAATCCATACCAGAGTGGTCAGATCTTCTGAAAAATAGGGGAAAATTCTGAATTTTGAATATGTTTCTGATTTTTTCTGAAGTTGGAATATATTCAGATCCTGCTTTGCCACTGAAATTAGGTACGATTATAACCCATTACTATAATAAATCAATAGTGCTTCATCAACTTTTCTCTATTAATCATCTTTTATATTCCTCGTTCGAATTCTGGCGTCGAATTGATTTTCGGTCATATAAAACATTGATAGTCCGATTATCGTAATCCGATAATATAAAACCAGATAGTGCTTAACTTAAAATAAAAATGAATGTTAATTATTCTTGAGAAGGTTTTATTAGCATACGTTATCTTAAACAAACTTCTTAGAGCAAATTCAAAAAGATACAAAATATGAATATCAATACCGAGATGATGGGATTTAACGTTTTTTCTTTCTCGTTGGACTTCTTAATCTACGCAGAATGTATTTGATTTAGTTTTGCTCGTTTTTGTGAACGAAGCTCAGCGTTAAGTATCTTTTATTGATGTTTTCTTATTAGCTAAACGATATTTCACTATATTGTCTGTCGTTTTATTGAAATATCTTTGAAAATAAAGTTCCAGTCAATGGACAGAACCGCAGAAGAACTTCGGATGTCCGTATTTTAGCAGCAGATGTACTAATTTGCCAACAACTGCCATTTTCTGAGTAATTTCTGATTTTTCAACTTTTGATCTGGCCACCCTGATCCATACTGTATTGTATTTTGACTTCAAAAAGGATCATCTAATCGAATATACAATATTGATATTGACAATGGTATGGAAATCTTTCGAATACATGTCAGAATGTCCCCGCTGGGAAGGATTTGAGACACTTATAAAAAAGATGTGAATGTCACATCCATTTTTTGTCTCACATTAGTAAGTAAAAGCTTAATAAACTCTCTCAAATGTATGTTTATTTACTTTTTGCCAATAGAATGAAAATGATGAATCATCCATATCTTCTTCTTCACCGTTTTCATCTAAAATTATAGAAAAAACAATTTTCTATTGATGAAATTTGTTTTTGGACTTACTCATAGCTGGATGTTCAGCAATTAATAAACGTTGATATCCGTTACCATCTTCTTGATCAGTAGAATCTTCACTTGACGTACTGGTTTCTTCTTGTTTTGGTGTTGGCATATTTGCTATATTAGATGAACTTGTATACAATTTTCTCAAATCTTCAATAGGCATTTCACTTTCCTAAATATTAATAAGAATTATAAATGAAGTTCATTTTTGTTATTGAATATTAGTTTTTCTTCTTACAACTGTTAATTTGACTATTTCTGTTTGTAGAAGTTCACTGGTTACAGATATTTGTTGTTGCTGTTGTTCTTCTTCTTCATTTATTATTTCTACTTTAACAATATTCTCTATCTGTTCTGGTTCGTTATTATTTTCTATTTTTGGTTCTTTCAATAAATCTTCCGATTCATTTTGCAATGCAGCCATTGACGATAAGTTTATCTAAAGAATCTAAGATAAATGTACAGTTCATGTATTTTGTTCAGGTAGACTTGATAAAAAGTTTTATTTTGAATTTCTTCAAAGAGAAAAAGTGTAATGTAGAAATATCTCTATCACATAAAATATACATTTCTAAGATCACTAAATATATATATGTATGGAATGACGAGAATAAAAAACAAAAGTTACAGTGATATTCTTAGCAGTAGGATAGTAGATGGAAAATTGAGCAGATGAAACAATAAAAAGTCTATATTATTTATTATTGCCATGAATACTTTAATCGATTATTGACTCACTACCGAGATCTGATAAGACCGATCGTTTAAATGAACCAACCATGTAGCGAAACTAAATGAGATAACAATGTAAAAGTATCAATTCTAATAAAGTAAAATAATCTTACTGCAATAATAGCAACAAACGTTCCTAGAATAGCACCACCAAGAACATCAGTAGGATGATGACGATTGTCTGTAATACGTGTAATACCTTTAAAAAAGGAAAATAATAAATATCTTAAAATGAAATAGAAATCTACCGATATAGGCAGCTAACGCAAAACAAAGTGTTTCCATAACATATGGAAATAGACCAAAATTACGATACTTCCAAACTTTATGAATGTACAACTACAGATATAAAAATCAGCCATTCGATATTTTGAAATCAATTTATGATTCTTACAGCCAAAAATATTAAACCGCAAAATGCTGCTGATGCATGACCAGATGGAAATGATTGACTATAAATGAAAAAATAACTATATATAGGACAAATTTAGAAATCAACAAAAAAAACCAAGAAGAACAGATGAATAAAATTCTAAATGATTAGCGTGAATTGATGTTCTCTTCATCTGAAGCTGGGGATTTTCAAATAAAGATACCATAAGTACGTCACAAGAAGTCGGAAGCGACATTTTTTCTGTTGCATTCAACATTTATGAAGATCAGCACTATCAAACAATTGACGTAAAATCATATTGACTATCTTTTATAATGTCGACTTTTGCGCAATTATAATATCAGGTTCGCACAAAAGACGGAGGAACTATATAAAAGATTGGAAATTTATTTACGTGAGTAACACTTTGTAATAGCTGCAGCGGTTTAAACGAACAACTCATAAATTCCTTAAAGATGAATCATTTTAAATTTTTTAATAGAGCTTTTAAGCGAACAATATCTTACGATTATCGATCAATTCTAGTCACTGTATTCGCTTTGATCTATCAATCATAGCGATGATTCAATTTTTTCACATACCGTATATCATAGGCACCATCTTTTTGTTTAACAATACTGCTGGATTCTCCTAAGCATACATAATTAACAATCCAGTCATTTGGGTTAACGCAAAAATCATTATACGAATATTTTTGAAAACATGATGGAATAAAATGTGGTCGTAATCGACCAACAGTGACTTTGCCAATATTAGTCAGAAATGCAGTAACACAATTAGCAAATATAAAAACACCTATTACAGAAAAAATAATATTTAATTCAAAACTGGATAAAGTTATGAATTTATATACCAATGATAATATACAGATTTCCTACCCATTCAGGGATTCTATAAATTTTTGAGCGAATTTGAAGTTCGTAAGCTAGTTTAGCGGATTTTTTACGAAATAAATAATACCAGCGAACACCTTCCGATAGTAAAATCTGAAAACAAATCTGAAAATCTACCGAATAGAATTGAATAGACCTAACATACGATAATCAATGGTATTCCAATAGCACATAGAAATAAAAGCCAAGTTGGAAAAACTTTCTTTTGCGGTTCTACATGATATAAACTTAAATCCGAACATAAAAATGCTCGTCGAACTGGTTTAACAAGATATTTTAATAATAGCCATGCTAAAAGTACTAATTTACAAAAGAAAAAGGTCAAAAAAAGTATTTATGACAAAAATATGAATCATACCGATTGCAAGTGACAGACCATCGAAGACTAGTTTTAGTAATGAAATTGGTTGTAATATTTTTTGACGGCTGAAATTCATGAAAAAAACATAAATTATTATATACGTTAAAACAATAGGGAAAAACCTGCGAGTATCTTCCGAAATTGTTATAGTCGAACCTTCTTGTTTTACTATATCACGAATCATTTTTTTTTATTACTAATAGTAGAATATATTCACACACTCCTACTCCTACAATGGTATGCTCTTTTCTTTTTGTTCCGTTCTCCTCCTTTCTAGAGAAAAAGGAATAAAATACCTTCGTACTGCAACATCCGATGAATGAAACAGTCCAGCCTCAGCTGATTGACCGTCATATTCTTGTAAACGTACTGGATAAGTATTCATATTTTCTAGTGAATCGTTTGATGACGTAGCACAGGAATCTGTCGAGGTTGTTATCGCTCTAATAAAAAAAGAGTAATGTCTAATTCAGTTGCAGGCACTTCGAATCTATGTTTTATTAAAAACAAAACAAAAATCTGTAAACCATTAAAAGATTTCTCTTAGTGCGGAATTAATTTTATTTGAAAATAAAATAAAATAAAACATTGTTTTTTAAACGCGATGAGTTTCCCAAGAGGTAACGTGTCGATCAACAATATCAGCATCCCTTATTGGTATGTCTCCGTTTCGCACGTCTTCTTCATTACGTACTACATACGGTAAAAATTGTGGGTCCTGACGACGCCAATTGAGAATAAATTTAAATGTTACAAACGCGATTAAAGAACCCACGACAGCGCCAGCAAATACATCATGCCAATGATGATGAAAATCACTTATACGTGTATATCCTATTAGAATTTGATTGAAAAAGAACATAAACTCAAGGGTCTTGTTTTTCACTTACCTACATAAGAAGCCAGTACAAGTAGGCCTACTTGGAATAAATGGCCAAGTATGCCAAGATGACGCCAAGACCATGATACGTGAATATACATAATTAAATAACCAAAACCAACTGTGATATGCATTTAAGAAAGTATTTACAATAAAATTCTCAAAGCAAAATTATAACTTACAGAAAAGTGGTGCAGTATGTCCACTAAAGAATGATCGACTAAAAAGACAAGATACAACATGGTTTCTATGACCTTGGGGCTATCTATAAACAAACCGTGCTTCTCGTACACTTGCAGTATCTGAGTTTAAACATGTATAATTTGTTCCATATTGTAGATAAGAATTATATGGATTTGGTAGTGTGATAGTCGTACAATCAATATTCGGTTGACATACAGCAAGAAAGTGTGGTCGCAATTCTCCAATAAAATTTTTTGTTACTTCAATTAAAACCCATGTTGCAAGATAACCATAACCAAATACAACTAATGTGCACGAAAATAACATGAATGAACTTTAAATATGGCAGTTCAAAAAACAAAATATATATATATATATATATACCAGTAAGAATGTATAAATTACGAACTATTGGGGCAATTCGGTATGATTTATAACCCCAAAATAGTAAGCGTACTTCAAATTTTGTTTCTGGATATCGTTTAAAATAAAGTAGTTTACAAAGTTCAGTAGTCCATATCTAAATCATAATTATATTCAGAAGTCTTTGTTCATTTCTATTTTAGAAGTATTACCCAAATAATTGGAACACCAACTGATAAAATAATTGCAGCGTATGCTGGTATTGTATCATTTTTATATGGATACTTTATGGTTGCATCCGAGCAAAAGAAACCACGTGTAAATGGTGCAGCCTCATAATGGGATATTATCGATACAATAAGCACTAAATATGCAAGAAAAAAAGTAACTATTATATTTACCTGTACAGTTAAATATTTATTTTACATATTATAAGACTGATCGCATCGATAACAATGCGCCATATCGTTTCAGTATGGCGATTTTGATCATTTGCTGATTTTGACTCGGACTGTTCAGGCATGGTAGTTCCTTTCGGCGAAAGCGGCTCGATCCGATTGCTGTTGTGTTGTTTTGACGAATGCGCGCTCGGATTTTGTTGCGGCATGTCTATGAGTCAGTAAATATTGCAAGCACAAAAAGAGAGAAAGGTAACAGAATGGCAATAGAAAAAAAACTCAAAGAATGCATTTTTTTCCTTACATCAAACAAAACTAAGCAGCGTAACTAACGCAGTCTCCTCCGTTCCTTTTCTCTCTCTCTCCCTCTTCCGAAGAGATTACTTAGACATGAAAAGGGTAAAAAAATAAAATTACAAGCGTCTATGCCACTTTCATTTAAGTAAAAATGAAATTTTGTGAACAAAAGTTTTTAATGGCATTATTGTAGAATGAGTAATCTAAGTTGATTGAGCATAGATGATTGTCAAAAAAAGAAAATATTAAATTCGCAAATATCGGATTGCTAATTGACAAATTAGATAAGGAGTACGCGTAAAGTTGAGTATAAGAACCCCTCAGAGCATTCATTCTTCTTTAAATGGTTAAATGGTCGGTCATTTTATTCCATAATGAAAAAGAATTCGAATAATTATTTTATTGAATACTAAATCCATCAAAATCTAATATAGAAAGACCGATTAATTAGGATTAGAATATTTCGAAAGCAACGGATAAACTTGTTTTATCGAAAATATAATTTAGAAAATTTAGACTACATCGACATATGACAGCTGATAAAGTTACAAACTATATCTAATGACGCGAGAAAAATAAGTCTCAGTTCCTTTCTACCATTCAAATATATTGGCACATTTTTGCAATGAAAAACATCATAGAATAAACCAATAGTAACTTCCTACGCAATAGAAAACTCTCGCTGAATATTAAAACATCTCTACAACGCACTATGACCTTCTCTATTACATCTGTAGTTATAGAAGACTCGCACAAAATAGAACCAACTTTTTCTTTCCCCCACATTTTCATCAAATTGAATCTTAAAGTAAATGTTATGCGTTTTGTCAACACAAAAGAATCATATCAAATTAACAAACGAATAATATAGAAAAAAACGTAAATGGTGCGATGTTTGATGAACTTCAAATAACATGGAAACCAGTAACTTAATACTCCAACTGAGATCGGTTATTTTTCAAGAAGTTTATACACAATACCTTAACGCTATAGATAGTAGGTATAGTTAATAGAAGTTTTCAAGCAGATGCCATATATATCGGTAGGCAGTTCTCTGGTTTTGACATACACTGTAAGAGTTTTTTTTAAAACATTATCGTCTGAAAAAGAACAAAACTTAGAACAAAATGAGCAATAAATAAATACTATTCATGTGACCCACTCATAAGAAATTGCTAGCATGACAGAAGAGAAAAAAACAAAAAGTATCAAAACTTCACTGAAAAACGAATTTGTTCGTTTTGAGAGATGTCATAAAAAACAGATGATTCATCATTTTTTTTCTGTTCAGACGGAACTGCCAGGAGACGAATTAGAAATCAGCTACATTAGTTTTTATTGATGATGATGATGCGTTTAGCTATAATTTTAGTTCAAAATATCCGTAAGAAAGTACAATGACAAATACTTTTTCTGTGTATGTTTCCTTGAAATTTACACGATAATATAAAGATTAAACTATTCTACTTCGCTGTCAGATTATATTTCACATACTGCTATAATTAACAAATCATCAAGCATCGTAATTCTTTAAACCAACAACCGTATCGATCCTGCAATTTAATGGTGTCTGGTGATTAAATCAATTTGTTGAATGGCGCTTTTTTTTATAATTGTTGCTGTCAAAATCGAAAGATATGTTCCTACCTGTTTTTCAGGCGACATTTGAGGATTGATCATGATTTTCTAACAAAATTCATCTAAAACTAAGAGAAAAACATCCACTAGAAATATTCAATAAAGTTTTCAATTCCACGGATGAGCGAATATACAGAAAACTTCTTTGTTCTGTTTTTTTCCGATTCTTAGAAATGATCGACCAATCACATAGAAACAAGGTTTTCTACGGATTAAAATTATTTGAATTAAAATTTTCATTGAAAAACGAAATCTAAATCAATCCATGTTTTAAATTATTTAAAAAAGAAACGATGAATGCAATAGATGTCACTACGTACTTCATCTATTGACCGGCATAAACAAAGAACCACACGAAAAGAGCGTAGCACTCACGTTCATTCATTCATTCATTGGATTCAATCAAAATGAAATCATCAATTTCTTTTACACTTAATATTAATATTCAAAGTTCTACTGCTCATAATATTCGGCCGATTCTTCCGAACATTGTTTCTGATAATGATATTCAACGAACTATATCAATCAATAAAATATCTTCAGCGGTTTCAAACAAAAAACAATCACAACGTTTAGCTAGCAAACAATGTTTTCTACCATTGACAGCAACGATTAATACTATACCTTCACTGTCTACAATCGATATTCAATCTAAACTTGGTATAGAATAATCAGTTTTAGTTTTCAATCATTTCACTAGATTTTGATTTACTATTTAGAATCGGTTATTTTAAAAACGGTTGATTGTGAAGTCATTGATTTATTTAATCAAATAGTAAGAAAAACAATTTGTTTTGGTTTGGTTAATTTTACAACAAATTTTTTGTTTTAGAAATCAAAGCCCACGACAACAGCTTTCAATGATAATCTTTCTGTTATACTAGCGAAACTTTTACCTAGTGAACATAAATATTTTTTTGGTAGCATTGTTATCACCGATAAAATTGATTCATTATCAAATGATACTAACAATTCTATGTCACAAGTAATTAATGATTTTCACCTCTATTTATGAAAGCAAATAAATAGGATAAAAAATGCTTTCTGTACTATTTAAATATTTTTTCTGGAATTTACCTACTTAACGAGAAAATATTATTTTCAGGAACGTCGTATTGTTATGGATCAATTACGTACTCTTGAATTTGTACAATTACAAGCATTTGCGCGAGTACTTCAACAACAAAATAAAAAGTAGAAATTGCTTGTTTCTATTAACCGAAGCTTTTGTTCTATTTTTATTAAAGATCTCAATCGACAATCGATAAATTACAACAGAAAAATACTGGTATGCCGCCTGCTCAATTACTTTCTGAATCAATTAAAGTAAAATATTATTTATCTGTCACTCATACAGAATTTCATTTTTCTATATTTAGAAATTATCACTTGATAAAATAACATTTGCATTAGTTATGGATCGTATACTAGGCAAAGTTGATAATCAATTATCATCTCTTCGCAATCAATGTTATTTGTCTGCTGTTACCAATGTACAAACATTAGTACAAAAAGATTTAGGAGCAACAACAATGATGATTAAAATTGATCAAGAGCTATCTCAACTACGAAATAAAGTTAATCATTTAACATCAAGTATGACAATTTTCATGAAGAATCTTTCGAATTAATTCTGTTCTTTAAATTTTCTAGCTAATGAAAAGTATAATCAATTGATTACTCGATTATTACAGTAAGTATAACTAACGTTACAATTCGATGGTCTCTTTATTTTTAAATAGGGATATTCAACATGTTCATGATATGGCACAACATGACGTAAAAGAAGCACATAATATGCGTATATTTATACAATCATTACATGATGCTACGTATCAACATCGATTTGAGTATGTTTTCTTTTCTCTACAGAACTGCAGTCACGCTCTAACATTAGGATAAAAATAAAACATGTTCAAATGATTATACTTTTATAGGATTTTAGAGAAATTTCAGCTGAGAAAAAAATTTGTTAATTTAATTATTTTTCTAGTCGAAGTGAATGCAAGATAATAAAACGATCGATGAATCAATTAGAACTTGGATTTTTCGATAATCTTGTTCGCGTTCAACTCGATGGAAAAACAATTGGTCGTATTACAACTTGGACAAAAGTAACACACGATGATGATGACGATGACGATAATATTGAATGTAAAATTCACTATTCGACTGAAGGTAAAATATTTTTGAAAAAAGAATCGAAGACTTTCAGGTTTTTAATTATATTAATAGAAAATTTAAATCAAAGTCAACAATTAGCTTATGAATTACTTAAGCATGAAATCAATACCTATTGGAATCGTCCATCGACAAGCACAATATCTATGTCGTATCTGTTACAATTTATACGAAAATTAATTGAGTATTCACTTATTGCGAATAATTTAGCACGAACATTAATTGTTTGTCTTGAAACTTTACCATGTAAATTAATTGATAATAAGTAAGTATAAAATATGATTAATTGGATGTGTTGAGCCAATCTATACCCATTCCCTATTGATAAATCTTTATTGATACGACAATATTTCATAAAGGGGTTATTAGTTTTGAATTACAATTTTTTTTTCTTTGAAGATTCACTATCGATTGGTCAACATCACAAATACGTCTTGACATTGAATGGGAACTTGATGAACGAATATTTCGTGATTGCCCATTAAAGTCATCGTATTGCTGTCAACCACAACATAATGGATTGTATGTATATTAAATTTAGTTTTTTGATCAAACATTGACGTCTTTTCCCTTTTGTATTCGATAGATGTAATGAACTTCAAGTTTTACTTGATCGTATGAAACCAATAAATGGTTCAATTGCTAGTCTATATGAACAAGCTGAAAAACATATTCGACCATGGATTAAAATGCTTGGCAATATTCAAGATGATAATGTAAATAAACCTCAAGGAACTAATATATCATTACAAAAATTGAAACAATCATTAGAAAAATTATTACTTGAACATAATTAATTATGTGTTAAATTTTACAATAGAGAAAAAAATTCAATGTATCGATATAGCTAAATCAAATATTCTTATACATATATTGTTTGCATCAATAAATTTATTCAGAAATAGAATTTCTTGTTAATATTTAGTAATGATTGATCGAGGGATCATTTTTCTCAAGTGTATATTTTATTTGTTCAATATTCGTTCAGAGTGATATCGAGAGTGTGTAGGTGTTGTATCTTAATCCAAACCACACCCACACCCTGAATAAAAAGGAATCAATCAAGTCAAAAGCTAGAGACTAGTTGAATTAAAAATGAATTAAGAGATGTAATTGCTATTTCTATGCAGCAACACAATTCATATTTTATTTTAAAACATGTTAATCAAATTAATGCCATATGATCATATGGTATTTATTTTAATTCTAATATATCAAATTCATGAACATATGTAAATAACGAGAAGAACCAAAGTATTCTTTCATTTAGTAAATATCTAAAGGATAATGATTTCATGTCGATCGCAATTTACAAAATGTAGAAACAATATAAGCTTCAAACTTATTAAGAACATAATCAGGTTCATATTCGGCATAACGCATTAAGAAGAACAATGGGATTTTGAGCATGATTGCAACAATGTAAACGGTTTGATATTCGTCGAAAATGGTAGGGATACATCTAACAAAATACACCCAAAAAGTGGCAACAATAAAAATTTGAGAAAATGAAGATTCAATTAACCAGCGACGAAAGTTCATAGATGTCATAACAGAATTTTTGTTATTGACCAATTTGAACCATTTAAACGAACAGGCGAGTAGAGTATAAACGAATACCGATACTATTTCTTTTATCGACAAAATAATCCAGTATAATCATGCATTGTTAACATGCGATTGTGGTTACCGATTCATTCGACCGTTACATTGTTAATTCACGTTTTTTCCCTAAACATATATCTTGCTTTGCCGTTTTTTTGTTTAATTTTATTCCTGTTATATTCTTCTTTTCGTCGTTTCGTTCGCGTCGTAAAGAAAAATATCCGATTACGATCATGTGAACAAGAAGAAAGATATTTCAATATGAGATCTGTAAGTAAATAAAAATTCAGAAAATATTATCACCTCATGTTCTCATTCGAGTTAGATAGCGCGTTCGCTTATTACAACCTTACAAGATAGTCACAACTTATCTTCTTCGCTTTCTTTATATATCTCGCTATGAATAATAACGAGGGATATGAATCACCGATGGCACCGATTATACATCAACAACAAACACCGATATCAACCCGGAAACAAAGTGTTGCATGGACCACAAACAAACATCCGAGAAGTTATATACCACCATCGTTTCAACAACAAACAGACTAAAATGGAAAAACAGATTTTGTTCAACAACATATGACTCATCTTGGGTGTGGGTGGGTGAGTGTCAATAAACACGAGACACCCACACCCTTATTTAAAATAAATCAATGAATTGTCATCTATTTTAACATATTAACTATTAAAAGAATTAAAATTAAAATATCTCACCAGTAAATAGATTTAAAGCAGTCTGCTTTTCAATATTATATATATATACACCAAGTCCAAATAAATTCGGATAATTTGCAGAAAGAAGAATACATTTCATAAATGATGATTCAAGATCAAGTTATTTCGTTGTATGATGAATTTCAGGTAAGATTTGTGAACAAAATCGATCAAGCATTAGATCAGGTAATAGATAAATATAATCATACGAGAAATGACTGGCGTGAGCTCAGTAATAAATAAAACTCGTCTATAAGTTTTCTTTTTGATTCATGCTAGAATATAATAAACAAATATATATTTTGCACAAGTGCACGTAAGCAATTTTGCATAGATTGACGCTTCAGATATCAAAGCTGATAAAGAAAATAAAAGAGATATAATCAGAAGTGCTTGATCAAGTCTTTTTGTCTCTTAATTTTATATTTAATGCTGGCAACAATTAATTCGATGATATAGTCATAGAGTATTATATGAAGCGTTTCTAAAAAAATATTTAAAAGGCGTTTTTGTTTCAGCAAATTCCAGAACGACAAGCGTACTAATTTGGAACATAAACGTTACCTAAGACATTTGATGTGATGCTGTATGCACTGCGATCCATTGATTTATTTTGAAGGTGTCAAAAACTTTCAATGAATGATAATTGTATACAAGTTGCTTTTTCCTGTGTATAATACACATGATGATAAATTCTATCATAGGATTAAAAAGCAAGCTTTATCTATTGAGTTAATTGCAAATATATAAATTGTCATGTTTGATTTTTTCATTGCATATCATCTTTTCTTAATTAAAAACATATGGACAAGTCAGAGGTTTTTAAGGCTCAAGTCAAGTCAAGCAAAAAATGACCACATATTCTTGTAGGCACTACTTATCTGAAATACATGAAAGTATTTATTTTTCTTTGTTTCTATTCTAAAAGCTAACTTTAGTTTAGACAAAAATCAGACGCATAAATAACAAAAAATTATTCATTTTCTTAACTTGACTCGAAGCCTGCTTAGAAGCCAAGTCACAAGTAAAGTCGAGTCGGATTTGACTTGTACATCTCTGATGAAAAATATTAACGGTTGTTTATTGTACTCATATCGTATTGAGATCAATGATCGATTGATGTTGTTTTCTATTAATATCTCGTCTACTGATTATCATGTGTTCAATCCAAATATTTTTATCTGAGAATTGAACTAAATTTTAGAATGTTTGGTTTGTTAAGCTCACATTCATATCACTCTAGCTAAGTACAATTCTGTTTCACAGATTGATGAGCAAATCTTTTTTGACTGGAGTATACTTGGTATTCTGGAACAAACTGAGATAGTGATTGTAATAGTCTTTACTGGACAAATCACTATCTGTTAGATTCATGCCATACGATTGAGAAACGACAATTTTATCTAAATAAAAAAAAAGTTACGATATTTGACACGAATGTATTTGTACACCTATATCAATACAACACTATTCCGGAAACAATAGAACCAGAAAAAATTTAATACCAATGACCTAATATACAACTAAACAATAGAATATATACACATGATCTTAGAGAAAAGCGCGATTCTTCGATGAAACAAATCAGCATTAATGTATAACACCATAATAGTAAATAGCTAAGATGTGAACATAGATCAAATATTGAACTGGCGATTTTCTTTGATAGGAACTCGACTCATCACCATATTTAACTTTCGAATGTATTGTTTTGGCAACCATTCGATCTTAATGTAACGAGATGATTTATCATGTTTGATAGGTTGTTGGATGCAATAGTGTTGGTGTTGCTCCCGATACATTCCAACAAGAAAAGGAAGTTGAAAAACAAGCAAGCTGACAAGTATTCCACATAGAACTAAACCAAAAAATGCGACGATTGCAGCAGCTTTTATATCATATTTTTTCTAGAAAATATCAGGAAGCATAAGGTGAGGATGTGAGAAATAACAAGACAATTATTGTATCTTACCCACGCACTATATCCTGTCTCAAACAAAATTCCAATGGTAAACAGTAATGAAATTATAAAAAAGCAGATGTGAGCAATTCTTTGTTTGTCATCATTTGTTAAACGGCTCTGGCAATTCAAAAATAAAATATCATAAATTTCGAATATGTCAAGAATAGTAAGTCACGTCTGTTAATATATACATCGAAAAGAAGATTAACAAAAGTCTACGCACCTGTTTATTCGAAAAAAATTGAGACTTGTTTGTTGTTGGAATTAGCGAGATACCAATTGGTATTATAGCAACAGACATAATTAAAACTATGTCTACGAATGTTTCGATCTAAAATAAGATATTAAACATCATACAGTGAAAAATGCTCTAAATATAATTGGAGCGAACATCTTCATCGAAACATATCTTAGGTACGTTCTTCTTCTCGCTCGAGCATATCTTGAGACACTGTGTTCGATTAAAAACTAATCTCTATGTAGATGAAATGCACTGTAAATTCTTTCATCATTTAACAAAAATCTTCTATGCAGGTATCTTTAAATAATGTATAGCATCTCTCATTACAATGTAAGAACAAAATACTATGTAGATATGCATCAGTCACAGTTTTAACCATTCGAACTGGAGTGGTGCATAACTAGTACAATGGTCTATTTTCATTGTTCGCTATAAGATTTGTTATAAACAAAAATTAGAATTTATCATTGTAATTCTGTTTTACAGTTTACAACAACGTCTTGATTCAATGAGAGAGATATCGCTGAAAAGCTATTGTCAGATGATGCTAGGAAATCCTGTCTTATCTATTGAATAGTATAAGTTAAATATAAAGGTATTAATAAACTTGTTGACTTATTACATTTTGTGGGACTATTTCTGCTGAGTATATTGGTAAAAGCAATTCTCTTTTTCACACAACACATGACGATGCTATGATCAAAATACATAAAACGTAAAACTGCTCTGGAATATCGAAACAATTCTACGTTCGATCATGATCTGACCTTAGTACTATCATTTGTTAACGAAGTAGACAATTCTCTTTATCAAAATGATCAGTGAAAAAAGCACTGTATAATGAAATATGTCAATAAGTTTCGAAAGTTAAGTGTAGTCGTCAGGGTTTCTCTCGGATTTTCTGTGCAAGTATATCTGAGAGGATCCTGTAAAGGTTTCGAGCAGTCAAATCTGCTAGAAAAAACTGAGTGATTTCAAACAAGTTATTTAAAAATGAAGAAAATTTGAGGATATGAGGAAGTCAAGTCATATTACAAAAACTTGACACCTATTGTTTATCTTTGGAAGAAAATTGAAATTTTTCTTTTTAAAGATAAGGTTAGTTTTCAGCGATGTTGTTAAACTCTGCTGATGAATAAAAACTTGTACTTGTTGAGAATTGTAAATTTATATTGTTAGTTTGTATCTGTAATCGAAATTTAACTAGAAAACATGATATTGTCTCAGTGGTTTAATAATAAATGTAAAAGAAAGAAATGAAGTATCACAAGAAAGTGTATCTGTTGTAAATTTATGAAAGTATTTCAAAATCGATATGTTCGATTCATAAAGTTCGTAAGCGATTTTCTTTTTATCTGGCAAAGTTTTTTATACTGAGATCGTTGTATCCCAATCAGCCAATTCAATATCATTATGCTCTTCTGATTTCGTACGTGCTTCCACTGTGAAAAGAACGATTGCAGCACAAATGACAATTCCAATACTAAGTAGAGCCTAATTCTGTTTTCAAAAATAAGTTTACATCAATTGCGAAGATTGCCATGAACAACACTCGAATAATTGAATACTATACACCTTATTCGAAAACGTCGTGAACATAAAAAACCATTTTCTTTAATTGGGTAGACTCTTGTATCAAGTGTTATTTTTTTTGGAAAAAATAAAACAGACGACGGAGAAAATGCACCATATTATTCCTGACATGAACATCACCCATATAATTCCATTGCCAAAATTAGTGTTAAATAACCAGAAGAGTTGGGTGCCTGTTATTCCCAAACTATTCAACTAAACACAAAAAAATTATAATGGCATCTTCTTTTTAAGTGATCTACGAACCAATTCTATTACCAAAATGACTTTCATAATTATTAAGGCCCATTTTCTTGAAAAGCGTATGTTTTCGTATGTTAGTCAACTGAAAGTATTAAATGATGTTTGATGGTTATAGATGTCAATAGTTGACATTGAAACTCCTCTCCAAAGAAGCAATTTTATTGAGCGACTGGCATCAACTACTTGCTTAATTGAATCCCTCTTCAATCTTAACTGTTTAATTTCGATTGATATAAAAAAATAATATTCTTTGACGATGAAAGACATTTAGAATTTATAAAAAAAAATTTTCATAATTGAGAAATAAATTTATTAAATTATTAAAAACATTTTCTAGGAGAAAACCAGCTTTTGCCCAGGTCGAACATACACGGTCGTATACGACGGTAAATCGCCGTATTTGGCCGTATTACATGGCTCCGTATTACGATCGTAAATCTCCGTGCCGTATACGGCGAAATACGGCGCTTTACGGTCGTTTTTGATCGTATTTCACCGTATTACGACACGGAGATTTACGATCGTAATACGGAGCCATGTAATACGGCCAAATACGGCGATTTACCGTCGTATACGGC